TGCATAGAAGCTATTGAAAAGAGGATCTGCATTATCTGTGGCATCTCATTCACCAGCAAGAATATGCAGCATGGGTGCTGTGCAAGAATACATGGCATTTTTGTGGTGACTCTCCACAAGATAAGCAGCCCACATATATTACGCTGCCAAGTGGATGTGTAGCAACCTCCATACAGAGGCTAGTATTCTTTCAAAAGTTATTAGCTAATCTGACCCAGAAGATGTTATTTATAAGAGCCCAAGTACCACACAAATCCATTCCCTGAGCATCTCCAAGGAACAGATGCTATACTCTATTGTATTCATCATTCTGCCAGCAACTGAAGTAGTCCTACAAAACTGAAGGTATGGGAAGAAAGTGAGGAGATTCATTCTCTTTCATACCCACAAACTGAACCCACCATTTCATGCATGTTTGTATAAACAAGGCCACTCAGATACATACAGGCACAGATCCCACTCCTTCGGTTACTCTTAGGCTTCCTCCCTTTTGCTCACCATAGCAAGTATGCCGATGCCCTTTGACAAGTGTGACAAGCCCTTGGCTTCATTCCAATTTTTGGGCTACAGAGGTATGCAGCAAGGGAAGGACAATGGTTTGTCCACTCCACAGCCACATGCCCCATACAGAGAAGCTGTGCTAAGGTAAAGGAAGCTGCCAGCACTCACTCCGGAGTCAAAAAGCTGGGATGGGGGAGCTTCCTAGGCTGGATCCACAGAGATAATTTTAAAAAATATGAAAACCCAATGTGAATTACCATTGACTTTGGGTTGCAGCTCTACAGCACCATCTGGTGTCACATTTTTATAACACACTTATAACGTTATCATTGACCCGTGTAGCTGAGACCCTCAACTAGCCTCTGTGCACCCCAACCATGGGCATAGCCAGGATTTATAGGCAGGCTTTATGTTAGGGGGTGGCAGAACTGAATTATCTCCAATGCAACTGGTCAGTTAGTTAAGTATGTTGAGTTATTTACTACGCCCATGACCTCAACAATGCAGCAGGCATATATACGCACTGCTTTGCTCCCTGATTCAAGGTTGCAGCCAAACCAGTGACCACCACCTCCTACCTTTTCTAATGTAAAGCAATTAAATTAGAAAACCCAGCACCTGCTCCAGCTTCAAAGTTGGAGCTGGGATGGGGAGCAGAGAATTGTTCCGGATCTTGCATAGAGGCACAGTATGATGTCAGTGACAAGGCAATGAAGCATGTCAAGAGAAACAAACATTGTGTGACCCCTGTTTACATGGAAACACAAACAGCAGGTACCAAAAAAACAAAACAAAAAGAACAGTCATGCTTTTACATAGCTACTGAGTTTTGATGTAGTCAGTGACACACAGATTTCCAGTTAGATCTGTGTGCTCCAAAGTCTATGTCAGGAAGCAGATTTGACTAGGGAGAGATCCGTGAGCCAGTAGTTCATTGTCAACTGTAATACGCTCAAAACATGCACAGTTCACACAAAAAGAGCATTCACAGCCGATCACCTACCCATCATTGCTTTCTTCCTACAATTATCTCTTAACCACTCCTCATTCTAGCCAAGCTACGACGAGATCCAGACAAGTTGCTTGTTCTGCACAATGTTAAACACCTTCCCTGGGTTTTTTGGCCACCCTCTGGAGGAATTTTTAAGGTTTGTAGTCCTTTCCCACATTTGTGGGTCAATCTAGGCTTACCCAAACCCCTCAAAATTAAGAACAGGATAATGGGGAAATCCTGTATCATTATGCCTATATTGTTCCTCTTCTCCCTAGATACAAAGTTCTGCTGTATAGTCAGTGCTAGTTATCCAGCAGATGCAACCAGCCAATCGTGCTGTACTGCTCACCTGTATGACTCAGTGTGTGAACTGCTGAGAAAGTAGTTGCACTGGTGCCATCAAACTCAACAAAGAGTTCGAGTTCACTCCCATCTCTCAGCATGAGATTAACTGTTTGCCAAAACTATATTCAACACTCTTTCATTTTAGGATCTTTTCATTTTCTTGTTGCCTCTTCCAGTAAGCTTCTTGGATATTTTGCCTCCTCTCAAGTCTTCTGCAGCTACTTCTGTTGTCTTTCGTCTGCTTGCCCATACCTTGACATTTGGAACGTTCCATGAGCTACTCCCCACCTCTAATAAAAGATGGACATTATCTGAGAAATAGGCAATGAATATCCAAAGCAAGGACCTCTACACACCAATGTACCCTGCTCCCACTCTCATATGGCAGCACTTCTGCAGAACTGAGAACTTACCAACTCTCTTGCTTCTTCCAGCTGCTTCTCCACATTTGAAACCATTTGCTTCTTCTCATCTGAAAGCAAAGGGGGGGGAGCACCAGTGAAAACAGTTCTGTTAATGTGAGCTTCTATACTCATTTCATCTTCCTCTGTCATTTGGAGAGCAACAGACTCTTGCAGCTTAACTCGTGTGAAAGGTGGGTGTCTCTTTTGGGTACGTTTGTGGTACTCAAGTTTTTGTTTGTGTGTGCCTGGAGAAAGGTGTGGTGTTTATTTTCTGGGACTCTGTACTATTATTAACCATGGATTTTGAGTTAATGATCATATCTTTGGAGTATTTTGTAAGGCGAGAGTCTGGCCCTACTACACAACTGTGGGGGGTTTTTAAGCCTTTAATCCACACACCCAAATTCTTGTGATTTCCAGATGTTTTGGATTACAACTCCAATCAGTTCCAGAATACACAGCCAATATGCAGGGCAGATGCAATTTGTAATCAAACAAGTAGGGAGAGTGATGTTGCACTCAGGTCTTGCTTGCAGTCTTCTCATAGGCATATGGTTGGCCACTGGGGGAATGGGATTTTGGACTAGATCAGCCTTTGGGCTGATCCAGCAGGCCTGGTGGAGGTTGGGAAAGTCTACTTTAACCCAACATTGTTTATTTTCATTCAGCAGTGTTGTGGTACATTTTGAAGTACATGAGTTCATCATAGTAGTCCCAAGGAGAGTCCAAATATATTGACCCATTATTATATGCATACCAAAGAGCAGTAGTATAATACCTAATTTGATACAACCAGCCAGACTGCAATCCTGGGCATAGCGTCCTGGGATAAACCTGGTTGAAGCAACAGAGCCTTTTTGCTTTATTTATTTTTTTCAATTTTTTTTTATTAATTTTCCAAATTATTACAAATCAAATCAAACCAAATTAAATTAATTTAGTTTTTTTGCTTTATTTTTTTAAATTTATTTATTTATTATTATTCTTTCACACAATGTTAGCAATACAAATGGCAATATCTCTCTGCAAGATTGTCTGCATTTCTAATTAAAATCTAATGGTTGCATTTCAGCTGGCTGAAGATCTTTTGTCAAAGCTCTGGTTAAGTCTTTGCAGTCAGAAGTCAGCACCACTAAGTTCACTGGAGCTTACTCCCAGGAGACCATGTATAGGATTCCAATCATGCTGAGCCTATTAATTGCATGACTTTTCCCATGCTAATGTGTCACAATCAAACCTAAAAGCTGCTCTGGCAGAGGATGCCATCACATCTCCTCTGGAAAAAGTCCCAGAGCTGCAGTTCCAATGCTCCCTTATCCACTACACCACTATTCTAATCTCATTACTCACTTGTCCCTCCCACATCACAACTTGTCTTCAGCTATTTGGGATTAATTCTTTGGTCTTTCACATCTATCAAGTAGCACAGGCTGACCTAGATAGGATGGCTGCTGACAGTGGCTTGTGCTGGCGCAAGAACGCTGGCCTCCACTTGGCACTAGCCACCCTATGCAGGTAGGCACTTGTTTGAATAGGCTCTGGGGCTGCAATTCTTTGCACACTTACTTGGAAGTCAGAAGGCCTTACTTCAAAACAGGTGTACATAGGGCATTATACGGTTTTCTGTAATGGTGCATTCAACTAGCAAAAACCGGACTGGCTACAGATCTGAGAAAGAACTTGATTTTAAGGACCGTACACTGACGAAAAGCAGCAAAATGGATCAATAACTAGGACCAGGGCCGGATTTAGGTTTGATGAGGCCCTAGCTACTGAAGGTAATGGGGCCCTTTATATGTCCAGCTGTCCTTGGTCAACAACAAATGGTCGCTGGTTTTTGTGTTGAGTGGTAATTTATGGACCTGATAGATATCTAAAGCCATCTGCACATAACAAAATATGTATTTTATCAAAGTAATTGTTGAACTGAAATACAATTAAGAAGAAGTATATTAATAGTGAAATTTTTTGAGGAGGGCCAAGAGAGTAGGGCCCTAAGCTATAGCTTGTTTAGCTTATACAGTACGTAAATCCGGCACTGATAGGACTCAACAGAAAGAGAGTGGGGCAGCTTGTCCGGACTCTGGAGTAGCCCACCCACCCAGCCTCAGAGAGATGGGAGCTATTCTGCTGACGTCCTGCTTGCGGGCTTCTCGTAGACAGACATGGAGGAAACAGGCTGCTGGACTAAAAGGGGCCACCGGCCTGATCCCACGGGACTCTTCTTTTGGCCTCACACCCGAGGCCAGCTGAGGAGAGACCAAGAGGTGCCGCAGCCGGGAGGCAAACCCTCCTCAGCCGCCGCCGCTCACCTCCGAGCAACTTGGGCACCTTCCCGATGCGGTTCGTGATCTCCGCGGTGAGAACCGAGAAGTCCTGCTCGTAGCCCTCGAAGTCGGAGGACATCGTGGCAGCGGAGAAGTCTGGGTGGAGGGGGAAAAGCCCAAGCGAAACGGCCCTTTGAGGAACGGAGGCGAGTTGACGGGACCCTCTTCCTCCTCGTCGTCCTCCTTCTTCTCCACCACCGCCGGCAGCCGAGGAAGCAAACTCGCCTCAGCCGCTGCTCCTGTCAGCGCTAGACTTCCGGGTTGCGCTCCATCAACAACATTCCCCCGCGGAGCCGCCGGCCGCGAGGCAAGGTTCCGCTGGACCGCCCGACAGCCTTCGCCCGTTTCCAACCTCTCCTTGGCAAGGCAAGCTGGTCGGCTTCTCAAATCAGGCGGCGGGCTGAATCGGACTCGCAAGTTATTCCGAGCATGAGCAGAGAGCTCAACTTGCTCGCTCCCCGCCACAGAACGGCGGCCCCCTCGGATCCCGTTTATCCCGACGGCACGGGAAATGTGCGCTGCTTGTATTTGAGGGACGTATTTCCGAGCGCACCTGCCAGGTTGGTGAGGGCGCGACGGAGTGAGGGCGGAACCGGAGGGTTATCCGTCCGGGTCCTACCAAGGTGCCCCGGGGAAGTGGCCGCGCGGAGCAAACGAGGGAGCAAGCGAGCGGAGGTGGCGCGCGGGGCATGGCTGGCGGGCGCCGTCTCGGGAGGACGCGGCGGAGCCTCTGGCTGGAGTGACCCTCGCCCTGCGCGGGTAAGGCGCCTTGTTCTGCCCCGGGCGGGAAGGGCGGCCGCGGAGCCACCCGACCCTCCTCGTTCTCTTCTGCCAAGGAATCCCAGAGGAATCCCTTTCAGCCTCCGGGGAGAGCAGGAGGGCGGGACGGAGGAGCGGCTGCGTCGCGACCTGCCTTCGCCCCGCTCTCCTGGCTCCCTTTCGACCCCTTCCTCCTCTCCTGCTTTGGCCATGAGGTTTCCGCCTCTTTGTTTCTGGGTCTTCGATTGCTGCCAGCCAGGCAGGCACCCAACAGCTGGCGCTTTTCCTCCGCAGGAGGATGCGATGCCGTTTCACCTGTGGAACTGCTGCCTGTTGCGCCGCCGCTAAGAGACCGAAATGCCGAGAGGCCCTAGTTAGCGGGTGCAAGACCTGCTCCCTCTCTTCTCTGGCCGCGTATTTTAGGGATGCGTTTAATTATTATCCGGTTATTTGGGTTCTATTAAAGAGTTCTCATGGAGAGACCAACGCCATGGCAACAAGCCCTGGGAAAAAAAGCCTCTGGAGGTTTAAAGAAACCATCCAGTGGCTTTCTGAAGTAGGATTTCCTTTTTTAATTATTTGCAGAAAGTTTTATGTTTGTGCTCCTCCCATCAAATTGCTTGATCTGAAGGCAGCCCTGTTTAGGGAAGTTTTCAATGTTTGATGTTTTATTGTGTTTTTAATATTCTGTTGGGAGCCGCCCAGAGCGGCTGGGGAGGCAGGACCAGATGGGCAAAGTCTAAGTGATAAATTCTCCTTCTCCTCCTCCTCTCCAGCATTTTACAGGCTTCTCTCCTTCGCTGTGCAGTTCAGTGCTAGTAAGCTAGAATGGGGCAGCTTTGTCACATTTCCCTTTATTTTGTGTTCTAGGCCCTTGGCCTGAAACTAAGTAGCTTCTCCTTTAGTGTTTTCATACTGCCAAGTGGAACGGTGAAATTGACTCTTGGAAGCCAAAAATTATGCAAGCTTCTAAGCTTCGATACTTGTACGAAATGACCAAGGCAAAGTAGATAGTCCTGAGGCCAAGCGGAATGTGGGAGCAGACATAGTAGCAACCAGTTATGATGACATTTTCCACAACAAGGTCCACAATAAGTATTCCCCAAATTTCCCATAGCTGTTCATATGTTGTCATGGAAAAATTGTAAGAACTACCTGCTCTGGGCAAACCTCACCCTCTCTGTTCTGGAAGCTCCACCTAAAGTTGAGTAACTCCCTGGAGTAGATTATGTGATTCAGATGTAACTGATGTAGAGTTGTGATAGTTTCTTGGTCTCTTCTGTTAACTGACTGGAAGTCGGCAATATCCTGTAACAAAATACAACAATATATTTGCCAGTAGGCAATTGGGGTTTAAAAGAAGTTTAACTTTCACAATTTGTGTGCAAAGGCCACAAATAAATAAATCACTCAGTTAAGCAGTTTGGTTATTTATTTTATAACTTGTGCAAAAGAAATAGTGTGTGTTCCATACATTGATTATATTTAATGACAGGCTGAATGTTGCCTCTGCTGTTTCTCCCTCATCTGTTATAATGCAAAATCACTTTAAATGTACAGGTGCCTGATGGACACCTTATTCTTTCATTGTACATTAACAAGAGGAAAACATAACTAGCTGAATGGACTGGAAGCAGTGGCTGAAATCCAAATAGCTGCTTAAGCACCTTCAAGGGGTGTGTGCTACCAAGTCTCCTTTTCTTTGAAAAGCTGAACTCACGGTCACATCACAAACTACCAGAGTCTCAAAATCCCTTTGAAGAAAGATAGCCCCATCGGACACATGATTCTAGTCTCACGTTTCTTGGAATCCTTGCCAAGAAGTACTGAGGATACAGCAAGATGAGTTCCTTATGCTTTCAAGAACAGGCTGAGATGAGTAACTCAAAAACAGGAAGATTGTTCTGTCTGCTTAGTGAAATAATTGCGCCTCATTTCCTTAAATAAATAGCTGTTTTTGTGTTTACCGGATGGGTCAGAATAGACAGGAGGGCTATTGTCTGGTTTGGTTTGCCCCGCCCCCCCCCCAACCAAAAGAAGTATCATAGTTTGTGACTGTTCTTATTCCATAGATGAATCAGATTTCATGTTAAATGGTGCTTTTTCACAATCTGAGAGCTGGGCAATAAGCAGAAGAGGGAATGAAGGGCACAAGGACGAAGTCTGAAGGACACATGGCTCATTTTCAAGCCAATAAACTGTGGGTTATTGGTCTGACATTGTTATGTCTGAACTGGGCCTGTGTGAGAAGCAGCGCTACATTTGCCAAGCTGTTTTTGTTTCTAATCCAAATAATTTATCTTGGAAAGTATTGTTATTACTATTGTTTACTTTTTCTCCCTCTGTTTAGGTGTGTGGTAGAGGCAGCCTTTCCTTCAGACACTCATGCTGAAGAACTTCTACACCTGATGAGTCTACCAGATACCGCAAATGGCTTAACTCCAGCTACTTTGCACTTGCTATTTGGACATGTAACCATTGCTATAGAGATGAAAACTTATGACAAGTGGAAACATATACCTGAAAGGAACCACCTGAAATAGGAATTCACATTGTTGCAAAATGGGAATGCTTTGTTCAGTTATCAGGTTTGAAAATCTCCATGAACTGAAAAGACTGTGCCACTGGGGCCCCATCATAGCTCTCAGTGTAATAGCAATATGTTCTGCCATGGCTATGATCGATGCTGTTCTGTGGTACTGGCCTTTGGATACAACAGGAGGAAGTATCAATTTCATCATGCTCATCAATTGGACTGTTATGATTCTCTACAATTACTTCAATGCCATGTTTATTGGGCCTGGATACGTTCCCTTTGGATGGAAACCAGTAAGCAAATGAGATATCTTTTTTTAACCCATCACTTTTTTCTTTTTCTTTTTGGGTGATCACAGCTTCCTTCCCAAACCTACCAGATCCTAGCCTAGAACAGGATCTCTGGACCTAGTTTTATGATCTGTAGAATCAGGTCAAGATGGGAGCTGAATTTTCGCAGAGCACAATAGGAAATTCACCGATAACTCGGTCACCATCTTGAGCAATGTTTGTTGAGTATGAAATCAGCACCACATATATGAAGTCAAATTCAGTGATCACCTGGTGACCTCTGGTGAGTAAAAATTGCCTCCAGGTGACAAGGTGTACTGACTGTGCATTATCTGCCAGTCAGATTACTCTCTTCTAACGGGAACTTTCAAAATTTTCTTTCCTTGGAACAAGATGGTTTAGAAACACGTTCCGTTTCTGGTGGCTTCCTTGTAAATAAGTCCTGTTGACCAAAGCGGTACATACAACCTAATTTAATGTGTATTTACTTACTAGGACTGCAAAGGAAGGGAGATGTTGGGAAAAACAACAACAGGACAAATGCCTAGGACAGAGACGGGAACCTTTGGCTCTCCAGATCCTACAGGACTACAGTACCCATCATTCACCCACCATTGGTCATGCTGCCCAGGACTGGTGGGAGATGGAGTCAAGCAACATCTGTAGGGCCACAGGCTTCCCACTGCTCGCCTAGGAATTTCAGTTTTATCTTCTGTAAATTTCTGGCGCCCCATAGCACAAGTGGAAATGTTAATACTTCTGGGGATTGGTGCTTAATTATGCAAATGAATATAATATACTGAATTCTCCTGCAAAGTTGGTAGTGCAGGGGGATTTTATGGGTGAAGGTTGAGATTGCCATCTCATGACTACTCAACGCAGTTAGAGAGGAAGCTACACCCAGACAGAATAGCAAAAGAAAGTACAGACTGTATGTTAGAGACTTGCTCCTTATTTGCCTTCTTTTTTCTGTTTTTGAGGAAAACTCTCAGGACTGCATGTATCTACAGTACTGTAAAATATGCCAGTCTTACAAGGCTCCCCGCTCTCATCACTGCCGAAAGTGTAACAGGTACAACTGCTTATGTTTGTATATTGTTCAAGTGCTCGGTTAATAATCATATAATACCCAGATCTGCTAAAAATGGGGTTGGAAGTGGCCACTAATTAAGCTTTAGCAATTGGGAGTAGGAAGGACTGGCTGGTGGTGTGTTTGTTGAACAGGACTATTAAACTTGGATTGCTTCTTAGGTGTGTGATGAAGATGGACCATCACTGTCCCTGGATCAATAACTGCTGTGGGTTTCAGAATCATGCCTCCTTCACTCTCTTTCTTCTGCTAGCCCCTCTTGGATGTATCCATGCTGCTTTCATTTTTGTCATGACCATGTACACTCAGCTTTATAACAGGGTAAGAAAACGCTCTTGACATCTACAGAATTGAGTTAATTAACGTCTGGAAATATAGGTGCTCCATCCCTCTTTAACCCTACCGTGTTTTACATCTGCAGATATAACAGGTGTCATTTGTCGTGTGATCAAATGCATGCCATCCTGGCACCGATACTGCTGCTGTCTCTTCGTAAACATGTGACCTTTGCTTTGTCCCATGTCTAGACTGTGTCCTCTTTATTATTTTTTTCTGACCACAAGTTGGCTTTTCTGCTTATCTGCAAAGAATCTCACAGGCACAGCTTAATACTGAGAATGTCTTAAAGCAATTAAGAAATTAAGCTTGAGTGGAAAAGGAGAGCAAACCAAAGCAATATTAATAAGAGAGAGACTTTGTAATGTAATCAATGCATTCAAAAGTTCTTTCCGAGTTTGGGAGATCAGATTCCCCCAGTGGTACTTAGCACAAAATAGTGTGTATGCCATCTGTGCAAGCTTGGGTTATCTTTTTTAAAATGGGGACCGCACCAAATATGTTCTTCAGGCAAGACGTAATTTCTGAGATGCTCAACTTGCTTAGGCGTGTAGTAAAATTTCTCGATGAGTTTTGAGGCACTGCCAAAATACTGTCATGCAGAGGAAAGATTCCTGCTGTTTGCTTCTTCAGTCAGCAGTTTGCCTGAATTGCTGTTCTTGGTTTCCTTTCATAGGTATCCTTTGGCTGGAGTTCTGTCAAGATTGATATGAGTGCCGCCAGAAGAGACCCCCGCCCAATCATCCCGTTTGGGTTGTCTGCATTTGCTGCATCTTTATTTGCTTTGGGGCTGGCATTGGGAACAACTATAGCTGTTGGTATGTTGTTTGTTATCCAGGTGAGTCTGATGGTTTTTCTTACAAAATGGCTAAAATCTCTGAGATTTTGGTAGGACACCAACCCATGATGTGTGGAGGGGGGGAGACCTGATTCTTTAAGCCTTGTTATATTGCAAATCATTGTGTCTTCTGGGTCATCTTTTGGTGCTGAGATGAGCTCCTTTGAAGGTGCACCATCATTGCCAATCAGCTGATCAAGGCGGACAGCACTCGTTCAGCTTGCTCGCTGTCAGCACTCATCAGCTGATAGGCTTCATCAGTGCACTTGGGAATTCCGGAGGGGCAGCTAAGTAGTGCAGCCCATCCCAGTCGCATCATTACAATCCCCACAAGTGTTGGGCAGGTCAGAGTGGTTTGGGGAAAACAGTCACATGCCTGATTCAGACCCCTCCTGGGCCTAGTTAGACCCACGTGATAGAGGTTCCCCACCATGGCTATAGAGGTGAACAATTCAGAGAGTAGTCTTAACTGGTTGAGCTTTTAGAAAGTTGCTTTTTATTTATGACTATTCTGATGATGAAACATTTCATCCTTAAGATCAAGCAGGGGTGGAAGACTCAACTTGTGGTTCCACCATGATTTACTTGGTAGGCCCCACATCTGGAATAATCTCACCTGAGTTGTTTGTCTGTCTCCCTCATTGATGGCTTTCAGATGTCACCTGACAATATTTTTATTTGCACAGGTTTTTGTAACTGATAACAGAATGTTTACTCCTCAGAAGCAATGTAGGTATGGCAAATCACTATAGCCCAAATACCTACATATATGGCAATGTCACATTATACATACTGTTATATTCCTTGTGTTATTTTGATGTACATCGCTCTGAGCTTTTTTGAAGAAAGAGCGATCTAGAGATATCCTGCATAAATGAAGGAATATAATTCATAAAAATGTTTCTCTGTAGGGTCCTGAATGCAGACCCTGTTAAGTGATTTTGGTTTGATACACTTCTGTGGATAAATCTCTCTCTCCTTTTCTTTTTCAGTTGAAAGTCATTTTAAGAAACAAAACTTCAATAGAATCATGGATTGAAGAAAAGGTAGGATTTCGTTCTGATGCATTTTAAAAATATATTTTGCATTAGAGCTGCTCGGTCAGCTGAGAAACACCCCCCCCCCTTTTACATTGAATGGAGGGAAGTCTTTGCAGATGCTTCCCTCCATAAAGATCCATAAAGACAAGGCTACTTCTTCCATTGAATTGATGAGTGTTTCCCACACTTAAGCAATACTGTATATGTGTTGTGTATCCAGACAATAAAGTGAGCAGCAGCTCCAGAAACTGGAAATAGTCTTTTAATACTCACTGTGACTGTATCACTAGAGGTCAGTATAATATAAGGAATTTACTGCTTACTTGTATTAGATAATATTTGTTCAAGATGTACAAATGTGAAACATTTGTAGTTTACAAAAGCAACTCAGGTTAGTAAAACCAAAGTTAGTGTGATACTGACAGTTTTGAAATGGAAATTTTCTTATTATTATGTCTTTTAAAAATGCACATTTTTGATACTTCACATAAAATTCCACAGCCATCTCTCTGGACAAAAGTTGATTCATTTAATCTCTACATCATTATATAAAGAACCTCAACCTATAATAATAATCTATTTTTGGTCTTGAAAATACAAAGTCTTAAAAAGCTTATTTGCCTAGATACTTATATATCATAGCTCCTTACCTCTGGTTCTTGAATCCGCCAGACTCTTACCTTAGGACCCTGCAAATTGTAGCTTCTCACTCCTCATAGGTTCATTTTGCCCGAGTACCGGAGTATCAAACCACATGTTACTGGTCTATAATTTACATCATCCCAGACTACTGGCATGATATTTGAGGCTGTAAGAGTTCACAATATGTGGAAGGCTATCCATGTCCTGGGATGTAATTTTGAGTACTGGGTTTCTCTTTTTTTCCTCCACCTGACAAGTACACTGGGTGCTAGCTCCTTTTAATTCTATTTCTGGTCACTGTCCATTTCATTTGGAGTTGCGCATGATTTCTTCTGAGGCAAAAGAGCCACCGTTCACTCTCCCCTGCTTCTTATGTATTAAAGTACATACAATCCCTAGACTGTGCCTACAACTAGCTTTAGGATTTTATTGTCACATTGTACTTGCAGGCCAAAGACCGCATCCAATATTACCAAACAAGAGAGACCTTTATTTTTCCGTATGACCTGGGAAGCAAGTGGAACAATTTCAAGCAAGTGTTCACATGGTCTGGAAACCCAGAGGGCGATGGCTTGGAGTGGCTCACAAAGGAAGGCTGCCATCAGTACAGTTTGACTGTAAGCTACTATTCTTCACCTCCTCCCCCCACTATGAGATTAACTTAATTATAGTGAAAGCTGAGAAATTGTACTCCTGTCTATCTGTCTATTTCCCCAAAGACACTCAAAGCAGATAACAGTAATAACAACAGAAAAATAGAAAATGTAATCCCTAAAGAAAACCCCACATGCCTCAGTATACATTCAGAGCAGGAAGTTAACAATATCCAACCCTTTTAATGATTCCAGCAAAAATACCACAGAACTGGGCCAGTCTTAATTCTCCTATACGTTTTCTTTTGCAGATAGAGCAACTGAAACAAAAAGCAGACAAGCGAGTGAGAAGTGTAAGTATGTCTGCACTGCTGGTGTTCTAGCATATTGCACTGAAATCTGCCTGGGCTGAATTAATTTATTAATATAATTTATTTTTAAAAATGTAAGATAATAGGATTTTGAAGTTAATTTTGGGGGGAAGCATTTCTGCTAGGCATGTGATAGTCTCATTACAGAATAAAGCATAAGTGTATAGTGTATAGGAGGGGTAACTAACTCATAGACGTACCAGACCCCCAAAAGTTTTTTGTGGCCCCCAAGTCTCCCACAATTAATCTTTTTTTTAGTTGACTACTCCTGTGGGTCCCTGGTAGGAACACTACCAGTTGAAAACAGAAGTCTGAGCTCATGTCTCATTTTCAGCATGGATAAGGCACTTTGTAGTCAGCAAGTAGCATCAAGAAATGCATTTTTAACAGAATCTGACAAAACCTTCAGGTGCGGTACCAAGCAATAGAAGACTACAGTGGTGCCTGTTGCCCTCTTACAAAAGGCTTGAGGACGTTCATCACGACTCCATGCACTGAAGAACCAAGAATTTCGCTTCGTAAAGGGGATCAGATTTTAGCTACTAGAGGCTTGAAGTTAGTACTTATTTTGTTATTCAAAGTTCCACTGAAAGATAATCCTGGGGTGAACAGTTTTACCAATTAATTTATTTATTATCTTTCAGACACTGGATGTATGGAGACAAAATTGACTCGGCAACTGATGGTAATTTTGCATTTGTGTGCATTACACTTTTTAAACTACAGTGTTTCATTTCAATCTTACAAGTGAATCCAAAACTGATTTCACAAATTCATTACTTTTCAATGCTTCCAAACACAAAAAGTGTGAAACAGAACCAGGCCCTGGTCGGAGAAATAGGTGGGGGGGGTCTGATACAATTAAAAATTAAACATTTATCTAAACATGAGGCTTTCATGTTCTCGAGTTCTAAGGGCAAGGCCTTCCGAAGATAACCTAAGAGTAGCTTGCAAACAGCATGCAAAACCTGCAGAAAAGGAGAATCAGATTGACACAGCATCTACTAGTGACCCAAACAAGAGCAATGTGCTCACCATCCATCTGCTGACACTTACCATATCTAGGCTAGGTTTCAGCAGAATATTAACTGCTTATCCATAAACTGACAAGTGTGTTATTTTGGTTAGAGATTGCTGGACCTCTGTGATTTAGAGAACAGCCAACATCACCTGGAGAGTACCCCATTTGGCTCCCCCTGTTCTGCAATGATTTGGGGAGGTAGGGAAGTAAAGATGTCTGGGAAATGCTATGTTTTATGGCTAATTTCTGCTGTTTTCTCTCACTGCTAGATGGCAACAGAATCAGAGGCTGGTTTCCAAGGAGGTGCGTAGAGAAATGCCTGTATGATTCTGAAACAGATCAGCCATTGGACAAGGAGAAGAAAACAAGATAACCCTTTCCCTGCCTTGCTTTTGGAAACGGAAAGGTTCCTTTTGGACCACTGTCCTTTTACTTGAAATGTTCTGTACATTGTTCAGTTCATAAATCTATAGCAAAGTGTTTTCGTATGTGTGAGTGCTCACAAGGATGGCTCCCCTAGTGCCATAATCTTAAGTACTTTTTGCCATTTATAAAATGGAGAAAGCCATTCCATTAATGCCTTTTGATATTAAAACTTTGCAGGACAGAACATTTGACCTGTTTTCCTTTGTATTTAATTTTAGTACTGCTCACTTAAAAGTATCTTGTTTTATATTACATTCCATTGGCCTTTCACCCCCACCTTGGAAGCTGGGAAAAACATTTGGTTTAGTGAACGTCAATGCTGGTAAAAGATTTGATACCTAGGATTGTTTTAAATTTTGAAATCATGTGCATTTTCCCCCCAGAATCACACACACATGTATTATGTATGTATTATTATTCTATGGTGCATAGTGGCAGGTGAGCTTACTGCTAAATTGCTGGAGAATTTTTGCAGTAAATTTTTGTAGTAAATAGAAAGTTGTATATTTGTCGTGAGCCTAAAGACACAATACCACATAGTATGTGTAGTACCTTCGTTAAGTTATTCCTGTTTGCACTGATGGCTGAATGATGTGAAAATTGACTTTAATAGGTTGTATGTTGATGAGAATTAGATGAACAAATGACCCATTGTTAGTTATGTTAAAGCAGGTAGTCTTAACTCAGGACCTCCTTTTCTTCTCTTTCCTATGCCAAATCCTCTGGTTGTCTGAACTTCTTTGTCATAGGCCACGGGTGTTAATTTTTTTCATGAAATTTGTTAGCTGCCCCTCAGCGTAGGACAGGTTACAGTTAAAATACAGTAATCAAAGCAATAAAATGCATGGAGAAACAGCAACGCCAATAAAAGCCAACTGAACAACAATGACAGCCATTTTTATAAGATGTTGTAATGTTTGGACAACTAAACTATTCTCTGGTGTCGAAAAGACAAAGTTTATACTAGTGGCGCTTCTCTTGGGGGGCGGCATTCTAAGCACAGGGTGCAACAACTGAAAAGGCTCTCAGTGCCCCTTCTAACATCAGATAGTGGGAGAAACAGGAGGACCTCCAGTGAAGGTTGTAAAGTCCCATCAGATTCACATGGGTGTATCTACACACATATCAAAAACATTCTGAAAAACCTTTAAAAAAAAAGTTTTAAAAAATACATTGAATTTTCCATAACGCTCACCATCTCCATCTAGTGTCACATTGTGTATTGCACTTAAAACACACTTAAAACTTTTTCTTTACAGCCATGGTAGAAGGTGGTCCTGCAAGCAGCCAAATTCTGAGAGCCAAAGACAACACCCAGCACTTTTCTGTAATATTCACATTCCGGAATATTAGCCTTGTTTCGCCATCCTAGGCTTCATCAGTAGAACAGGTTCATATGAAATATATTACAGGATAGTGGATCTTACGGCATAGTAGTGGTTGCAGTCATGCTATAAGATCCACTACTGATGAAGCCTAGGTTGGTGAAACAAGGCTAATATTCCGGAAAGCCTTGTCTTAGACTCTGTGAAAGGATTCTGTGGAACTGTAAGAACCCTTCATGTGGATTATTGGACTCTTTGAACCGACAGGTGGAATAGATACTTTTACATGTATGGACCTTATGCATGAACTGACTAGAGAATGAACTTATCCACTGGATCTTCTGCTTTTTTCGTTGAACCTTATGAGACTTCCATTGAAATCTATACTTGGATACAATGAATAGTATACCTTATTTATTCAAAAGGTTGGATTTTATGGCAACCCCCCTGCAAATTAAATATCCTACCCAGTTCACCTAACTAATATTACCCAACCAAAAATTGAGACACCTGAATAGCAGATTTCTCATTGCCCATTTCTCATTTCATACTTGTAGAATTTCTAGATGCTGCTGGACTAAATTTGGTGGACATCAGTTCAGGTTCTGAAAGCCCTGCTTAGTCATGTAGTCTAAGCATGTAGAATCATGATAGCTGCTAGTTGTACAGGTGTAGACACTAGTTTTCTCAGTTTTGTTTTGGTCTTCAGGTTAAATGAGCGATTTAATGCAACGACCACCTATCACATATTTAGAAACCAGGATTTCTATGAAGTCTGAAAACTAGAACCAAACTCTCGATACAAGAGAAGTCAGATAGTTGTGGGTTTTTATAAAGACTGGATTACGACTGTAGCAAATCTTTGTGCTCAACGCTAGGCAAAAGCAAATGCAGCATCTACTGTACCAAGAAGAAAACCCACTAAGAGATAATGAAGCAGCCTTACTGATGGTGAAGAGGATCAATGATACTTCAAAGAATATAGACAAATAGCTCTGATTTGGTGGGAAAGAGGTGCTTTGATAGGAAAAGTTGCAAAGCATCCCTGACAGATCTCGCCTCTATATCCTCCGGCCCCCATTTGTATGCTGTGTTTAATGCCAGTATTTCTCCTCACCCCAGGCTACTGTTACTAGTCTATGCTGCAACAGATCAAAGATGCTCTAGTTACTCATCTACAGTCCTGTCCCTGAAACCATCTTTGAGCACTTTGCTTTTGGAGTTGCAGAGAGAGCTGGAGCACTTGTAACCAGTAAGAGCCAAGGTCAGATTAATAAACATGCGCCTTGACATTAAGGGCAACTTAAATCTGTACAGGAAATGAGACACTAGTCTTGGTAATCCAAGATGTCCCCATCCCTAAAAAAAAACCAAAACCCTTAAATTTTGAATAGATTTTATAAATGCTTAAGAGAAGTATCCTTCCACGTATTGAGAAATGGATATTTACCTTCATGGAATTCAGAGTACAAGATGTACTAAGTCAAAAGACACAAATTTCAGAAAGTGCTATCAGTTTATTTTTCACATACATTTTCAGCCAGCAGGAATAGTTTGCGCCTTAGCGGAATTTGGATACCCAGACTTTAAAAAATAGGCATTAAGTACATTTATTGCCAATGAGGCATTTGAGCACCCACCACAGAAGGATGGCATTCATGGCTTTTTCTCCAAAAGCATATACAAAGCTAGAGTAAATGACTGTACAAATCAAGACTATATTACTACATGGGGCAGAGCCTTTCAGTACGATTAGATTAAGTTAGTGTTTAAGCATACTGGTACTATACAATCTCATTATGGCCGTTAGAATCATCAATAGTTTTAAGAGACGTCTTAAATACTTTCCCATACTATCTTCCACATACGGCAACTATCATCAAGTTCTTCCCATTTCATTTAGATTTATACAAATCACAAGGGACAACAGTAGTCAGTGAGACAGAAAGGCAGCTTTGCTCTGAATACAAGTCTGGCATGTTCCATTTGAACAACGTAGTATATTACACAAGATTCACCACAACGAGTTGCTACCTTAGCCAAACATGTTTTTCTTTGAAGAGGAAAGGACACTTAGTTGATTCAGGTCCTTCATTTTTCAGCTGTTTAGGGCCTACCAAGTGCTTTCACAGTTCACTGTAAATACAATTAGCTGAGGCTCCCCGCCCCCTAACTACATATTAGCAGCATAGATAGCATCAATTTGACTTCTGAAGAATTTGGATACTTCTGCTCTCTTTGCCTTCAGTGTTGGGGTCAACAGTCCATTTTCAACTGTGAGCATCTCGGGATGGAGGTAGAGATCTTTCACCTGGTTGTGGAGACAATATTTTTGTCATAATAGTGCCTTATGCATTTGTCTGAGGTGGACAGTTTGCCTTATACTAAGGTTCCCTCTTTACCTTTGAGAAGCTATACTCTCAAGCCCTTGGGATCGAGGAAGTCTATAGTATTTCCTCAAACAGGCCCCCACCCCTATTTTCTTTTTCTATCAAAAGAGCTAGTTGTTGACAGCCACCATTTCACAACACACCAAGTGCCCCTTTGCTTAGGAGCAAAGTGCTATAACCATTTGTTACAGTATGGAGCGTATCATGCAGATTTCTGGTGTGATAATTCTTGGTTGTTGGATGCCTGCCCCACATCAATAGAGGCATTGCAGCAGATCTCTGGACTTGTCAGAGATCAAAGTTTGAGATAGAAATCTGAACTACATGTCCTAGGATGACAAGATACCTTTGAAACCTCTTGGAAGTCCAGAGATTTATTTATTTATAATTTTCACTTTTACAAATTTCCACATTTACAAAAGTCCGGAGATTTAAGACCAACTTATTCCTCCCGTATCTCTGACACACTCAATTCCTTTTGTAAAGGGATAAGGGCAGAGTACTATGGAAACATTATGGTGCTGATTTAAATCTTTTTATAAGCCGTTTTATGCATTCAAGCTTCTTTCCAACACAAACGGAGTATGCAGAAACCCGTCTCTCTACTTCTGGAGATCTGCGTTAAGAGTTCATTCTCTTTGAAGCCACTTAACAGCAATAGCCTTGAACAAACTGCATACTCACTTGTTCAAATGACTTGAGGCCAGCTTCTTTCCCCAACCTGATTATGTCTGACAGGATAGCTTTTTTCACCACCTAGAAGCAGAAAATATATTGGTAGGATTTAAACCAGCGGGTTTGAAAAACTTATAAGTTTATCTTAATGCCTTTAGAGACCAAGACTACATAAATGAAAACCCATTTCAGACCTGGAAACGATGCAAGTAGTCCCATAATATCATAACAGATTTATGTTTACCAGTAACTAACCTATATATGGTAGCAACAAGGTGAAGAACAGAGACTTCCAGAAGCAGGTTACTGATGTAAGTCACCCCTCTATCCCAGTCAGCATGATTGTGGAATATTTTTAGCCAATGGTTTTCCCTTTCTACGAATCTTAACTTCATGGAATGAATTCACATTTGTTCTGCAGGAGTATTTTTCAGGAGTCAAATCTCACATTGTGCTAGAAAGTGTTTCTTGGAATTTTAATGAGTTCAGTTCTGTGCATTCAGGCTAAGGAAGGCACTAGATTTTAGAAATCTGAGAGAAATGTATAGACCTCAAACACGCATTCTTTCCCACTCACAGCTGCCCAATCCGCTGGTTGTTAAAGCCTGACACCATAACGCAGTTTAATTCTTAAGGAATTTGTGTGGCTTGGTGGTGGAGTGGGAAGAGACCCTCACAGAGCCATGCACTTAGCAAGTATTGTGAGCAAAAAATAGAAACAAGGACTATTGCCTCAAAAGCCTTTTAAAAAACCTCAAAGGGAGAGGTTATAAGCAAATTAAATACTGCACTCACACAAAATTCACTTCCAGGATTGCTGTCTATTTCTTAACACGCAGTTGTTCACACCTCAGCAAATGTGTGCATTAAGCTTGAACATGGGGAGTTTTACTAGCACAACTTTCTAATCAAACAGCACACTCAAGATACATACGAAGTTAACATGCAAGTTCAGACATGAAAATGCTGCTAAAGTAAAAACTTTCACTGCAGTGACAAGTAATTATAATAATTGCCTGCTCCTCTCGCTTAACCCACTATAACAGTCTTGGTTGCCAACACACAATTTAGAATAACTGTTCTAATCGCATATCCAATTTCCTCCCATCTTGGTTTAAAAGCTACCTTGCTTAAATCTAGTTTAGTAGGCTGTATTGTAGGATTGGGTATACATTAATAATTTTAGCAGGAAGCAGCTATTTACAAGTTTATGTGCTATGGCACAAAAGACTCATATATCACCTCATGCAAAACTGCATATCCAAACACCAAGTGAGAGTCAAGAGGCAAACTGGCTCTTTTATTATCGAACTCTGAAATCCAGTTTACAATCAGACAATTTCCCCTTCAAGTTCACCGAATGAACTCTTATCTTCAGTAACTTGGATCTTCACAAAGTGAGAGAAAGGCACTTACTGTATTTTTGCAGAGTTCCTCAAACGAACCTTTAACTCCCAACTTTGCTGCAAACTCTGGAAGGGTCTCTGGATCAGGAACCACCACACTCACCAAGAATGACTGTAGGAAGAATGAACATTCAAACTCCAGAAAAAAATGGGTGTGGGTGTGTTGTATGTACTCGTTCCCAAAGATTTCCACTTGGGCACATTGAGTTCCTTTGGATCTCAATGGTCATGTCATACTATAAAGAAGTAAGCTTCTATGATCATGCAATCCGTTAGGTCTTCATTATGTCCCCGCAAGTCACCCATCTCAGCAGCAGTGTGTGTCTTGACCATTCTGATAGAATTGTCTGGCCCTAGAAACCAGTTAGCACAGTGGCTGAAGATACAGCTCTGAACAGGGCACACTTACCTGTAGGCTATCTCCATGCACAAAGACCTGTGCTACAGGGGCACTTCCGAGGTAGATGTTTTCAATCTTTTCAGGTGCAATATATTCTCCCTGAGCTAGCTTGAAGATGTTCTTTTTTCTGTCAATTATCTTCAATGCACCACTCTGCAGAAAGTACAAAAACAAGTTTGGAGACAGGATTAGAAATCTATCTATATCCCACATTTTTCTCCAAAGAGCTCAAAGTTGTGTATATGATTCTCCCACTCTTTAGTTAATCTCCACAACAACCCTGTGAGGTAGGTTAGGCTGAGAGGCAGTGATTGGCCTAGCAAGCTTCACGGCAGAGTGGCAATTTGGACTCTGGTCTCCCAGCTCCTAGTCCCACACACTAACCACTACACCACACTGGCCTAAAATTCCCGGAGTGGTTTAATGATCATTCCTTCTTCACAGGGAACTCTGGGAATTGCAGCTATGTGAGGAGAATTGGGATTTCCTAACAACTTTTGGCCCCCATAACAAACCACTGCTCCCAGAATTCTTTGTGGAAAGCCATGACTGCTTAAAGTCATAGGGTTTAAAATGCATTATGTAAATGTAGGCCAAGTAGAATGCTTTAAGAATAATGCATCGGTGCCATATTCAGTAATTCAATCTTTGAATGGTGCATTCATAACAAACCCAATCAGTAGCTTTTGGGAGAGTCCTTAGTGCCTCATATCTCCTAATCCACAGTGCACTATATGCAAGAAAGCGTGCCCTCTGGCTGTATTATCCACCACCAATTTCACAACTTGTAGTAGAATGCACACTTTGGGGTGTATTAATTAATCTTGCTATTTGAAGGATACATGGGGAATGCTTATTGCTGCAACATACCGAGAGTCACTGTGACGTTTATCTTATATTATACATCCGATTTGTGTTTGGGTACCAAGCTTTGCAGGAATAGCTTCCTTATCTTTGCAAGGGAATAATTACTGCAAATCTCATTTTAAACACTTTCAAGTATCCTTTCTAGGAGCCATTTTCTACAGCCAGATGCAGAAAAGCTTGGAGACCAAAATGGAGGCCACGTCTAGATAATCTGTTTTATTGAGAAGTCATCCATGTACAGTGGTACCTTGAGTTAAGAACTTAATTCATTCTGGAGGTCCGTTCTTAACCTGAAACTGTTCTTAAGGTACCACTGAGGTACCACTTTAGCTAATGGGGCCTGCCGCGCCGCCGCCAGGCAATTTCTGTTCTCATCCTGAAGCAAAGTTCTTAACCCGAGGTACTATTTCTGGGTTAGCGGAGTCTGTAACCTGAAGCGTCTGTAACCTGAAGCATCTGCAACCCAAGGTAGCACTCTATGCTTGTGGGGAGGTTATAGGATGTCATGTCAAGCAATTGTTATCTCACATTCAAGCATATTTTAGTCCACAGTTTCATTTTGTTCGAAGTGGGTTAGTTGCATCAGAATTCCAAATGGTGCAACCTGGAATTAGCCAGCATACTGTTCTGTGCAAAGTAGTCAGCAAGCTGCCTCAGTGACCACCAACTTACCGGCATCCATTTCCCAATGTCCCCAGTATGAAGCCACCCATCTCGGTCAATAGCTTCATCAGTTTTCTCAGGATCCTTCAAGTAACCCTTGAATACATTTGGCCCCTTAATGCAAATCTATAGAAGGCACACAAAAATAGGTGTTAGACCCCATCTATTTTAAACTTCAGCTCACAGAATGCTACATCACAAAAAGGAGCTTACCTCTCCTTCCCCGTTAGCTGCAAGGTAGTTCATTTCAGCAACATCGTCAAGTTTTACAATGTTGCAAGCTAGGGGGGGTCCGACGTGACCTAAAGAAGAACACCCATGCAGAAAATTTAGGTTTTTTTCTCGGTACAATCTTCCCTTCTTTACCTGTCTTGTTTAAAATCGCCAAAATTCCATGGAGGTGCATATGAAGAAGGGCAAAAAGTGGCTGTTGTCGTATCAACCCATTCCTTATTGCTTACATATTGAAGTAACTGTTAACTTCCATAATCGCCTTTTATAGCGTAAATGGTTATAAAAGTCTCTCCCACCTCCACAGCAGAAAAGCAAGCTCTGAATAATCAGATTAGAAGTTGTCTTAAGTCTAACTCATCTTGCCAGTATAGCCCATTCTGCTAGTAAACGGAAGGATGTCATATTTAAATGCAGGAGAAGCAAAAAACCTGTTGCCCTCCCCCCCCCCCATATATATGTGATCAGTTACATAGAAAGAAGAAAGCAGCTGGATGAACTGCAAAGCAGCCAGAGAAGCCAAAGGAAAGCTCCCATCTCCCCCTGGCCCACACAAACACAGAAGATACAACTCATCCAATACTACCTTGCCCATCATAAGATGTTTCTTTAACTCATGCTGGCCATCTATTATACGCAACTATAAGCCAACTGAAGCCCAAGTCATAGTCTTCAGCCACACTCAGAATTTTAAGAAAGCATACCAGTCGTCCAGTCTCCCGGCAATGAAAATGTGCAGCCACCTGTGCACTCTGTTTGGCCATATGCTTCAAAGATCTGTTTTGGAAGACAAATATTTAATTAGATGGCGCCCTTTAGTTCCAGTTGCAGTTCTGATGGGTTTGTTTTATGACAACGTGGAGTCTATATGAACAATTCAATGAACAAGGCAAGTTCTGTCATGACAGAGATCCATTGAGGTAGGTGGTACAGTGGTGCCCCGCAAGACGAATGCCTCACAAGACGAAAAACTCGCTAGACGAAAGGGTTTTGCGTTTTTTGAGTTGTTCCACAAGACGAATTTCCCTATGGGCTTGCTTCGCAAGACGAAACGTCTTGCGAGTTCTTGCGAGTTTGTTTCCTTTTTCTTAAAGCCGCTAAGCCGTTAATAGCCGCTAAGCCGTTAATAGCCGCTAAGCTGCTAAGCTGCTAATAGCCGTGCTTCGCAAGACGAAAAAACCGCAAGACGAAGAGACTCGCGGAACGGATTAATTTCGTCTTGCGAGGCACCACTGTACTTCCTAGGGGCGTTGCTCAGAAGTGGAGCCTATAGGACTGGATTATTTGTGAAGTGTTTCCATAATTCCTCCCCCCCCCCCCCCCGTTTAAATACTTTAATGAAATTCATAGATAACATACACAATATACAAAGATGAAAACAATCATGTACTAATAATCTTATATATGTTTACAAAAATTAAATTTAAATTAAATTTATGCAAGCTCTTTTTTCCTATCTTTTTGCTGACATAGAATAGACTTCCTATCATTTCCCGATGCATATAACCTTTCTGGTGATGAAGGTAAAGGTAAAGGTAAAGGGACCCCTGACAGTTAAGTCCAGTCGCGAACGACTCTGGGGTTGCGGCGCTCATCTCACTTTACAGGCCGAGGGAGCGGGTGTTTGTCCACAGACAGCTTCCGGGTCATGTGGCCAGCATGACTAAGCCACTTATGGCGAACCAGAGCAGCGCATGGAAACGCCGTTTACCTTCCCGCCAGAGAGATACCTATTTATCTACTTGCACTGCGTGGTTTCAAACTGCTATGTTGGCAGGAGCTGGGACTGAACAGCGGGAGCTCACCCCATTGTGGGGCCTCTAACCGCCGACCTTCCAATTGGCAAGTCCAAGCGGCACAGTGGTTTAAACCACAGCACCACCTATCATTTCCCGATGCATATAACCTTTCTGGTGATGAATGTACTTATTACCTTACACTTTCTGTACTTTCTAATACTTTCTTACAACAATTCATACCTTTTTGCTTGTTTCTTATATTACAGGTATCTCTTGTACATATCCCATTTTTGAATACATGTTTGTCTTGTATTACCTCTTAGTCTGTTAGTCAGTTGCACCATTTCCGCATATTCCAGTAATTTGCACTGCCAATCTGATAAAGTTTGAACTTTTCCCAAAGTGTTTCCATAATTTTGCCTACAAAATATACACTCACTATTAAAATCAAAATTATGGAAGAGTTTCCATAATTTTGATTTTAATAGTGAGTGTATATTTTGTAGGCAAACGAATTGTTCCATTTTGAAGTGTTAATGTGCTTGTTATTTTTGGACTTGTTTTCATGTATTCTCTCGTTTTCTGTATATTGCCTTCTTTGTTATTTTTATTCCATGGTTGCCCTTCTGTGGCACTGAAATATTTGATAAAGAGCAGGTTACAACAAAATTTGCACAGTCAGACAACTACAGTCATGGCGAAGCTTCCAATATCGGTTCATCGCCCAACCAACGGCAGCACTTTTCATTTATCAGGTGCCACAACAATGCCACTAACAGAACCTTCAAGCTAACTCATTTGCTTCCTTGGGGTGGGGTGGAGAAAGCCGTGGGGGCTTTGCCCTTACCTGACACCCAAAGGCTGCTCTGAGGAACGTTAGGACAGGTGAAGATATGGGGGCAGCTCCAGTGACTACGATTCGCACCTTCCCACCCAAGATTTCCTGTGGAGAAGGGAAGAGAAGAATGTAAGCATAGGCGCCCCCGCAAAAGGTATTGTGGCATTGGTTCTGAAGTCTAAAAAGGGGAGCACATACCTGAACTTTATTGAACACTAGCTTGTCCCAGATGCTGGTGTTTCGGATAATGCCTTGCTTCACTTCAGCATGCTTCCTGGCTACAGCAACTTTGAGCAGTAACTGCTTGAAGTTTGTTTGGGCACCACTTTGAATCTGCAAGAAATCAGGGCACGGTACTACTAAAGGGGATGTGGGCATCCAGTGACTCCAGAGCTAACCTCTTAATTTCTGGTGACCCCATTTCTCTGCCCTTCCCAAACATCCAGCCATTATACCCCCTAACCTTAAGATGGATTTTAAAGCCATGATGGGACATGGGAGAGTTTAGGAGAAAGCCCTGTGGCATTTTAGGGTGAGCTTGCCATTTCTGGTTTCAGGATTTGGTGGCGTGGGAACTTGGGAAGGTACAAGGATTCTAATCGAACTATTCTATGGAAAAGTTAAACAGAAGCATAATATACCCAGTTGCAATTGTACTTAACAGGATTCAAGTGGAGGCAGCTTTATATTAGGTACAATGTTTACCTTGTCATAGATCCTGTTGAGCAGTCTTGGCACCACTGGGAAGATAGTTGGCTTCAAAGTTTTCATGTCATCAGTTAGAAATCTAATATCTCCTTGGAAGAACCCCACTTTTGCTCCGTTGCTGTACATTACGGTCTAAAAAGTAACCATGGAAGACCTTGAATATACTGCAAAAGGTACTAGGATTGAGACCCCACTCCCAATCTGCCAGTTGAACCTCTGCCCATTAAAACATCTAGATATCAGTTGCCTCCATTCATTGATCTTTGTGAACACTGGGTATTTATTTAATTAAAAGCTTAATTAAAGAAAAGCTTTTTCAGAACATAAAAATGGATTGCTGTAAACTGTGTTCCTCAAGCTAAGTTTGAGAGGTGTTTCCATGTGTGTACACATACACATACACACTCCACATCTCAAGATCTTGCTTGCAACATTTATCATGATATACAAGCACACCTTGTTGTCACATTAAGCAGGAAGGACCACAATCCTTTTGCCAGACGGGTTGCTTACAGAGCCAGCCAGTGGCTAAGCCACTCATGTGCCACTGTTTAACCTTTTGAAGAGACCCAAGAAGCACCACACAGTTGCTCCCAGTGGCAAGAAGAACTTAGAAAGGGGTTTTACCTGCACTACTCTCTCAAACATGTGAGCTAGAGGAAGGTATGACAGCGATACATCCGATGGCACACAAGGACTTGTCATCTGTAAGAAAAGAAGCAGGCGGTGTCACAATGATGCTCTAGTTCTACAAACATGCAAAAATGTAGAGTTTGATTGTTGGCGGCCTGACCAACCTAAATAGTCAGCTTGGCCTTTGCATATGGTCACTTACTTCTATAGTCTTCATGAAAGCAGCAGCATTGGCAACAATACTTTCATGTGTTAGCATGGCTCCTTTAGGGTTACCTACACACATAAAAACAAACAAATTTGTAGCTCAAACCAGGAATTTAAGAGCTGTTTCAGGTAACCTGAACACCATGAAACAACACTCCTTTCTTTATTATTATTATTTTTAAAGTATGGACTAAGTGTGAACTCAAAGCAGCTTTAAAAAAACACAACTTCATGGTTTAAAAATCATAAAATGCAGCATAAAAATCTACCCCTATAGATTTCTTTTTGAGACAGGCATGCAATACTGCTAACCAGGCCAGTTTTAGCTATTACAGATAGCATGCAATCTTTCTGTCAGAATAAGAGGTGTAGAGTCAAGTGCCCCCTGAATTTCTGCATCAAATAACCATTTTTGAAGGCCCAGTGGGAAATCTTCAAAATGATGTTAAGTGCTACTTCTCTTTCCTTGCTTCCCTTCCAAATTGTGTGGCAGTCTTATTCTATGAAGAGCTGTCAACAGTTTCACCTCAATACCATCAGTTTTAATAGGATTTGTGTCTCTTCCTCCCTATAGAAGTATCAAGGGGACACAGAAATTTATTGTTGCCCCCTCTCCACATTCCTTGAGAAGAGTCCAAATTTCACCCTGTGAAACTGAAGTTCCCGTTCAGGCAGCATGAAGGAATAAAAAGAAAAACCAACAGGAGTACTAAAACACATCAGGAACATATTAAGGTAAAGGTAAAGGGACCCCTGACCATTAGGTCCAGTCGTGACTGACTCTGGGGTTGCGGCGCTCATCTCGCTTTATTGGCCGAGGGAGCCGGCGTACAGCTTCCGGGTCATGTGGCCAGCATGACTAAGCCACTTCTGGTGAACCAGAGCAGCACAAAGAAATGCCGTTTACCTTCCCGCCAGAGCGGTACCTACGGTATTTATCTGCTTGCACTTTGACGTGCTTTCGAACTGCTAGGTTGGCAGGAACATATTACATGGCATAAATACAAGGATTTGTATGAAAACCCCTCAAATGCTTCTGGCATGAGTGGTTATGGCTGGAGCTTTTTTGTTTTGTTGTTGTTTTTGTTTCAGTAATTGGATGGGCTCCATTATCTCCAACATTTGAGGTGAGTCTTAAAATCTAAAAATAGGATTAGCGTTTGTCCCTTTTGTCACAAAAGATGGTGTCTATTGATGTTCTACCAAGTTATTTACCTGTTGTTCCGCTGGTGAAACAGACTATGGCAAGATCTTCTGGCTTGGGAAGCTGAAATAAGACAACAGTTGAGTCCAAAATGGGTTCAAGCTTTTAAAATCACACATGGTAGTAAATAGACCTCATTGGTTGAGTAAAACAGAGGATGAGTACTTACAACTGGTCTGCTGAAATTGTGTTTTCCTAGCATCTGTAGGAAAACAAGCAAGAGCAATTAAGCAGTGCCACTAAGGAATGGGGCAGTTGTGGTGGACAGTGGTGATAACTATTACAGGGTAGCTCAAGAAGTAGATGTTCTGAAGTGGTTTGGGGTGGGGGAGTATGAAATGATGGTTCTGAAGTGGTTTGTGTGGGGGGGGGGAGTATGAAATGAGTTGTAGGCCAAAAACATCTGGAGGGCTGAGGTTGAGGAAGCCTGCTTTAATCATTCTCAAGAGTAGACTTGTTAAGCAAAAGGGACCCTGTACCTCAATTTCTTGTAATGAAAAGATTTCAACTCCCAGGGAAGCTCCTTTTTCCTTTAATGTGCCATCAAAAGGATCCATCAGAATTATCATCTTCAGTCCTGGTGTCTTCTTTTGTTCACAGTTCTCAAGTATCACTTGTGCTTTCTCGGGTTTGTCACATATCACTGTAGAAATGTCAGCTAAAGGAACACACATAACACTTGACAACCTCCATCACTGGACTCAAGTTACACAGAACACACAAGCAGCACCAGCTTGCTGAAGCAGACATCTCCACATACCCATTTCATGCGGCAATCTTTTAAGAAGTGGAAAGTGGAAATAATGCATTAAGTGCAAGCACTCTGTGTGCCAGAAGCTTCTGGGAGCTGCAAGGAATGATAGCCTAACTGCAAGCCACACCTGGCAGGCACAGCTATCAAGACACAGACACTTAAATTTACTGTGAGGAGTATAGGCCTCTTAATTGGGCTTTAGAGTCTGTTAAGTATACTACACCATTATTATTATTCCTGCCGCTCGTACTAGCTTGTAAAAACACTTTGAGCAAGCATGTTGCATGCAAATGCCAAATGTCTCTTTAACCCAAACAGTTGCTTTGGGAGGGAGCATTTGGGATTCTAGGAGAATTTAGGGCATTTACTCCTTTATCCATCATGTATGTTTGAAAGCAAGCTTTTGTCTACAGGTTTCATGATCTACAACACCATGCATTTCACTGAAAGGAAAGAGCTGTTGTGGGGGGGAAGTAAAGGAAAACATCTTCCACTGTTGTTTCCGACTGAGGTCAAGCAACTTAATTACCGGTAAGTAAGGCTACCATTGCATGGTTTGTGTAGCTTGGATCATAGCTGCTATAATTGGAAGTCATGCTATACTAATGGAGTACAATTAAATGAGCACCCAACTTGTCCAGACTAGTACAAAAAGTCCACTACTATTCTGCTACCCAAGAGACATAACTTCTCGGAGAATTAAATTCAACAAGGTTTCCTGTTAGGATTTTAAACTTGTGGCTTTCTCTCTTGTGAAAAGCATTGGGTGCTTTATAGCAATTGCAGTAAAAACACTGGCTAGCTGTATTTCATTCCACTTGTGATTTTAACACTGACAGAGATTTTATCCCCAGACATTTCCAAGAGTTTCATTCAAAGAAGCTGCAACTCTTTGCATTCAAAAAGTTGGTTTCAAAGAAGTGAGCAAAATAAACTTTGAGGAAGTTCAAAGCTTACTAACTGAAATACAGTGGTACCTCGGGTTAAGTACTTAATTCGTTCCGGAGGTCCGTTCTTAACCTGAAACTGTTCTTAACCTGAAGCACCACTTTAGCTAATGGGGCCTCCTGCTGCTGCCGCGCCGCTGGAGCACGATTTCTGTTCTCATCCTGAAGCAAAGTTCTTAACCTGAAGCACTATTTCTGGCTTAGCGGAGTCTGTAACCTGAAGCGTCTGTAGCCTGAAGCATATGTAACACGAGGTACCACTGTACCAGCAATGGAGTGTATGATCCTCACCTGTATTTTTGTGTGTGTCTGCAAATTGAGTTTAATGGCCACTATTTTCATTTCAATAATGCCTTTTTTTGTCTAGGATAGCATAAACGTAACTATAGAAGGGGGGGTGTCTTCTATTTAAGCATTTTGAAGCCAAGATGAGACTAGTTGCAAGCAATTGCATTGTTTCATTGCTTTACAGAAATAAATACCCTGTTACCACCCCTGTGTAGTCTTCTGAAGACAGATTATGTTCAACACTGTCAAAAGTATCTTCTAAGAGGCAAACTCTGACTATTTGTCAAAAAGCCTGAAGAAGTTTTCCAAAGGCAGGCTCAGAAAACCCCACCTCAAGAAGGAGCAGGACCAAAAATCTGATCAGGGACTTAAAGTTGGTTGAGAAATGCTTTGCTCCTCTACTTAAGCAAGGTCTTTGTCTCATGGGGATTCCAGGGCTTTTTGCGGTCAAAGATCCAGCATACCGACAGCTGTACTGACATAACAGAGCTTCAGCTACTAAAGCTCTTTCATTTGGCTCTATTCAAAGCAACATTGTTATGTCACATTGAACAGGACTGGTATTACAGAGGAGGAGGAGGAGGAGAGGTCAGTTCCATTAATGACACACAGGGTTACCTGCTACCCCAACCTCAGATTTTACACCTGTCTTTTACTTGCCCCTCTCCAGACTAACGAAGCAGGGGATAATTTTTCTGAGTCATTTATGCGTTTTAAGAAGAATTTGGGTCATATTAACTCAAATAGGAGGGGTATTCTTGGAACTTTTGTCCCTCTATTTGAGGACCAAATTTCACTTTATAGTAGTCACTTGTCAAGAAAATAACGCGCGCCCCCCCTATAAATAAAGAGTAGAACAAGGTATTTCATGGCCAGAGAAAACAGCTTACCTTTGTTAATAATGTACACAATTGCATCAGGTCCCAGAGTGTCATAAAGGGGAACTGCAACCATTGAGTAAGTGTAGCAGGCAAGCTCAGAGATCACCCACTACAGGAGAAAAGAACGGAAAAACACATAAGCATTGTGTGGCAATATATAAAACAGCATGTTTAAGGATCAGGTATCTTCTAGTAATCCTCCCATTAGAGCTTCAGGTGTTAATTGTGTTGAGCTTGTGAACTTGCAAGCTTGCACCTGGCAGCAGTGGCGTAGCATGGGGGTGCAGGGGGGGCCGGCCGCACCGGGCGCAACATCGGGGGGGGCGCGCTCGCGCTCGCAGCTCTCTGCCCCTACCTGGCTCACTCACTCTCACTGCAGTGCTGGCTGTGCGAATCCGATCCGAGCCGCTGGGTCGCCGCCCACTGTGGAGGGGGTGGGTGCCAGGCGTGCGGTGCGGAGAGAGAGCGAGGGACTATCGGGGGCGGGACAGTGCAGCGGCCGCCTAGCGCAGCGCTGAGCGTGGGAGAGAACCACACCAGACCAGCCCAGGCAGCAGCAAGAAGAAGCTGGCAGCGGCGGCAGGTTAGGGGTTAGGGGGCGCAAATTACTTGCCTTGCCCCGGGTGCTGACAACTCACGCTACGCCGCTGCCTGGCAGGAACTATATATGACACATCTATTCCAATGAGCATGATTAGTCAAGGAAGCTTGATTTTATCAGCCAAACTGCAGAAGCAATTGTGGTAGATATGCAAGCCATTGTGCAAATGGGGGGGGGGCTCATTAGGAAATTGTGAACACATCCCGTATTAATTCCAGCAAGACAGGCAACATGCCAAAGCTGCTCCCAACACCAGACCAGAACACGGATACAACATGAACAGGCAGCAGGTCCATTCACTTCTTCTGCTGCTTCCAAACATTAATATCAAAACAGTGTGGAAATTTAGGAACGGTTTTACCAGAATATTATGGCCAACTAGGATTCTCACAAGTTACCTCTGGTCTATTCTGAGCAAAGATGCCAATGAACTGATCTCCTGAGGGTTTACATCCTCTGTGTAGAAGACCTGATCCCAGGTGTTCAGCTCTGTCCAGCACCTAGAAATATCAAGGATAGTTAACTTGACATTATTGGCAAGGGATTTAGGTCAATTTTCCAGTTGGTGTTTTAACCAACCTGTTGGTAAGACAGCCACTGAAAAGGTTTCTTTGGTTTTCTGTATCCTAAGCAAGGGCCATTTTCTGCAAGGAAAAAAAATGAGATTATGAATATGCCAGCATAGTAGAAGGGTCTTCAAGTGAACTGAAGGATACCGAACAAGAATCCACAGCTTTTAGGCATCCCTGATTTGCTGACATCGCCAGCCGGATTTGTTGCCTAGATGCTAAATTATGTCTTTAGTTTGCAAGATCTTGAGCAACTGAACACTTTTCTGCATTAGAGGATTCTAGACAGCTCTGTGAAGATGCATTCCCATTCATTGTATTTTCCTTCCTTTAATATTAGATGTGGTTTACAGTTTAAAAATAATAATACTTGAACAGAAAATCAAGCAAATTTCAAGAAACATTAGAATGCCTTCTTAGAGGAAAGTTTGAAATACTTTTCTTATATAGCATTCACATATTACTGTGATATGTAAATCCCCCTCATCAAAATAGCATCAGAAGCTGGCCAAGGACCAAAGCACATGTGATGCAAGAGATTCAGACTGGATTTCTTATTTGGACAACACAGGTTCTTGGGCTCCAAGTCTGAAATTGATCAGTGCAGCAGTGTTGGCAGTAGAATTATACAAATACAAGACACTATACCCGTCTATCTCCCTTTCTTACAAGAGGTCAAAACAAGGGGTGCTGGGCAGTTCAGATCAATAATTGCTAGTGGTTGCTGCTCTGACAAAGTTTGGATGCCTTACACTGGCTTCTTTTTAAAGAAGTGTTCTCTTCTTAATTCAGGATATTAAGTCATTGATCTACCACATTATATGGTTTGGCCTCAAGCATTATGCTCCAACCTCATGAAAATGAAAGTCAGACTTTCTATTTCACACCATTCGTTTCCACACCAATTATAAGGAGCCCTGTAATATTTGTGGTGTTAGAGGATTTGTTTTTATATTCAAGTCATCTCTAAAGCAAGCCAGCCATTTTTGAAGAATATCCTCAGTAGGCAATCACTGTGGGTAGAAAAGGATGCTCATATCAAGGACCATAAACCAGAACCAGACCAAGGACCAAGGACCAGAAAGACTGCCATGAATCCATATTCCCATATGGAAAGCCCAGTGTTATTTTTCTAGAAAAATAAGTGGTGGAACTCACCACCACCATCTCCCTTGTTCTCTTATAATGGCAATGACACTCACTTGAGTGGTACCAGAACTGAGTTCCTGAAAGTTCCACCTGGAAAAGCCTCTGCAAAGAATCATTCTGTTAGCTTTTCCCTACTCAGCTTCATTAGCTTTATCAGGTGAGAAGTACTATGGCAACACCCTCTCCATCCAAAACTGTGGTTTGAACAAGCAATGCTAAAACAGGCCATCCAAGTTGTCCCAGTGAATTCCCTACTCACCTGAGACGTAGCGTCCTCTTCTGAAACTTTCATATAAGGTCCGTGCATCCTCATGGTAATAAGAAAGAAGCTTGCCATCAGGGATAAGAGCACTTCTTCTAGCTCCTCCCTACATTCAGAAATTATTCAGGTTAGTTGGCAATGTGGATGATGCACTACAAGGCCCCACTCCCCACATTAGACTTAACTCAGATTAAGACTACCCAAGGTTCTTCTCCCCACAATCTGTACATAGGGTTTTCTTATTTACAAAGTGCTAAGATAAATGGCTACACCAGCTGAGGGGGAAAACCAGCAATGCATTTAATGATGCATGAACCCCTAAACCACCACAAGTAAGAATAATTAATGGACACAGACTTTCCATGTTCCCTTGATCCGAGCCATGCCTTAAGCCCTAGAGAAGTCTCCACCTGCAATAGTCCTCTCCTAGATCTCCCTTTTCACTTCTAGATGTTTCCTGCCTCCCACCACCTTAAAGTAAACTTAGGGATACCAGCAGCAGTGAAGCTAGTTCAGTTTCAGAGGCAGGGGGAGAGTAAACTTGCCTTATTAACTGGCATGGGCTTCCTAGACCATGGGTTTCCAACTCTCCTCCTCCCATTGTGGAATTGATACTATCCCTATAGCACGTTTCATAGTGCCCAGCAAACGATTTAAGAGCCACTGTTATGGCACTGAAGTCAAGCAAGTATAGAAGCACCACTGTACTTCCTCTTCATCCATCTCAGTCCATTAGGGTAGCTATCAGATCTCCTTCAGAGGCCATCTGTTTCTAAGACAGTCGTAATTAGATGTCAACAAGATCTGTAGCCATTTCATTTGGCTGTCCTCATGAATCGAGCACCATTTCCTCAAGATTTTGTTAGTTGACTCCATGTTAAGTGAGATGGTGCATGACCCACAAAGATGCTTTGTAGGCACACATACAGAAGCTGTTGTACTGATGGTTAACCAATGCCTGTAGCAGAATCCGGTTGACTGGTCAGCTGTGTGACAATACTGCCCCAACCAAGCAGCCTTTGGAGAGAACAATTAACCTGGCAAGTCTGTTCACCTTTTATCTGGTGTACAGCATTGCAGCCAGTCAGCCAAGCCTCAAAAGTTTTCCGGCATAGGGGGAGGTATGCTGCCCCCCCCCCGTGTCATCTGTGCCAGGGACAGCCCCAGCCAATCTGTGGCCAGGTTGGGTATGGCCATGGGCCATTTAAATTTGGAGTGGCCGGCCGGCTCCCTTTTCCTTGCCTCTTCTCCTGGAAACTTTCTTACTTGGGTGCCTTGGCATGCAAAGGAATCTAACATTTACAGGCATAAAAGGAAATTGTGCAGCTGCTGCCCTCTATTTGGATCTAAACTCTTGTTGATCCCAGGTATGTTTCTGGGGGTAAGTGTGTCAGTTTTCCCTGCAATGTTTATGGCTAGCACTCAAGTAGAATCCCAGAACAATATAAGAATGCAGATGTGCACAGTACCATCAGCATACGTGCCAACAATATTGGCTGTTGGAGAATGTAGATTCCCACCGTCCCCTATCTACCACCCAATACTCACTGAGAAAGGTCATAAATCTCAAGTAGTTTCCATAGCAAGTCAAGTACCGGTACATTTCACACAACAGCATCCAATGAAGGGTAAGCTAAGCAATTCATACATTTCATCTAGCCCATTCATCTGCCAAGAGCGGCTGATGACCTCTTTTTCTTTTCTTTTACCTCAGTGCCAAGCGACTGCTTCTTCAAGTCAACGGGAGCTGCAATTGGTTTTGGTTTGGTTATCAGCCATAGGAAGACTGTTGTTCCGAAAGTAACAAGACCAATCAAAGCAGGAGTTGGGAGTGGTGAAAACAAGAACTGAAGTATCCAAATCATCCTGCTGGATCAGTGCAGACAAAGTGGTGAAGCCTAAAGCAAGAGGCACACAGCAATTAGAACACCATTAACTTTTCATACATAGCTTAATAAAGGTGTTATCCAGTAGCATGACAACGAAATGTTCCCAAGATAGTTATTATTATCCAAGGCTTAATTTAAACTGAAGGCAACCAATCCACCATCTAGGTTAGCATCTGATCATGATGCGCTGTAAGTATCATGGTACAGATAACTAACTTTGGTTGTGGTAGATTCTGCAAAATCTCCAAGAAGAGCAACTTATTCTATTTTCTGGTCATGTTTCTAGTCCCAAGGATATGCTATTCATTCTTATCTCCATATCCTCCTACAGAGTCTATAGAGCTCATTTCCAAGTACACATAAGTAGGTCAGTGGTGCAGCACCTGCTTTGAATATTTAATCCTACCATTGGCAGTTCAAAGAATTAGATGATGCAAAAGTCTCCTACTCTGGAGATCCACTGTCTGTCAGAGCATGCAGTACTTGTCTAGAGGGACCAATGGGTCTTGCCTACAAGGCAACTTCGTATGTTCATTTAACTTATGTTTCCTTGTATGGTTTTGTTCCCCACTTCCACAACCCCTGCCCCAAAGACGGGCAGTTGTCCTTTTGGGCACATACACTATTGGAAAGCTTAGTGAGAAAATTAGTTTAAAGAGTTCCCAGCTCCAAGACAACTCCATCAAACATTGAGAAGGACTTTGCTGGCATTTTCAAGAGATATGGAAGGAGACTCTGCACTTTCACAAATTGCGTAACATACTACAGCTACTGACTTTTGCCCTTGGATGTGTGGCTTGCTGACTTCTAAGTGTATTCAAGAGTTGCTCATACAGGAAGCCCTTTTCACCCATTTATCAAGAGAGGTCATTATACCACGAACTATGCTAAAGTTTACACAACGATGAAGTGAGCTGACTACATCTGTTTATCACTGAAGTCTTGCATCTGACCCAAGTACAATTCCATTCCTTGTAGCTAACCAAAATACCAATGCACCTCTAAGCTCACGCTGTATCTTCCCCACCAACACAAAAGCAGATTTACAAAGTAACTGCTGCTAGACAAATGACTGCCCCATACTCTGATATCTTATTGATATCGACTGGGGGCAATAGATCAGGATTTGTTGGTAGATCTATGGATGATTTGCAGTTGATTGTCAAGGACTATTCAGCAACAGCAAAAAAAACAACTCCCTTCCTGCTCTAAATTACATTACTGAAATGAAGAAAGCTTGGAGAAAACAGGAAAGGGGGTTGTATGTAGAAGGACTGTTGTCTCTGTTCATTTGTGGTACTGAAAACAAATTCCTGGGCTCAGAATTATTTAAATCTAAGTTCTAGTTCTGACCGGGTTGCCACTCTGGGCGGCTTCCAACAAATTAAAACATTAAGCACAGTAAAACATCAAGTAATAAAAACTTCCCTATACAGTAGTAGCAATACAACAAAAGAGCTCTGAGGCACTTGACTCAACAATTTGGCATTATTTATGATTCTTTATTCAATGCCCATACCCGCCTTCATCCAAAGTTCACAGGGCAGTTTACAATTCATTCCACAAAGTGTCTGCCATGGCAGATATCACCCTCATCCTGGCTGACAGCAGCTTTGTCAGGGCTAGGGATTTGGAGCAGAGCATCTGTAATTATCAGAGGACATTGGGGCAGGGGGAGCCATATACAGAGAAGGGCCTTTAAGTATTTATTAAGAGATTCCTGCCCAAGAGTCCTTTAAAGATAGGAGGGTCTACCATAACATCCCTCCATCCCATTTCCTATGCTACTAACTGCATCCATCCCTGGGAAGGCCAGGGAAGCAGGCAGTTATCACTGTCCCCCAACACTGCTTCAGCCACCACTGCTGCTGCTGGGAAGAGTCAGGAGACAGATTATTACCCAGCTGCCCAAGAAGAAGACACATTTGGCTGCTATCTGAAATGGGTTGCCAAGTTGGGCACAATAGCAGAGGGGCTACTTTCCCCTGTCGCCATTGCGGAACCTTAGAAGACCAGCAGTTGGAGCAGCCAACAGTAACATCTGCAGCCTAGAGTGGACAGTTAACTGCATCATCTTCCAAGGATGCTGGGAGGAGGCGGGAGCGACAACCTATCCAGCTACTCCAAATGAACTGCTCTACACCCAGGGGGGCTTGTTCTCTTCCATGTACCTTTATCTTGTTAAACAATCTATGGCCTTTTAAACTGTGAGGGGGGTATTGTTTTGGTTTGTTATTCTGGTATTGCGTTGTTGTGCTTTAATAATGTAAAGCGCTCTGTGAGCTTCAGGCAGAGGGCAGTTTTGAAATTTAATAAACAACAACAATAAAATGGGAACACTTTAAAAAAGAGAAAAGATGGCTGAAATAACCTTGTGTGTTAATTTTCATTTTGGAGGCTGCCTTAGCTGTTATTAGGCAGAATGATATGAAAAATCTTGTTCACACTCAACACATCTGATTAAGCAGCCTTTGACAGCCTGGTACCCTCCAAATGCTTTAGACTAGAACTCCAATCAACCCCAGCCAGAACGACTATGCTGGGTGGGGCTGTGGGGAGCAGGGTAGGGTAGGGTAGGGTAGGGTAGGGTAGGGGTGGTGTGTGTATGTTGCAGTAGAGCATGATCCTCAAACCTGATGCTCTCCAAATGTTTTGGACTATGTGGAGGGCAAACCTTAATAAAACTCTACTCCATGGGTAGGCAAACTAAGTCCCAGGGGCTGAATCCGGCCCAATCGCCTTCTAAATCTGGCCCACGGACGGTCCGGGAATCAGCGTGTTTTTACATGAGTAGAATGTCCTTTTATTTAAAATGCATCTCTGGATTATTTGTGGGGCATAGGAATTCATGCATTCATTTATTTTTCAAAATATAGCCCAGCCCCCCACAAGGTCTGAGGGACAGTGGACCAGCCCCCTGCTGAAAAAGTCTGCTGACCCCTGATGATCTAAGCAGACAGGTCTCTGACTCTTGCCTCCCAAATCCCATAACACCCGTGTATTATGCAAACAGTATCTCATACATTACTATTCCAGTTGGTGTATAATGAAGAGCATCTTATTAAAGTTGTTGCTGGTTATTAGAGGATTGCTTAGTTGGCCAATTATTCAGTTCTGGTCATTTTTATACTGGGCTGAACACATTGTTGCGTGTTTGTATGTTGCCTAGCAAGGACCTTGTCCTATAAACACAGCCTAAATATGTAAATAAATAGACAAGTATACTATTCAATCTACATCCGGTAACTCCTGCAGCCAATCTGGTGGCAAGTCTATTCCTCTGCTTTCCTTTGGACCACATTAGTGAGGCTGAGGGGGGGGGGGGACTTGTTGTCTGGGCAGCCCAGACCCTCCATACACACTGTCCAAAAGTGCACCCCACAGAGGTCACGTCAGTGCTGCTAACACAACAAAAAGCAACACAGGCACTGAGATTCTTCAGCCCAGGAGGCACAGTCCATTCTCAAGACAGATGGATATCAACAACAATATTCAGTAATCTATTAATCCAGCTATTGCTATTCTTCCCATGCTTCCTGTCCCCACCTATATGGAGAACAGTCTTGTATGGATTGAAATGCTCTCTTTAGTAAACTATTATTTAATGAAAAAACTCTGTCTGTTTAAAATTGAGTTAAGGTTCTTTTGTGATGGCTCAAACGCTACAAAGCCAAGAAACTAGATGCCAAAGATTATGCCTTAACAAGTATGTCATGGCATTTTGCAGCACCACAAATCATGCTTGCTTGCAACATGCACCCACACTTTTCCTTGATCTTTCTGGCACAAATCCTGATGGGAGGAATGAATTATTTGGGATGAGCAAAGTTGCCCCACCTTGTCCTGGTCCAGTACTGCCTTACACAGCATCTGAACATTGCTGTGTTGCCAGAGAAATCATCCTGCAAATTGACCCATGCCTCTTTCTTGCTTACATCAGTATCTAGTAGGTTGGGCTAAACAAAGAGATGGGAATCGTCTCCGATTCAGCGGGGCAAGAATAACACTCCTGGTGTGTGCGAGAATAGGGTTGTGAGGTGTGGAGTAGGAATTGCAGTGAAGAGCAGGGGATATGCATGGTTGTGGGTATGCTCCCCCACAAAACATTTTCAAGTTTCCAAACATGCTCATGGGTCCAAAAATGTTGATGAGCCGTTGTTTAACTGTTGCAACCCACTTTGTATTCCATAGGCATTGCACGTAGTATGCTTTCTTTCCCAGTTCTGTTCTCATGAACATGCATTCAGCATGCCTCCATTATATAAGACTTCTCAAAGGTATTCAAGCCTCCTTTTGATAGAGCATTTCTCTCACACAGTACTTGTATATTACAAGTGTACTCATTGCTAACTAGAAAGGCCACTTATCAGAAGTCTGATAAGGAGCAAGATTGTCCAAGATTCAGTAACTTTACTCAGTTTTTATTTAACTAGACAAGCCATAGTTCAATGGCAGAGAACATGCAGAAATTTCCAGCCTCAGTCCCTGCCATCTCCAGGTACAACTCCCATCTGAAACGCTAGAGAGCTACTTTCAGGCCATGTAGCGGGTAATAGGGAGCTAGATGGACATGTTTTCCAACGTGACATGAGACATTTTTCATGTTCCTCAGCAAAGCAAAGGTTAAAACTAAACTATAAGGATTTCAAGCAAACTCCTAGAAGTTATTCATCAATTATGTACAGCAGCAATCAGAGCATTCTTATTCCCCAGAACAAAACATAAAAAACAGTGGAAGCTTTCACTCAGTTTCAATTGCGTTTTTAGTCAGTCAAAACTAAACCAAAACCCCAGAGCTACATTACTATTTATATAAGCATGTCTGTGCTGCATAAAGGGATAACTTAAGCCTTGACCTTTGAATCTCTGTCATAGAAACTGCTATAAGCAACTGCTGCTAGAAGATAAACAACTGCTGCTAGAAGACCCAAGTAGAACGGTGTCGGTATAAATACTGTACCTTTGAGTTCAGTTCTCATCTAGATACATAAGTCTAGATACATAGATACATAAGTCTATGCAACAAAGGCCACGTTTCAAAGCATAAAGGGGTCTTGAGCAAATTACTGTTGCTAACCCACTAACGCAGAGTTGCAATATTACCACCTTCTACCCTTTTAACATCCTCTCAAGATACAAATACAACTGACTGAGTAAAAACAATAGCAATCGAGATTCCCCGCCAACAAAAAGAACCATACTCAGACATCCGGTGTTCCTTTTGCTATCAAGCCACCTCTAAAGTTCTCAATAGTATGTACAAGAGGAGGAGGACAAAAGCCAGGCACGCTTTAGAATTGATCTGTAACATACTAAATCTGACCATGCTTCTTCCACTTACCAGCTAGCAGCCTCCTACCACACGCAACAAACTCAGACTCACGGCCTTAAATAGCAGCCACTTCCAGGAAGTGCTGGGAACAGCTCACACGAGAGGGAGGCCTCTCAGGCAGGAAGTGACTCATTTTTCTCAGGCTTTTTAATGCTATGCACATTTGCTTAGAAGGAAATCACTCTGCACTCAGGGAGGACTTGCTTGCATGTGCCTTACGTAGCTCCAGATAGCTGCAACAGGAAGGGAAGTGGGCAACCGCATTTAGGCTAAAAGCACCAGAAAATCAGCTAAGTTGTCCACAGGTCGCTTTTATTTCCACCTTAAGACCTTCATATCCATTTAAAAACAAACGAACATAATTGCCTAGAATTGTGACAAGGGAATACAGAGTTCCCGCACAGGATAAAGAACTATTCTGAACTCACTTACATATAATTTTTAATTTCACTGCAGCGAGGATGGGGTTTGTGAAAGTCCATGAAGTCCAAGCGGTTCACCCCCTAGCCTATGCATATTTATTCAGATGTTCTACTGAGTTCAATGGAGCTTAATCCCAGGTGCATGGGATGGTTCATGAATCGTATAATTCAACCCCTGTCATCTGTATCTGCTTCTGCTACTTGCCCTCTTTGTCCCAGCTATGTTATGGTTTGAATATGATGCTAATCAATGACTGAGCGCTGCCTTCCCCAACCTGGTGCCCTCCAGTTGTTTTGGACTGCAACTTTACCACCTTGGACCATTAGTCTTGGTGGCTGGGGCTGATGGGAACTCTAGTCCAGCAATGCTGGAAGGGCATCGGGTTGGGAAAGGTTGATTTACTATTATGTGAAGGAGCCTCGGGCAACAGCTCACTGCAGCAGCGACGAGACTGCAAGCTTCGAGCTCAGCGATTTTTCATTAGCTGTGGACTGTTGTTCTATCTGAACCTGGTCAAACTCCAATTAGTTTTAGGGTTTTGGGAAACAGGCCAACCATGGTTTATTAAGTTGGCTTGTTTCCTTAAATCATATCTAAGATTTACCACTTATAATTGTAAGTTGGTATAATAAGCTGCAATTACCTGAAAGCAAAAGCTTTTGAACTCTTTCCTGCAGGCATAGTGGCAGAAGACAGGAAAGGAGGAATACCAAAAACAGAGACACATGCATGTAATCCTAAACTCTGGTGTAAGTGTCGAAACTTGCCTGTCTGTTGTTATGTCATTTTTTTCTCTTCATTGGAACTTGTGTTCCAAGTGGCCGGCTATTTTGTTGCCTCTGCTACTTTAAGAGTAACCTACAATGTAGCAGGTGAAACTTTTCTATCCCTGTTATCTCCATATCTGGAAACACCTGCTTAATTATAGCCTATCAGGCTGTTAATGACATAGGTTCTTTTTATCAGCTTTGGCTGATACAGCAGCTACGGTTATTCCTGGAGCAAGATAGTTTGATCATAGTAGTTCAGGCACTGGTAACTTCAAGGCTGAATGAATGCACTGCACTCTATGAAGGGCTTCCCTTGTTCAGTCCATAAACTTTAGTTACTGCACAGCGTCTCTGGCTCCTTTAAAATAAAAGTTGTGAAGCAAAACATGCAAGTACCATTTAAAGAAACTGCTTTGCTAGCTATGAACCTGCCCCTGCCTTTCAGTGCTTTTAGCCCAATGAGTGAAGTCAGATCTGTGAGTGCTAGAATGAAATGCAGAGGCCTCCCAAAAGAATACTTGAAAAGCGGTTCTGAACGGAGAAGGAAGGGCTTCCTATTTCTTTCTAGTCAGATTTTGGGTCTTCCTTGATGCACTATCAGCCCAATGTGTTTCCCCCTCCTTTTTCTGCATGCATATTTTTTTTTGTTCTAGTTTTAAACACTCTGCAAATGCAGATACAACAAAAATCCATCATTAGTATATCTGCATTGTAGGGAGGTTGGTATTCTGGTTGAGAAAGGATAGGTTAAATCAGCCATACAAAGTGGTGCAGTATTATTGTACCAATGTTATAGATCAGGGGTGCTGAGAGAGGGTAGTGAATTACCACTCTGTATTCAGTGTTGTTATACAGCTCTAGGGATAAACAAACAGAGGAGGGGTCTGACAAATTGATTTTAGCAGCAACATGGGGAGGAGGGGAAATAATTGCTTTCCCAACCACGAGGGGGGAATAGGATAATGGTGGAAGAGGTTGCTGTTGGAATAATAATAATAATAATAATAATAATAATAAATGTTATTTATATCCCGCCCTCCCCAGCCGAAGACGGGCTCAGAGCCGCTAACAACAGTAAAATGATAAAACATTCTAAAATCATTACATTATAAAATTAATTCCAATCAAATTAATGGCAACCATTAGGCTAGAAGTTCTGTGAGGATTGCCAAAGGAGGGAGTCAGGCTGTGCCCTGGCCAAAGGCCTGGTGAAACAGCTCTGTCTTGCAGGCCCTGCGGAAAGATGTCAAGTCCCACAGGGCCCTAGTCTCTTGTGACAGAGCGTTCCACCAGATCGGAGCCACAGCCAAAAAAGCCCTGGCTCTGGTTGAGGCCAGCCTAACCTCTCTGTGGCCTGGGACCTTCAAGATGTTTTTGTTTGAAGACCGTAAGTTCCTCTGTGGGACATACCAGGAGAGGCGGTCCTGTAGGTACGAGGGTCCTAGGCCATATAGGGCTTTGAAGGTTAAAACCAGCACCTTAAACCTGATCCTGTACTCCACTGGGAACCAGTGCAGCTGGTATAGCACAGGGTGAATGTGATCTCGCAGCAAGGATCCTGCAAGGAGTCTCACCGCGGTATTCTGCACCCACTGGAGTTTCTGGGTCAGTCTCAAGGGCAGCCCCACGTAGAGCGAGTTACAATAATCCAGTCTGGAGGTAACTGTCGTGTGGATCACAGTGGCTAGGTCAGGGCGAGAGAGGTAAGGAGCCAACTGCTCCGCTTGGTGGAGATGAAAAAATGCCGCCTTTGTTATAGCTGCAATCTGCGCCTTCATGGAAAGGGAGGTGTCGAAGATTACACCCAAACTCTTAACGGATGGTGCTGGCACTAATTGCACCCCCGCAAGAGATGGGAGTTGCCCCTCCAATCCCATATCGTCCCGACCCAGCCAAAGGACCTCTGTCTTCGAAGGATTTAACTTCAACCAGCTCCCACGTAACCATCCAGCCACAGCTTCCAAACATCTGATCAGTGTGTCTGGGGCCAAGTCAGGGTGGCCATCCATCAACAGATAGAGTTGAATGTCATCAGCATACTGATGGCAACCCAACCCAAAACTCCGGACAAGCTGGGCGAGGGGGCGCATAAAGATGTTGAAAAGCATCGGGGAGAGTATCGCACCCTGAGGCACTCCACACACCAAGGAGTGGCGCAATGACAATTCCCCCCCAAGCGCTACCCTCTGTCCCCTGACCAGAGAGAAACAAGCGCAGCCATTGAAGGACTGTGCCCTGAATCACCACATCGGCAAGGCGGTGGTCCAGGAGTTCGTGATCGACCATGTCGAAGGCTGCTGACAGGTCTAGAAGAATCAGCAGCCCCGATCCGCCTCGATCCAGCTGCCTGCGGAGATCATCTGTTAGGGCGACCAGAGCCATCTCGGTCCCATGACCAGCGCGGAAGCGGGATTGGAATGGATCCAGAGCCGATGTTTCATCCAGAAACCCACCAAGCTATTCAGCAACTGCTCTCTCAATCACCTTACCCAGGAAACTCTAAAATAAACTCTAAAATTATGGGTATATTCATGTCAAAAGCTCAAACCCCTTTTTTCTCAAAGTAAAATAAAAGGGTGACTGACATGTGTTGATAGCATTGCTGTAGTTACTGTGAGGTCTAAATTGTAAAGAAGCACAAGGAATGTTCTTTAATGGTTTAATATTGAACTGATCCACATATGGGCACCTGAACTTGAGTTCCTATAATCTTACATCTCTTTTAATGCATGCGTACACACCTGCCATGCCTGGTTTTGCACTGAATACAGTATTGCCAGCCAGAGGCAAACTAATGAAAGACATTACAGTAATGTAACTGGTTTACAGCTCATGAAAGTTGAATTCTTTGCATTGTTCAGGGTTGGCACTGGAGGAAGGCAGGCATCTTGTGCTTTTCACAGCTGTGTGGCAGGCAGAAATTCTATTTCCGTTATGGGAAACGCTTCACCTGTTGACATTCTGTCTGTCAAACATCTAACAGCTTGTTGTGTGGTCTCTGATAGATATTTTTGGGCCCTCCACCCAACCCACTAAAATGGCATACAATTTTGCGCACAACACCAAACATATGCCAATTGGTATTCTTTTTGCATGTTAAATGGAGGGTCCAGTCGACATAATGAGCCCTGAAAATTATGTTGACGCTCCATCATTTCCCTAGCAGTAGTACATTGACTCAAGCTAACACATCAAAATCAGAGCCGAAAAGTACCGTATTTTTCGCTCCATAGGACGCACTTTTCCCCTCTTAAAAACTAAGGGGGAACATCTGTGCGTCCTATGGAGCGAGTGCAGGGGGGGAGGCAGGCAGGAAAAGCCCCCAAGAGCCACATATAAGCTTCACGCAGCTCTTGTGGGCTTTTCCCCAGGAGGGAGAAGGGACCATCGCTACCCGACCTGTCCTTGGGGCTGGGGTCGGGGGAAGCACGGGGTTACCCCGCCCCAGCCCCGCGGCTAAAAACAAAGCCAAGACAGCCAGCGGGATCCATCCCGCTGGCTGTCTTGGCTTCTGCCAAAGCCGCACGCAGCCTCTCCCGGCTGAAGAGGTTGCGCACGGCTAAAGAGGAAGTTGCGCGCGGCTGTCTTGGCTTCTTTGCTGTTTGGGGCTGGGGAGAAGAGAAATAAGATTTTTTTTCTTGATTCCCCCCCCCCCTAAAAACTAGGTGCGTCTTGTGGTCCAGTGTGTCCTATAGAGCGAAAAATACGGTAGTTCTGCTTCCCATAATTCTAAGCATTTTGTTCACTATCCTTTTTTATCTAGTCGTGACATCATACGGCATGTGCTTTTGCAAACAGTTGTGGGAACTACTCTTTGCTTCTTGCTGTGCAGTAAACAAGGCTGCAATGAGTTTTCATTACAATGCTTCCTCGTGTGAAGGCATAAGGTTCCTCCGGGCAAGGCAGGATTTGAAATTGCACAAAAGTACTTTAAAAAAAACCCAACTTTTCCACTAAAACAACAATAAGCAGTTGTACTTCCATAATTAAATTCGTTGCCTGTGATCCTCACAGCTTTTCCAGACTGACACTTGTATGCATCACTACCTTTATGTCAATAATGTTGTGCAAGAGATTCAGAAGGATAGGGCAAAAAGTGAAGAATGTACCATGTCCAATGTTACCTGAAGCTTACAACATCAGCGCAGCACATGAGAGGAGAATCAAAGAGTTGGTAAAGTGATATATGACAGAATTTTCCAGTTTAACCAATTGTATAGATGACCTTCAATTTGTATAACATTCTTAACTGGTACCATTTAACGCTATACAAAGAGAAAGCTGTGTATGATCTGTATTTTGATCTATATCTCTGCCATATGTAGCTTCAGTTTAATAATAATAATAATAATAATAATAATAATAATAATAATAAACACTCACTGAATGGTACAAGTGGAACAACTCTTCCTCTCACTCTCAAGAAAAGGACACAGTGAGGTTTCAAAAAAGGAATTAATTACCATCAAGATTGGCTCCCAAAGCAGATATAAACCATTGATCATTCAAATGAATAATTCCAGGGGGATTCATACAGGAAATGAGAGGCATTCTCATGACATCTTCAAAACTGATAGAGTTGTTGTACCCTCTGAGAAGTCTTTAAAAAACTTATGTCATGATACAGAAACGAAATTTTGGGTTCAGTGCGGTCTAGAATCAGGTTTTTCATTTATGATTGCAGACTTATTTGTTAGATCACCTGCTCGTCATCAGATTGCTTTGTATTCACCCGACACTAACTATTTTTATTATTATTTAGATATACCAATTCTTACTCCGCTACCAGTGTGTAACAGCTATCAGCTATTTTGTTTCCCCATAATCTTTAAACAGCAAAAACTAGCTATTTAGCATCACTGGATGTTGACTGGGAGAGAGTTAATTTCAATGCTTACCTTCTTCCTGTTGATCAACCACAAAAGTGAGTGAAAGCCACGAGCCCCACACTGAAGTTTAGCACATGCTCCTCTCACAAGTAGTTCCTGGAGCTGATCTGCTTCAGTCATCCATGCTCAGTGGGCTCTAATAAAGCAACAGCATTGCACTCTGCAATCTTTGAACATACCTTGTAGCAGGTTCAAGGGTGGGGCTTGACGTGATCAAACAGATGGAATAATTTGAGCTGGTGAAAAATGCCTGTTTAGCAAATGGCTAAGCAGTTAATGTTTACACACTAGCTCTACAAATTTGTAGGGTGTCTAAAGTTGAAAAACCAGCACTGGCTTTCGCCAGCTGCTCATCAGAGTACCTAAAGCAGAAGTATGTAACCCAGCATGCTTTTACTGGTGAATTTTGAATCTTTCTCATCAGAAAGCAGGGAAAGTTGTGTGAGGAGAGCCTCACCCAAAATTTGTAGCAATGGTTGTACGCTGTTGCAATATGCTCCGATCAATGCATATTGATCGTACCTCCAATATTCTGGGGAAGGATGAGTGCCATGGTGATGTGAGTGAAAGATGTAATTGCACATGAAGATGAACTTTTTGAAATATGGCAATCCTAGGCAGTAGGTACTTGCAGCTGGTTTCACTCTCAAGGCACCATTCTGTGACTAGTTCTGGCTGGTGGACCATAAGGGTTTGGTGAACAAAAAAGTCTATTCTGCAAGGCGGAAGACTGCCCAATCCTGATTTAAGGCCATAGAACAACGAACAGGTTAAAAGGGGCCTCAATGTAACAGCAAGAGGATAATTCTATAACTGAAATCATCTCATACACAAAAAAACCTCTTTGACAAACCAGATTGTCTAAAATAATAATCATTCAGTGTTGGGTTTAGGTGGGCCTTTTGAGGGTGGCAGGGATTCGCCAATGTTGCTACAACAACAAAAAATGTCCAGCTCCTTATGGATGCCCACCATATTTTAATTATGTAACTGGGATAGCTCAATCAGTAGAGCATGAGATTCTTAATCTCAGGGTTGTGAGTTCAAGCCCCATGTAGGCCAAAAGATTCCTGAATTGCAGGGGGGTTGGACTTAGATGACTTTCGTGGTCCCTTCCAACTCTACAATTGTATGATGTACGTATGAAAATGGTCTTTTCTTGCAGCATAGAGCAATCCTAAGCATATTTACTGACAGCCCTCTTATTAGTATTAGTTTCTCATTAACATGTAGACAAGTTGAGCAAGTCTGTTCAGTCACCATAAAGGGCAGCAAACAGATGCTGAGCATACAGAATTCTACCAACATGATGGCAAAACTTAAGTGAGTCACGCAAGGATGGCCCCTTTCCACCTGGTTCTGTTTCATTCATTGATAGCAGTACAATACCAGGGGAAGGAGTCACTGAGCCTTGTGAGACAGTTCATTGCTGATACAGTATATTACAGAATTCACCAGATATATTACTACTGAACATTTGTGTGTATGCGTACACACAATGTGCCCCACATAAGTTATCTCAGCAATCTTTAAATATTCCCTTGAAAGTAGGTCAATATTATTTCAGTTGGAGTGTCTATGTGTGTTATGGTTGAGGGGTGGGATAAAGGTTCCTTCATTAATCAACTGCTGGGGCAAGATTTCAGCTGGGATTTCCTAGCTGTTACCTTATAATCATTATGCTCCTATTAGTTTGATCTAAGCTATTTATATAATGCCTTCCATCAGAATTTTACAAAGCAGTTTACATAAAAGAACTAAATTAATAAGCTTCCACTTATATATATATATACAATAAAGCTCCATAGATAAGCTACAAGCAACAGCAAAGACCCAAAACCTTTTTTGAAAGGTAGATCTAGATCACCAAATTCAAGTTTATCATTGGCTATTATTCATGATCAGTATCAGAAGCTGCTTCCGGAACGTTTACTGTGGCTGCATACAAGATTTTTGCAGCACCCACACATTTTTGCTATTTAGTCCAGATTTACACTTTTGAAGAAAAATCCCATAATTAAAAACAAAACACCTGTTGCCAATGTCCAAATTGTGATATCTCAACGACCTGTTTGCAATATTAACACCCCCCCCCTCAATCTGGAAGCAAATAAATATCTGTTGCTAGGAAAAATAATCAGGAAAGTGTTAGTGCAGACTTCCTCAACCTCGGCCCTCCAGATGTTTTGAGACTACAATTCCCACCATCCCTGACCACTGGTCCTGCTAGCTAGGGATCATGGGAGTTGTAGGCCAAAAAAATCTGGAGGGCCGAGGTTGAGGAAGCCTGTGCTAATATATTCATGCCCTGCTTGTTGGCTTCTCAGACTGTAATTTCCCAGTGTTTCATACCACTGCTGCTTACCCAGGAGGAAGGGGCAGGGCAGAGCTTGCTGCTGGTGCAGTGGCAGAGACAATCTGATGCCATACTCGCACCACACCAAGCTCAGCTCCTCTCACCCCTTTCAGAAACCATCTGCAACATGCAGCACTGGGAAGTCAGGTCAGCAGTGCGTCCCTGTCTGCACTACCAATCACTATTGCCCCCAGAGGCAACTGGTTGGCCACTGGGTGGGTTTCTGGTCAGATCAATCAGGGTTTTCCCTACATTTTTATGTTCTTAACACTCCAGCCCTCAGAACAGGGTGGCTCTTGAGTAGCCCTGTGGTGGCAGTTTGGAGAAAAAGGCCACCTCACCGGGAGCTATGTGCTGGGAAGCTCATGAGTTGTTCTGACTTAACTTTCTCGTCCCCTCAGGACAAAGTGGTCCTCAGGTAGCCCTTTGGTGGCAGTCAGGGCATGTGGCCCTCAAGCTAAAAACATGTCCCCACCTATGCTTGGAAAGCATGTGTAAGGTAGTGTCAGCAACAGGAAGTGACAAGTGTTCCCTAAGAGATTTTAAATATCAGAGACTCAACAGGGACTTTAATGGACTTGGACTTTAGGACTATTCATTGATTAAAAAAACTGGATCAAAGGGAAGAAATATCGGACATGTAACAGTCAGACACAAAAAGTTTAAAGATCATTCAGAAGACTTCTAAGTCAGCATATTGTTATCACCAGTAAAAGGCAATAAAAATGTAGCATTCCTCCCCCCCCCAGCAAAGCTGCTTAGAAACTTTGCCACAAGTGCCCACCAAATACTGAACCTTTCTGTGGATAATTAAATGATCCTAATCACACGTATTTCAAAATGAGCTTACGCATATAAAATTTAGACACTTGAAAGGGCTTAAAATTTCTGAGGTCCACCAATTGCAAAATAGCAGCAGCAGGCTTTTTTTTTTTTTTAAAGTGGGTTCTCCCAGCCTCCACAGAACCACCACCAAGATCACCATTCAGGGACTATGGCAATGAGAACAACATTCTGTGGATGCTACAACACATTCACAAGCTGCACTGAGTTCAGACTAAGCTGCAGTGCAGAAGTGTCATTTGTGAGAAGATTCCACATCAATATATTTCTGAAATGGAGGGCACTGCTTTGACATCTCAGTTTTGAAAACTTTCTACCAAATCACTTTGTCACAGTGTGAAAACCACTCTTGGTCAACCATGGGATCAGTCTCAACCGTGTGAAGAGTGCAATAAACGGATTGGCAGAGCTTTGGCACTTATTTAAACCTCAAATGTTCTGTTAACACCAAGGTTGCAGGTTCAATCCCCATCAGGGACAACTGCATATTCCTGCATTGCAGGGGGTTGAACTAGATGATCCTTAGGATCCCTTGCAACTCTATGATTTTATGATTCTATGAACATCCAGTAAGCTGTAGGGTACTGTTTTCCATTATCTGGATCTCTCATGACGGGCACCCTCATAGAGGTTTGCACTCAACTCTTCTTTAAGTCACAAGGGACATTATTATTTGCAAGCACATAATTGCATCCTTCTAGATTGTACTTGCCGTAACAACGGAGCACAAATAATACCTGACACTTCGCCAGATCCTGAAAATTTGTAAACAAGGTGTTCCGTAAACACTCATTTTACAGAAAGGAGTACACACACCAACATTTCCCTTGGATGTTTCCTGTCGGCTCAGTTAATTTAAGCAGAGTTTAGCAATGTCAGCAGCAACGACAAAAATACCTCTTCCAAAGTTTTAAACTGACCTTTTGACACATCAAGATTGGAGGTAGTGCTACAAGGAAGCTGTTTTGGTTATCAAGGATTCTGTTAATTAGAACTGTTGATGACATGTCATGCTACAGGCAGAGGTGTTGATATAATCATTTCAAGCAGTGGTATAAGTAACACAGAGAAAAGGACGGCATAAGGTTTGCAAATTGGAGAGCAGCTTAGTATTTGGTTCAGTGATGCAGTGGCACATGAGCAAATGCCCACAGAATTTCTTCCACATTTACTATGGTTCAGTGATCTCATTTGCTACTGCAGTCTATTCCATTAACACTGCCAGTGGTATTGGAATGCCCAAGCTTGTAATAGGCTTTCAGGCTCCTTGGAATATCTCCCATCCCCTGAGTGGCCAAAGGTTATGCTCTGCTGTCGAGATTGCCATCGATAAGGTCAATGCGAATCCATCTTACCTAGGCAATTACAGCTTGGAGTTTATTTATGCAGACTCTGGGTGTGAAGCAAAGAAGTCTCTGTATGCTTTCATCAACCAGTTTCAAAAAGAACACATTTCTGCCTTGTTTGGACCAGTTTGCTCAGAGGCAGCAGAGGTTGAGTATGAATTCATCCTGCTTTTTCTCTTTCGTTAATTGTAATAGACAATATTTGTTATCGTGTGCAGCCAACCAGGACACATCCACACCATGCATTTAAAGCACATTCAATGCTCATTTAAAGTGCAAGGCTTCCCCCAGAGCATCCTGGGAACTGTATTTTGTTAACGGTTCTCGGAATTGTAGCTCTGTGATGAATAAGCTATAGTTCCAGGGTTCCTTGGGGGAAAGCCATGTGTGTTATATGTGTGTTAAATGTACTTTAAATGCAGCCAATCAGGCTTTACGTTCTTCTCTTCTCCCCTGCAGATCTCGCTGCACCCCTAAAATCTTCACTGGAGTGTCTCCCAACCTTTCAGGGCAGATTTTGAGGATGTATACAGAGCTGTGAGGTGTGGGGGCAGGGAAGAAAAGAAGGTGATTTCCTGTTGTGTGAGCAGATATTTATTCCACTTGTGCATAGTCCTGTTTACAAACCTCTCTCACCTTTCTAGAATAGCCTGTAGGTTGTATTTAAAGACTGGAGTTCACTAATCTATTTTATCTAAAAGAGGTGCTCTCCTATGCAGTTGTGGAACTGCTGAGACCACAGCCAAGATATTGCGGGTGGGAGGCTGTGTGCCTCAACTGTATTTTAGGACACAGTTTGATTATATCTCAGACCTAGCTTAATTTCTAGTCTTTCCATTAGTTCTACATACTTAGTGCCTGTAAACAATTAAAACGGGGCTCTGCACTCAGTGTGTCTGCAAAAAAAATCACAAAACATTTGTTGTTGTTTTTAAAAAGCAAGGTGACTGAAAATATCGCTATAATAATTGCTTGCCTGTCTCTTTGAAATATCGTTGGCTCTACACATGGATGGATTAAATCTGTCATGGCACCTGGTTGTTATGCACATGGTTGTTATGCAAGCAGTGGTTTTTGCAATCTTGATTTTGATGGGAACCTAACCTTGGCAACTTAAAAAGGAAATTAACAAACATTATGTGCCACTTAAGCAATCATAAAACCTCAACAAAAAACCCCAAACATTAAGCTTCTCAATAAAAGACAATTAAAATGGGCATTTAAAAATATTCACAATGAATTAGAATGAACAATTAACTAAAAACATGTAATTTCTATTTGTCTGGATAGGCTTGCCTGAACATAAAAGTTTTATGTGGCTTCCAAAATGAGTGCAGCAAAAGTGATTATTATAGGAGGGTACTTGCAAAGTGTGGGTGCTGCCACACAAAGTGGTTGTGGGCTTTTGATCTATTTTTGTCCCCAGCTAAGGAAAATCCCAGTCAGGACTTCACCATGAGCATATCCTCCGACATTTCTGGCACTGAAATAGGGATGCTCCGTTTTTGGTCTCGAGCTCTCGGGCCTGTATCCCATCTTTCCACCAGGTGGTGCACAAACAAGCTAGCAGCTGGAAAAGAAACTGGAATCCTGGAGGAGGAGGAGAGAAGGAGGAGAAGGAATGGGCTTGCTTGAATTCTCTACAGCAGAGGTGGAGAAACTGTGGTTCTCCATACATAACCAGATCACAGCTTTCAAAATCCCCAACTCCTAGCCATGCTGACTGGAGCTGATGAGAGTAGATGGGGAGTTCCAAAGAGAAAAAAAGAGCCCTAGTATTAGGCTGGGGAGGGGAGATGCTGCAGCTGGGACAGCAAAGCTTTTCTCTGCAACCTTAGTCTGTTTTACTATGCTCCAGCTCATACCCACCAACATTCCTCCAATGAAAATAGGGGTGTCCTATTCAATAATAATAATTTTACTATTTATATCCCACCCATCGGCCTGGATTGCCTCAGCCACTCCGGGAGGCTTCCAACATATATAAAAGCATAATAAAACATTAAGCATTTTAAAAAACCCTTCCCTATACAGGGCTGCCTCCAGATGGCTTGGGGGGGGGGTCAGATAACTCCATACCCTCCAACATTTCTCTGATGAAAATAGGGATGTCCTAAGGAAAAGCAGGACATATCAAATCAGAAACTGGGACTGCTTCTGTAAATCTGGGACTGTCCCTGAAAAACAGAGACACTTGGAGGGTCTGTGTTAAATGTGCAACCATTTGTACATATTATTAGGGCTCATGGAGATCTTTAAATTAGAGCCTGCCTATGACAAAAGGGACAACCTGCATTCATTTCAGATGGGCTTGGAAGCAAACAAAACATAGAGTGCTTTGGGGCATGATGGATATGCATGAATAAAGACAGCACAACTCAATTGTGATTTAAATATCCATGCATATCATTCTAGTAAATGGTTCACAGTGGTCTCGATAACTGGTCTCACAATTGATTTGGGAGAAATATTGGTGTTAGTATCTCACCACCCAATCAAACCCAATGCTGAGTTTAGCTCGTGTTTATTTATGCATTAATATATATCAACTTCACACCTAATTATGTTATGTTGTGTTATTCTCTTCTTTTCTGTATCTACTTAAAGCTCCTTTGTTTAGACAAGTTTATCCAGACATGTGGATGTGGACATGTTTGAATCTCTTTTTCGTTTGCCACTGACTTTGTTTTTAAATGTTTTAAATTACTTTTTTATTGATAATTTTAATATTTCTTGTAAACCAGAGGTTGTTGTTTTGTTTTGTTTTGTTTTTACAATCAAGTAGTATATAAGTTCTATTCAGTAAATAAATACACTGAAATCCTATTGCATTGAAATCCTATACACTGAAACCCTATTGTCATTACTTATGGGCACCATTATTGCAGGCAGTGAAATAGAGAAAAATGATTAACAGCTGGTTTTTGTATTTCCAGAAATGGGAAATCAGGCATTATGTGTTTCAGTTTCACATCCCCCAAAGGCCTTGATGCAATCTGAAACCTATACATCACCTAAAAGATCTTCATTTGAACAATGCTATGAGTGACAGTCAACCAAGTTTACTTATTGCCTCTTGAATGTTACTATTAAATCCAGTTCTTTTTATTATTCTCCACCTAGGTAACTGGTTTGCTAGCTTCTCAGTGGAACATCCCCATGTTTGGGTTTGTTGGCCATACAGCCAAGCTGGAAGATTCCTTTGTTTATGACACTTATATCAATCTTGTCACCCCTCTGCAAATGATTGGGGAAGTCCTTTACAAAACTCTCCAGTATTTTGGGTGGAGGTACGTTGGCCTCTTCGGAAGCTCAAGTGATGTTTTCACTTGGGCTGAAACAGAGGAGTTGTGGGCTTCTGTAGAAAATCAACTCAAAAGCAACATCACCATCACTGCTAAGGTGAGATACAACACAAAAGATCAAAGCCTCCATCAAGACAAGCTCAACTATATAGCATCAGTTGCCAGAAGTAAGTTTTTTGTTTCGTTTTTCATGACAGGTTTCTGGGCTCTGGAGGTAAAGAGATAATTCTCCACGTGAGTTCATAAGTCTCTCAGCACCATTGTAAGATGAACTCTGTACATGAAGGATGGTGACCAAAACACTTTATTTGGAACAAACTCAAACCAACATTGGACATGAGAAAAGCCCAGCAGAAATCTATGTCCTCAGCTGCCTCAGGGCCTGGTACTTAAAGTGCCATACCCTAGTGAACTGAAACACACATAAAACATGGACTGGACTTACAAAAGGGATTTTACTTCTCAATCCATTTCCCATGGCTTGGTGTATCTGGCCCATGATCCACTGGTTACCCACCTCTTACTTAACTAACTTCTTCAAATAGAAGAGTATCCTCTGCGAAACATGACACACTGCCACTCAACTTTTCAGAAATTGAAGCTCATTGCAGTTCTTTCTTCTCCCTATATGCTGCCTGTGTGTACCTTTGAGCAGATCCAACTAGTGGTGCCTTCCCACTAGATATGCTCTCCAGGGTGCTGTCCAACCAAAGATGCCTTGCTGCCATATGTGCTGTCCACTGGTACTGTGGGCATCAGTGTAGAGAAAACTGTATTAAACCTGTGTGATTACCTGTCCCTCATCTCTCTGGTGCTCCTGGCTCCTGTGTTCAACAAGGTGTTACACTTTAACTTCTTCTGGGAATTGACATTGCATTCCTAGGGTTGCCATACTTCAAAAAGTGAAAATCTGGAACAAAAAGTTGTTGAGCTTTAATTGCGTTTTTGAGCTACTTCTGAGGGAAATCGGCAAAAACAATACTGCCGACATGGGGTGCCATACATCTAGCTTTTCCCAGACATTTCACCAATTTCCACCCAGTCACTGCTTGCAACTCAGTATTCCGGATATGTCCAGGGAATTCTGGATGTATGGCAACGCTACATTCGCCTGAAGACGCTCACATTGCATTAAGCCTGAAGATGTAGTCCTGTTTAAATATAGTCGCGGTGCTTGGGAATTCTTACCATAGACAAAAAGCAAGGAAGAGGTGGAATGGTAAAAGTTTATAAAATTCCACAGGATGCAGTGATGGCCACCAATTTGCATAGCTTTAGAGAAAGAACTGAACAAATTAATGGAAGATAAGTCTACTATAGGCTACTCACCATGATGGGTTTGCTGTGCCTCCTTGTTCAGTTGCTAGTAAACACAGGAAGGAAGAGTGCTCTTGTGTTCAGGTCCCTCCTACAGGTTTTCCATGTGGCTGGCCACTGTGAGAACAGGGTGTCAGACTAGATGGGTCAGTGGCCTGATCCAGCAGGCTCTTATGTTCTTATGCCACATAGGTTTAAGTCATGCGACCACTTGCAGGATTTGAGCTGATGGAAGATCCGATTTGAGGGGCAATTTGGCCTCATTATTTGGGTTTATGCCTATTGACTCATATTATACATATTGCCCAGATATGCCCTGAGGAAATGTTGCATGCATACATGGAAGCCCAGGACGCATGCCTGGTAGGCAGAGCAGAAAGGCAAGATATTCTATCACATATAGGGAAAAGGTAGATATTACTAACAAGATTGTGGTGGTTTTTTTATGGACTGAACCAGCAGGAATTTTTTATCCTATGTGAAAATTCTTATGGGATTCTCTGTGTAAAACTATTTCAATTAAGAAACTCTTTAAATGAGCAGAACTAAGGGCATGATGAAAGATTTCCCCGAGGTTATTTATTTATTAAAATTGGTATACCACCCTTCATCTGAAGATCAAAAATGAGAACACAAAATACATAATGAAAAACAAACCATACCCAAACACATTTAAAAGGCCACAGGTCTTTTAATCTGCCAAAGGCCTGGTTATAGAGAAATGTTTTTGCCTCATGCCTCAAGATACGTAATGAAGCCACCAGACAAGTCTCCCTGAGGAGAACATTTCACAATTATATATTACTAGATTATATACTGCTAAACCTTTGGAATGTTCACAACTCTCACCTTTCCATAACATTCTGTTTCACAGGCAAGAAAGGAGTGGAGGTGTCTAAGTCTGGGTGTGTAAGTCACATGGCTACACAAGGCAAAGAGCTCTACTTAATGCCCACTTGTAACAAGAACTATTTATACAATACTTAGTATAAATGGAGGCAGCATTCTCATACTTTTTTCTTTTTTAAAGTACCAATAACAACTGAAGTTGGGAATACTTCTTTGCTTAAGGAGTATTCATATGCACAGCTTCTGGTTACATTCAGGTGCTCTTGTCATGCACTTAATGCACAGGGACTTCCAGAGACCAAATAAGTGACTTTTCTCTCTCTCTCTGAAATATGATACACTTCTCTGGACTGCAACACTTTAATCTTTTGTTCTGTGCGCTGATTTCAGTGGGATAGTCATTTGTGTGCCTGAGGGCCTGGGGGTTTATTAAATGATTTGGGTGATTAGGAAATGATCTAAAGTTACGCAAAGCATGATCTAAAGTTGCATTTGTTTTAATTACCCAATATATTTTGTATTGCTTCATAGTGATGCACCCCGAACTACACACAATCAATCAGTAATTTACCAATACCCTTACAACAACTTTGTTCACCACAATGTGCATTTATCAAGACATTGTTTTGGCTTTCTTTCCCGTTTGAGTTTTATACCACTGAGTTTGCTGTTGTACCAACTATTTAGTTAGGGTTGCCATATTTCAAAAAGTAAAAACCAGGACAAACCCTAAAGTTGCTTTAAAAAAAAACAAAACAAAACTCCAAAACCGCCAAAAAATCTTGATTTTCGATTGACTTGCCTAAGATCTAGTGGGTACACTTGACTTTTTAGATGCACTGGGAACTGATCTGTACTATTTCTTTTTCAGTTATTGTTTTAATCTGCAGTTCTTTGGATGCAAGATCTATTTTGTTAGAGGCCAAGAAACTAGGTATGACAAATGGACCATACGTGTTCTTTGTGCTGCAGCAGTTTGAGGTCAGTAAATAGCTGCAATGTGGTGAGTATTTCTTCATTACCTTGCTAAAGGCATGGTTTTAAGGATTACTGTCCTCAGACTTACAATCTAAAAAGACACAACACAACAGGAAAATGGATTGTGAGCAAACTCAGGTTTAAGTTCTCAGTTACAAGTTGTATGGATGGTAGGTCAGAAAAGCAATGGGTATCTCCAAATCTAGCATGCTGTAGTATTTAGAATTCTGGACTATGGCTGGGAAGAGTTGGATTCAAATTTTGCAATATCTATCGCCTTAGACACTATCTCTCATCTAACCTACCTTGCACACTTCGTGAAGATAAAATCAAGCATCTATTGTGCTCTATACAGTGTGGTGTAGTGGTTAAGAGCAGTAGACTCGTAATCTGGTGAACCGGGTTCGCGTCCCCGCTCCTCCACATGCAGCTGCTGGGTGACCTTGGGCTAGTCACACTTCTCTGAAGTCTCTCAGCCCCACTCACCTCACAGAGTGTTTGTTGTATTCATATTACTAAGCATTATGGGAATGGGGTAAGCTACCTATTTATTACCAACAGTGCTGTCAATCACTCTTTTGTCTTCTAGGACAATTTTTTGAAAGAGACTTGGAGTAATGGGAACAGCAGCGTCCTAGATGCCTATCAGCCTGTGCTGCTCATAGCTCTCAGATCTTACAGAGAATACAAGACCTATTCTGATTTTGTGAAGGAGGTCCACAGCAAGCTGAAGGAGAAGCAGCTTTCAGACAGTTTCTTTTCTTCACACGGAGAGGTCATATTCACAGCCACAACTTAGATACAGTGGTACCTCAGGTTACACACGCTTCAGGTTACATACGCTTCAGGTTACAGACTCTGCTAACCCAGAAATAGTGCTTCAGGTTAAGAACTTTGCTTCAGGATGAGAACAAAAATCGTCCTCTGGCGGCGCAGCAGCAGCAGGAGGCCCCATTAGCTAAAGTGGTGCTTCAGGTTAAGAACAGCTTCAGGTTAAGAACAGACCTTCAGAACGAATTAAGTACTTAACCCGAGGTACCACTGTACTTGTTCCAAGGAGGCATAACAAAAAACCAAGAGGAAACCAGGCTGAATGCCCCCATTTCCCCTAACTTAGATTATCCTAAAGGGCACTGTGATGCCACATGAAAAAAGGGCCAAATATCTCAAATTTTCTAAAGGCATGATTATCTGATCCACTATTTTGAATATTAAAAGTGTAGGAAATATATTATTGGTTTTTATGGTAGACGACATCAAAACATTTCTTGAAAGATTTTCTTCACTCTCAAGCCATGCTGATTAGTTTTAGGAGCTGAGGCTTTCAACTCATTTACTAACATGTGTAGTCTCATTTGACCTGCAACCAGACCCATGCAGAGCTTGTTTGAGGTGCAAGGCAGGAGTTTTGGTAGAATAAAATTAGAAACTCACACAAGGAAGTAGCCAGTCCCTTGCAGTGCCCCCCCTGAGGTAAAGTTCTCAAACCAAGACACTAATTCTGGTTTTGCAGAGTTTGTAAACCAAATGATTCTTAAACCGGACTGTTCTCAAACCGAGGTATCACTGTATTTGGGGGAACCACTTGAAGCATCCCTTGTGTTGAGCTATTTCAATTGTTTTTGTTTGATTTTCTCATTGCAAACAGTGGAAAATCTGTAAATTTTGATAATAAACCTGATTTATAATGGGGGTTGAATAATTTCGATTGCAACTGGATTTCGAGTTTGGAATAAATGAGTCCACTGCTAAATATATGCAGTCAGACAACTGAAAGAATAGTTTAAGAAACTTCTTCCCTCAGAAGCCCAAACTCTTACTGTTCTATATGACTCTTTTCCAGGTAAGTTCTTATGCTGCCTACCTACATGATGCTGTTTTGCTTTATGCGTTATCCATAAAAGAAATGTTAGAAGGGAAAAAGGACTTCCGTGATGGAAAGGCCCTTGTCAACAGTTTGAAAGGTTACAACAAAACTCCAATGTATGGTAAGTTTGTGGATTCAGACTGCAAACACAATCACTTGAGAGAGGGAGGGAAGCTGCACCTCTGTAGCTGAGCTGATACTCTGAACGTTGATGTCCCTCCCATGTATCTTCAGGTAAAGCATCTCAAGGAGCAGGGCTGAGACAACAGAGAAGCTTTCATTCACTTGGTACTATCCAAATGTTTTGGACTACAACTCTCATTTGTCCCAGCCTCCATGGACATTCTGGCTGAGGCTGATGGGTGTTAAAGTCCAAGATATCAGGTTGGTGAAGAATACAGAGCATCTGCTAGTACCAAGTCAGAAGGACCACCAGGCTTACTTCATGAAGCAGCACATATTTGGAGTAGATCCATTGAACTTCTAAATAAATGTGCAAAGGAAGCTACTTTAACCATTGCCAAGTGAGCCTTAGGAACCTTTTCCATGTTACTCTTAGGATCTCATGTGATGCCAACAGAGAATGCTTGGGTGCAACTCTGTGATTGCCTGTTGCCCGCCCTTAAAAGTATTGTCTCTCCACGGTTGCATGTTCAGTCAAAACAGCATTGATAGATATAACAGAATAAACAATTTGTTCAACTTTGCATTCACAGAAACTCCTCCCTGATTAAAAGTGGCCACCTTATAAGCACGTAGCTGAGCTATGGAGGTTCTCCAACAGCCATTAATCATGATGCCTATGTCCTACTTCCAGGATCAAAGGCAGTACTCCTCTGAATACCAGTCACTTGAGAACAACAGCAGGCAAGGGCTCAGTCATGTTCCTTTTGTAGGCATGTGATTAGCCACTGTGAGAACAGGCTGGGTTTGATGAGCCTCTGGCCCGATGCAACAGGGCTCTTGTGTTCTGATGATCCTGAAAATCTTTGCAAATTAGCCAGTGGACTTTTGACTACTGCAAAATGGACAGGATACATAAATATGTAGTACATTGTGTCTTCCTGTGCTGAGGAAGAGGCAGAAAAATAACATCAGTCAAAATGGGACAGGTGCGCTGAAGTGTGGGGAATGTGCTAAAGCTCTTATTTTTAATATCTTTTTTGTTTAGGCATTACTGGCCCAGTCAACATTGATGAATTAGGTGAGAGGAACATGGATTACTCTGTGTATGATCTCCAGGAATTTGGCAACTCAGTTCATTTCATTCCAGTGCTTAACTTTGATAGTGTCAGGAAAACAACCAGGTATTATTTGTGTGTGTGGTTCATGGGCACTTAGCAATTTAATCATTTGTACAGGAGATTTACCTTGTAAAGTACTATATAATCTTCTTTGTATTCATTCTTTGAAGGAGTATCTTTTCCTTTTTGCCCATTTTATAAAGGGAAGAGCTGAGACCAAGAGTCAGTGACTCACCCAAAGCCATTTGAGTGAATTATACAGTATGGCGATATTTGAACCCAGAACCCATGTTCAGCTGCCATGTATCCATGCATTATTGTGGTTGTCTGAAAAAAAGAGAGCAAGCAGCTGCTCACACATAGACCTCCATGTAATTCAGACACCCAGTTACTCTGATGTCCTGATCCCATGGAAGTCTACTCTCCAGCATCTGCTCATGCCTAGACTTTGTAGGGCAGGCCTGTTCCCTAGTGCTCCTTTGATGCCTCCACCTGCAACTTTAAATTCTATATTGTAACAACAAACTGAATTCAGCTTTACAAAATCATTTTTAATTCACCTGGTTCCTTGCAAAGATAACCACATTGCATGTGATCTATTAGTCCCATTGTGAACTTCCGGGTTAGCGCCTCCGGCAATGGCGGATTTCCTCTGATCGGGAGGAATCCGCTTCGTGAGAACTAGGGTCTGGACCGCCACGGCGAGGCGGAGACCCACTAAAAACCTCAGGCGGGAGAAGAATTAGGCAAGAATATTATGGTCATGAGAAGTGGGTAAAAATAAGATTTAAGTTTCAAGGTTTTTTATAAGATAAGATGAAAATAGATCAAGGTAATGTAATGACAGAATATTATGAAATATGGAAAGGATTTGCTGCGATAATTAATAACTGGGATACAAAAAACGGGAGGAGGAGGAGGTCAAAGAAAGAAGGTAATGAAAGTTGAAGATTTGAGAATGTTGGTTTTATTTTTGTATGTTTGTGGAGTATTTTTGTTTTTTGAATTTGTATTGTTGGATGTGGTTTGCTTTCTTTTTCTCTTTTCTGTTTTTTCTTTTTTCTTTCTCTGCTTTGTCTTTTTCTGTAATTTAAAAATTTTTCAATAAATATCATTTTTTTAAAAAAAAAAGCCTGTGGACGTGGGATTCGGCTGGCACCTTTTGCGTCTCCCCTACTCACGGGGAAACCCGGTTTCGGGGATCCGGAGCGACGTGGGGTGAATGGCGCGGTGCTTCGAATCAACTGCTCTTTTAACGGAGTGAAGTCGCATTGCTGTTGCTGGAGAGCGCTGACTTTTTTCCTGTGGACAATTGGATTTTAAACAACTGCCCGTGAGTAGAACGGAAAATTGGATTATGAAACTTTTTAATTTGGCACCGAAGCGGGAAGGTCTAAACAGGAAGTCCGCCTTCCGCCTTCCGCTTTTGTAAATAGATTGAAGCAAAGACATTGCAAGCTAGAGTCTGGAAAGTCGTTTGTAAAGAACTAAATTTCCATCAGTTAAAATTACTAAACCCCCCTTGGAAGCAGGAGAAGAGGGGGGAATTTCTTTTTAGACTGTTTAAACCTGCAGAAGAGAGAGCAAAGAAAGATAATTTTCCACCGTCTTGAACCTGGGAGCGGGGTGTCAGAGACAGACGCTTTGGGGAAGTTCATTGACTGTGGATAAACGTTTTTGACAGATAGTTAAAAAAGAGAAACATATTGATTCCAATGTTCCCTTTTGCACTTAAAAGGAACAAAATATCTGGAAAACGAAAGGAACTTTGTTGCTAGATCTGCTTTTAAAAAGACGGATACAAATAGAAATTGTTTCCTCTAGAGGGAGCTTGTGAAACTGTTGTTAGAGTCGATCTGGGGAATTCTGCAGCTGTAGAGATTAAAGATCGTGAGACCAGACATTGACCTTGAACAAGAATGTGCCCAGAAGAAGCTTGCTTTTTGCAAGACAAGCGCTTTACTGGAACAGCTACATGAGAAGATGGATTTGATGACTGTTGCAGTTGGCAATTTTGGACAAACAGTGAATACCTATATAGAAACCACTCAGGAATCAATCCAGGAATGTGCTTTGACAGAGCAAGTGGTGAAGAAGATAAAGGAGGAGGTTGTTGCTGAACCTCAAGTAATAGAAATGGAGAGAGCTGCGGCTTTGCAGGAACATAAGTTGTTGTTTCTGACGAATGAACCTGGAGAAAGTCAGATTTGGAGAGATGGAGTACTGTTTGGTCTGGAGATGGGAAGTTGGATAGATCCCCCTATGCAGGGATGTTTTGACTTTTCGGATCTGCCTTTGGGCCAGGGGGAGTTTGGAGTTGTGGGGGCCCTTAACCTTGGAGGGACTTTGAAACATGCCTTCAAACATCTTTTGGATTTCAGTGTCGACTATGGAGAATGGTCTGACTTGTTGAGAAGGGATAAAGATATTGTCAAGTTGGAGTCTCCCCGAGAGAAAGGAAGAAAATTAAGAATAAGATCAGCAGAAGATAAAGTAAAGTGCAGGTATAAACATGAAGAAGACCTGCAGAAGGGACATGGAAAAGATTTAAGAGCCTCGGATAGAAGGTCACCAGGTTGATGGACTAGATGGATGGGATAGAAAGGACTGACAAAACCCGAGACCAGGAAGAAGAGACGATGGATGAAGATTGGAAGAAAGTTTTAAAAATTCATTTAGAAAATCATTGTAAAATTAATGAGTATTAGAAAAATGTTGGAATGAAACTATTTGGCTTTAATAGAAACGTTAAAAAGAATTATGTATAAATATGTTATGTTAAAAAGAATTATGTATAAATAAGTTTTAAGTTTTAAGCTTTAGGGCTTTTTATGGTAAGATAAGGTTAAAATAAATTAAGGTAATTTAATGACAGAATATAGTGAAAGATGGAAAGGATTTGCTGAGATAATTAATAACTAGAATACAAAAAAGGGAGCTGTGAGGAGGTCAATGAAACAAGTTAACGAAAGATAAAGATTTGGGAATATTGGATTTGTTTTTAAATTTTTTGTTTATTTCTGTTTTTTGATTTTGATGTATTGTGTGTTTTGTTTTTTCTTTGACTTTTGTTTTTTGACTTGTATTGTTTAATTCCTCTTTTTGTCTACCTTTTTTCCTTTTTCCTTTTTCTTTTTTCCTTTTTCTTTCTGTAATTTTAAATTCTTAAAAAAAGATCTATTAGTCCCATTGAGTTCAATGGGACCAAGTGGTTACAGGACTGCAACCTTACTATTATTTGTTAAGCAGGAAGTGTATTTTGGCTGCAACATCCTGTGTCTTGTTCTGGTTAGCAAGTCAGCAGAAGTCAGGCTGGTGTCCTCCAGATATTTTGGACTACAATTTCCTATAGCCCCAGTCAGCATAAATGGGCAGCACCAGGTTAAGAGGGACAAGATGCCTACTTACATGCAAAGAGGGATATGCTAGCTGTGTGGAAAGCTGCCATCTTTCTCCTTCTTAAATCAATTCAATGCTTCCTTCTTTATGAAAATCTTGAAATTCTATTTTCATTTAATATCTCTGAAATGAAAAGTGTGGATTTAAAACTACAAGGCTTCTTGCCTTTGATGCTACCTGGGAACAAAATGGTGGCAGGACTAGAAAGTCCATTGTCAATGTTAAATTCAAAGGAGATGCGCTGATCATTCTGTTATCATGATCGCTCTGTCATTGTTCGCATAAGCATTGCGTGGCTTCCTTTGAACTAATTTGAACTTGTGCTAACTTGAACTTGTAAACATTCTTGCACAGATTTCTGAAATGGATAATCACACACTAAAGATGAATGGTATTCTGATACCAGCAGATATAATTATTATGGGTTGTATGAATCAAAGCATTGAGGAGAAAGTGCTGTCAGCGCAAGGATTTCTTCACGTGCAATGGAATGTTCTCTGACTCTGCTTCTTTGTGACCCCTCCCTAAATCTATTCTAGGTTTCCTGACATTCTAGGCTGATTTGGGGACGGCACATGTGATGAGATAAGAGTGGAGGAAATCTCACTGTTGCCAGTACTCATCCTTGTCCTAGGGCAAATTTTTAGTTGAATGCCCCGCATCATTAATTTTTTGGCAGGCTTCTAAAGAACAACTGATCAAATCTTCCTCTTTAACATATTACAAAAACATTTCATCATATTAAACATACTTTACAATAAATCTATCAGTGATATCAACAATGACCTGGTTGACATTAGGCCGGTTTGCCCAAACCTTTTTCAAAGGGGGCCAGATTTGATGAAGTCAACATGCCTGAGGGGTGACCAAAATTGCTGACCTTTTTTTAGGATTGAAGTTGTTGAGCTTTTTAAACCGAACAGCAGGCCGAGTAAGGCCCCTGAAACGGACATGCCTGCATTGGGGGATTAAGAAACCACAGCTAAGAAAATGGAAGATCACGGAAAGGATGCTGGCACTTGGGACTGGAACAGTGAGACTGGCCTCAGAGCACTTGCATGATAGCTTCAGTTACATAGGCTCCATGTATCTATTCCAGTGAACAGACAAATCTTGGACTTAGGTTTGCCCCTCTGTTATTGACAGCCATCCAGGTCCAAGGTAGTGCTGAAGCCTGAGCTAACCACAATGTAGGATACCAGAGCATGTCCATATGCTGCCAAATCAACAAATATTTTCCGAGCATACCATTTTTAATAAATACAAATATGTTACACACAACTCATGGGTAAAAACGCATACCTTGACCTAACACAACAACCCATTTCTCAAAAGATAGCAAAGGCTGAGTGAAGTCCATGGAAGAAAAACACACACCAACCGTCAACTTCAATAAGTCACTTGCTGGACTTGTTCAAAATAAGCCATTCTTAACCTTTACACCCCAAATTTGGCACAGGCCATCCTGAAATATATCAGATCAGTTTGTTGAACAATTTTGCAATTATTCTTCTTTAACAATCACTCTTAGCAGAGTAAGATTGTTTTCCATGAACACGGTTTTAACAGTGAGTCTGTAAGTGACTATGGAGGCCAATTCTGGATCTACTGCCCCCAGTTTCTAGTTAAGATGGCAGAATGCAATCCAATCAACTCACCCTTAAAACTGGGAGGAAAATGGAAGCCAAGATAATGTGAAGAGCTTTCCTGACCTAGGAGCCAGGGACTTTCCAAACTTGGGTCTCCAGCAGTTTTTGGGCCACAACTCCCATCATTCCTGACCACTGGACCTGGTAGCTAGGGATGATGGGATTTGTAGTCCAATAGCAGCTAGAGACCCAAATTTGGGAGACACTGCTCTAGTGTCTGAACCGGAACCTGAACCTGCTACCTGAAATCCCTCTATTTATATAGGTACTTTCATTCATAGGTTTGTAGTTTATGGCTCACTCTGAAATAACAATGCACTTTTAGTTTCAGATCTGGACTTAAAACCAATTTCTGCTTCATTTTCATGTGGAGAATTATGGCTATTTGTACATTCCTCTTTCCTTGTATGGGTACATTTATCACAAAGTATGTGTGTTAATGAGTTTTGGAAATAAAGAGCCTTCAGCTTTATAATTGATGCAAGATGCTGACATACTTATTGTCTCTGTCCATAGCCCAACCAGACAGATTGACTATATCAGTTGGGCAGATGGAGAAATACCTAAGGACAAACCACTGTGTGGGTTTCACAATGAACACTGCAAAACTCCAGTTACCAGTAAGTGTGATTATGTAATGCCTGCCAGTTAAATGTGGGTTATAAATTTATTACTACTACTAGCATGCAAGTAGGACATACTGCAAATCATGTGTCTTGTATGCCTTTTGCTGTATCAAAGCTGCTCTGTTCTTGTCTGACACAACTATGCAACTACAGCTGTGCAGTTCTGACCATTTTCATTCCACCAAGTCAAACCTGGATGTTTTTGTTACAAAGAAAACTGATTTATTTGTTTATTTTTAAGTTACAGTTGTGGCGGGGGCTGTGATCACATGTTCCATGGTATGATTGTGTTATAATTAACAGCAATGCTTCTGTGATTTCTTGCTCCTTTATATTCTTTTCGCAATGGTGCGATGGCTTTGCTGCCTTGAATTTGGCCTTTTTTGTTTTGTTTTGTTTTTGGATGTGTTCCCAAGATTCAGCTTCATTTATATGTTCTTTAATGAACTGTTCTTTTGTTGTTAAAAGGTTCAGCCATGATTGTTATGATAATTCTGCTGATAATATCAGTATCGGGGGCCATTGGTGTGGCAATGTATATGAAAAACCACAAGGGAAACCTTCGAAATGATACGTGGTGGAGAATTAATTATGAGGATATCATCATTTTAAATAATAATAAGGTAAAGGATGATCTGTTGTGTACTGAAACTCAAGTTCTTTATCCCAAGGATACAGTTCTCCAGGGGCTTATTTGAAGGGATCAGTTGCATTCATGTAGCACTTGTTGGTGGATGTGGAACCATAATGATATAATACAGATCTGAAGCCAAGTCTTTTCAATAGCCATAGTCTTCATTAGACACTCTGGCCCCTTGTTCCTCTTTCTCAGGACCCTTCACAGGTTGGTAGATGACTGCATGAAGCAGAAAATCTCTCATACTGGTACAATTTTATTGCACTTTTTAGAAACCCTCACTTGCCATAGTCGTCCTTCAGCTTAAGGAGGGTGACAGTAGAAACATCTCTCATTTGCCCTCTTAGCTTTATAATTTTATTTCATTTACAATATCACTCAGTAATAAAGGTTTTCTGGGGGGTTAACAATAAGATCAAAACCACAAGAAGTTCTCTTTTTCTGACAAGATGAACAAGGTCTATATGACTACAATACGTTATTTCATAATTCATCAGTATCAGCAAAAAGAAAAGCAGATGTCAGGGTGGAAGGTTCTAGCCCAGCCTTCTCCCTAACATGCTAGTTTCCTATATATAGGAGTATTTTCCCCTCCTATGATGTGAAGTGGTGCAGTTGAGACATAATTCCTCTTGTACTCTTTGTACAAGAACTATGTCTGTGTTTCATACTTAGTGTAGGTACTTGCTTTGTTGCAACTTCATGTTAACTACTTGCCACCACTATTGCAAATAATGGTAATAACAGTGGCATGTTTTGAATATTTCAGTAATGGAGCTAAAATTAATGTGGCCATTTGGAATAAACTTTTGCATTTCGGCATTTGTGAACTTAAATAATTAAATCAAAACTGAATTACAAAGTTGCTGAGTTGAGCTCTGTAGCACATTCAATATTTGTTTGTCCCTCGTAAAGGCATACGTCTCCAAAAAGAACCATATAATCAAAAATCTCATAGCAAATCTCGTAAACAAACAAATAGCATATCAAAAATGCCAGGCTGCTTATTTACAGTAAGTTTTTCTCATGACAATGGCAATGACACTTCAATCTGTGTTTTGAAATCTGAATCTAGTAAACACAGTTAACCCAAATTTTGCTTTCACTACTAATGCCAGTGTTATTTTCATTCAGGTCAATATATCAGCTTGTAACATTGCACCTTATATTATCTTTCAAAGGGAAACTTCTGTCTGTCTCAAGCAAGCACACCAGTGTCCAAAGGAACAGAGAGCTTGGGCTCCCATTTGTTTATTTCTAAGAATGATGATTCTGGACCGAAGAACAAGCAAGGGAAAGAAGTATTTTACACCACTGTAGGACTTTATCAGGTGCATATGTAAACACCCAGAATATATTGTGCCAAATGGAATTGTGTTCCATTCACTTCTTGAAATAGGGTCCTGTAGTGATTTCATGCTCTTTATTGCAGCATGTAAAACAGTGATTGAATTGCCCCCCAAACCTAAGGCGGCTATATACATTATTTACACAATGAGTCCCATCTGATTGGCAGATTCTGCTTCCCTCTTGGAGCCTGATTGGTCTTTTTCTGCAGGCCAATCAGTTGTTGCATTCTACTATCCTACCAGCCTAATAGGATGATTAACTTCCTCCTGGAGCCTGATTGGTCTTTTCCTTCAAGCCAATCAATTCTAGGATCCTACTTGCCTATTGTTCTAGGATCCAAGCTTAGTACAGTGGTACCTCGGGTTACATACGCTTCAGGTTACACACTCCGCTAACCCAGAAATAGTACCTCGGGTTAAGAACTTTGCTTCAGGATGAGAACAGAAATCGTGCAGCGGCAGCAGGAGGCCCCATTAGCTAAAGTGGTGCTTCAGGTTAAGCACAGTTTCAGGTTAAGTGCGGACCTCCGGAATGAATTAAGTACTTAACCCGAGGTACCACTGTACATAACACTTCGTGTTATTTCTATTATGTACAGGAGAGCAGGGCACAAACTGCCCAACAGAATAAAAGCCAGAATAAGTCACAGGATTCACAGGTAGGATTGTAAAGTGTGACAGTGTTAATTTTCACCAGGTTTGCTACTGTTGTCTGGAAAATGAACATATAAACACCATAGGAGCTTACTGGATATTATTTGTGTTGCTATAAGTTATAATTCATAAAACACCCACTTGCGCCACTCACCATTTTGTTTTATTTTAAAACTTATCTTTTTTATATAAAAAAATTGAAATTGTGCTTTACACCTGTGCTAGAACGGAGAAAAGTTATCCCCTGGGGGGGGGAGGGATGCACACTGAAGGAGGAGAGAGATGCAAAGTTCTGCTGCATGGGCAGAGGTTATGCCACCTGTGGAATAACTTCACTGGATTCAGGCCACCCATCTTACCATCTAGCAGACTTATTAGGGTTTTATAATTCTTGAACTTGCAAAAGATGGAACGTATTAAGACGTTTATGAATCTGAGCTCAGGATTTCTCTTGCCTCAGACAAAAACCATCAGCTGTAATGATTGTTCTACAGTTTACCACTCATGGTTTGTCATGAGCAGCAGACTAAGACAAACCATGTTTAATTCACAGTGACACACCAGCAGCAGAAGTGGAAGAGGAGCAAAGCGGCCACAGTTTCATCTCTGGCAGCCCACACCATGCAAGCCATAGTTGGGCTTAACATTACATATGAACCAGGCCTATGTATCATTACTATTATGTAATATATTCCTCTTATTTGTCTGCCCATTATTTCTACCAATATCTACCCAGAGTAGCTAACTAAGTCCTCTGTAAATTCCTAGAGTGGCATAGTTGATGCGGACACACAGAAAGATCCTCAATGTATCCCTGAAGATGCCTACCAGACTACGTTGTTCATTTCCCCCCAACAGTTTCCATGTTAATGTATTGTGCCTCTTACAATTTATGTTTCAGGGAATTGTTGTTGCTCTCAAATTCATTGATAATCAAACAGATGCCTGGATCCGGAAACCATCAGTTCTCCAGGAGGTTCGGGTGGTATGTTTCATTCTTAAATAGTTTAACAAATTTCCATTTGAACAGTAAGTTAACTGAAACAGGCAGGTGATCTAAAATTCACAACTGAAGTAAGGAAGTTTATTAAGTAATGCAGAAAAAACCATGAACTGACTGAAATTTCTAAATGAAGCTATAGGTCGATATGCTTTGGAAAACAGATTTAATTAGCAAGGTCTCCAACACAGGGCATTGTCTTGCTTTGACCAGATATCTCAGAGTGGTCCCATAGCTTATTTCTTCTGCAATGCCAGTAAGAAGGAGCAGAGCTGGCTGAAAAAGATTGTATTTGCTTTGCTGTATGGTGTCAAATCTGGATACCACACTTCCCAACATTCCTTTGCTTTAGATGAGAGAACTGAGACATGAGAATCTGGTGGCCTTTTATGGGATATGTCCTGAAGCTCCAAACATGTGCATTGTGATGCATTACTGTAAGAAAGGTAGCCTAAAGGTGAGTATTGTACATCAAAGTTTAGAACAATTATTACATTAAAGTAGATCATACTTAATTGCCTTAGAAAGGATTACTAAAGCAGTGTGTTGCCAAGTCATATATGCTATTTTTGGCTCTCTTCAGTATTATATCTATCTATCATCTATCTCTATCATCTCACAAGACAGCCAATGGAGGTGCCCTCCAGATATGCTCCTGATCAGTGGTAGCCAACATGGTTAATGTTCAGGAATAATGGGATGTGGTCCAGCACATCTGGAAGGCACATGGGGGGAGGAGGGGCGAGTCCTCTTGCAGAAGTGGCAATACTTGCTCTAATGTGATGCAGTAGTTGAATACCACCCCAGTTGAATGTGTGGTTTGCCCCATGAAAGTCATGTGCACCTCAGTAATGTTTCCACAATACTTAAAGTTTTGCCTTTTCAGTCATTTCAAAGACTTTTGTCTTCTTTCCATAATAATAATAACAATAATAATAATAATATATAAAAAAATTATTTATATCCTGCCCTTCCCAGCTGAGGCCGGCCTCAGGGCGGCTAACAACAATAAAATAATGCGACATTCTAAAAACATTTCATTACAAAAATTAATTAACATCAAACTGATGGCAACCATTAAGCAAAAATTCTGTGCAGATTGCCGAAGGAGGGAGTCAGGTATGAGCTAAGCATGGCTCCAGGCAGCTGATATATATTTACATGCCTACTTTGAGTGGAGTCAGGCAGCAAGTGCAATTGTATCTCAAAAGAAATATTTCTACATGTGCATTTTCTAGGATGTTTTGATGCATTCTGATATCGAACTGGACTGGATATTCAAAATCTCCTTTGCCTATGACATAGTCAACGTAAGTATGGAGTAATGGAATTGCTGTCAGCTACTAGGACAGTCATAAGAAAAATGCTGTTATTGTAGTGACTGACTGCTGAAAAGAAGCCAGAAAGATACATATCCATCACAAGCATCTGTTGTTTTTGTAGCTAAAGCATTGGTGTTTATCAGAGAGAGAGAGTGTGTAAACTGCATGAAGTTTTGCAACCCACTTCTAAGAGCACTGAGATCTTCAGATGGTGCTGAAACATTATCTGATGAAGTGGATTGTTTGGAGAGTATCACACCAGTGTTTCAATATCAGAAGCGGCACTTTGAAAAGTGTTGTTTTTAGTCTTTGCATGTTACATGATCTAATAGCCACACACTTTTGATTATTCCATTTCTGTACCATGTTGATACATCAGTGGCAAGTGAAGAGGCTTTTCCATGGTTAGCATCAGTTGTGGATTTCACTTCCCTTGTACCAAGGCTGCCAACTCGCCCTCAGTATTGTGGGTGCCTGCCACTGCAATGCAGACGTGTGAACACGCACACGCTCCTCCTCTCCAAAGCCAGTGAGGCACCATTTTCCATGTCTGAGCTCCCCCCTACTGATAAAGTGTTCCTCGCTCACTGACTGCGGAGGGTGGAGCTGAAATGCTTCTCTCTCAGAGGCAGCACTGCTGCCTGCCAGCTTTACTCATTGACTTTGTGGGTGCCCGGCCTCCCACAATTATATTATTGTGGGTTCCCAAGAAGCCACAGCTCCCTGGAGTTGGCTCCTATGCCTTGTATACTCCCTCTGGACTTGCATTTTGTGCTAGGCTTTCAGTAGATGAAGTGTTCTGTTTTTCTTATTTTTATTTGGACATATGTGTGTGTGTATTTTTTAACCGTGACCTCTCCCAAAGTAGAAGTATGAGTTTATGACCTCCAGAAAAGGCACAGGTGGCAACAACTAGGAAACCCTGATCTAGAGACAAAAGCCTCAGTCCAGAACATTGAAGTGTTACCTATGTAACCTGCTAAAATAAATCTATGTAATGAATGAAATACCACCCAAAGCTAAAAAGTTCTTGTTTGTGGAAACTACAGAATCCCAAGCTGACTTGCTTTGTTTGGTACATGTATTTCATGTCTTTGTCTACACTGTGCGTTTGAATTTTAGGGTATGGTGTTCATTCACAACAGCCCCCTGAATTCTCATGGAAACTTAAAACCCACCAACTGCCTGGTAGACAGTCGCATGCAGGTGAAGCTGTGTGGCTTTGGGTTGTGGGAATTTAAATATGGAAGGAAATCTCAGGTAATGGCAGAAGAAAGGAATTATGCAGGTAAGAACATTAAGTACTTTCCATTCCAAGAAAAAAAAGCACCACCCACCAGAGCATTTTGCATGCGAATGTTTGAGTAGAGGTTTATCTTTATTTTTATTTATTAAATTTATATACCACCCTTTATCCAAAGATCACAGGGTGGTTCACAGAATAAAGATACAAAATGAAAACACAAAATACAAAAACAAACAAACCAATAACTCCCCTACCACAAACACATTTAAAAGACCGTAGATTATTTACCGGTAATCAGCCCAAAGCCTAGTGATAGAGGAATGTTTTTGGCTGGTGCCAAAAGATATGTAATGAAGGCACCAGGTGAATCTCCCCAGGGAAAGCATTCCACAAATGGGGAGCCACAGCAGAAAAGGCCTGTTCTAGTGTTGCCACATTCAGACCTCTCATGGAGGAGCTATGTGAAGAAGGGCCTCAGATGATGATCACACGGTTGGGTTCAGTTCATATGGGGAGAGGCGGTTCTTGCAGTCCTGCGCCATTTAAGGCTTTATAGGTCAAAAACAGCACTTAGTAATGAACCAAGAAACTGGCTGGCAGCCAGTGCAGTTGGGCCAGGATTGGAGTATGCTCAAACCTTCTTTTCCCAGTATGTAAACTAGATGCTGAATTCAGCACCAGCTGAGGTTTCCAAGCCATCTTCAGAGGCAGCCCCACGTAAAATGTGTTGCAGTAAGCTAATGTTTAACATTGCTTAAAGGCATGTTCATTGTGCTAAGGTCCTATCTTGGGGCTGAATGGCGGGTTATACATTTAATAAGAATACCCAGTCAGCAGATACCTGCATTTCACATTGCAGAATACTGGAAAAACAAAATCTTGTCATTACATGGTTCTCTACCCAGCTGTTTAATGTATGTAATACAAGAGTCTCCACTCATGCTAGAAGGACTAGAAAACAGGAAAGAAAACAATTTGAAAATGCAACTGATTTGAATAGCGTTCAGATTTTCTGAAATATCAGGGGGTGGGTGCAGAGAGAGTATCTCTGAGAATGCTGAATGCTGTGATTGCGAGGTTTATGACTTTCCCACAGCAAGGTTGTGTCTTTCCATGTTGCAATTACCATATTTTTCTGTGTATATGACGAGGTTTTTTTTATTATAAAAAGTGTCAAAAATTGGGGGTCATCTTATACACGGATAGTGCAGAGGAGGGAAGGACGATTGGTGTCAGTCACGAGCAGGAGATTGTCAGCGGCGATTTGGTGGGTGATTGGTGGCTGCTAGTGCCAGCGGATGGATGATTGGTGGTCAGGCGGGTGAGCAATTGTCGGTAATCCCCCCCCAAAAAGCTGCACAACACTGGGCAATCTCCCCCCATTTCCTTAATTTGGTGTCCCAAAAAATAGGGGTCATCTTATACACACGGAGAGCCAGTGTGGTGTAGTGGTTAAGAGCTGTAATCTCGTAATCTGGTGAACCGGGTTCGCGTCTCCGCTCCTCCACATGCAGCTGTGGGGGAGGAAGGGAAAGGAGAATGTTAGCCACTTTGAGACTCCTTAGGGTAGTGATAAAGCAGGATATCAAATTCAAACTCTTCTTCTTCTATACGGGAGCGTGTTATACACAGAAAAATACAGTATGTCTCCAACTGGCAAAGTTTCCTGGCAGGAAAGCAAATTGGGCAGGATGTTAGTTAGTGAGGTTTTGAGGGGTGGTATAGTATCTTGGAAGTATTATGCCCAGGCAGTTGGTATCATAAACAGTCGTTATTAATTACAGATGGGTTATGAAATAATAATTGTGGTTGTTTGCTGGTTCACAGAGCAAGCTTCCATGGAAACCCCAGAGGGAGAAACTAGGATTGACAAATACAGAAACCTCCCAGTGCTTGTTTTCATACATTGCATCATGCACATGATAAAAGATGGCACCTTCATGCCTTGGTGCTGGCTTTGGGGAGTGGGTGCGGGGCAATTTTCCGTGTCCTCAAGTTGTTAGCAGTGCCCACAAGAAGCGGTCTGCATAATGGTGGGGTCAAGGCTGGCAACTACCTATTAGCAGGTGGGCAGGGCCTGGCCATCCCAAATTCTAATATACAGTCATACCTTGGTTCTCGAACGGCTTAGTTGTCAAACAAATCAGCTCCCGAATGCCACAAACCCAGAAGTAAGTGTTCCGTTTAGGGAATGTTTTTCGAAAGCCGAACGTCTGATGTGGCTTCCGCTTGAGTGCAGGAAGCTCCTCCAGCCAATCGGAAGCCATGCTTTTGAGAACCAAGGTACCACTGTATACTATTACCAACAAAGCTGTGGTATTCATTGCTGCCAGCAACATACCTGGATGTGTCTGGGGCACAACTATCTACATGGACTTCCCTGTAATTTAGCATATGCTATGGCTTAAATGGAGACGAATAAGCATCTGTAGAGAATGCAAAAAGGAAACAGGGATAGCTGAGGATTTCTGCCTTTGTGAATTTCTGTGTGAAATTATCTGTTCTGCACCTCTTGGAGTAAAGATTGTAGCGACACAGTTTGTTGACATTTTGAACGAGTAAAGATTCATAATGACTAGCTATTTATTTATTTTAAAAATACAAATTAATGCGGAACAGAATGAAATGATAGGTTAACTTGTGCAAAACTGACACGGACCAGAAATGGATAGCTTTGTACCCCTTTGGGAATGGGCAAAGCTCATAATTACTCACCAATTACACCTGGGGTAAAACTACAGCATGGCAGCAATTTTAACAGACGGTTGAGCCTTTTAAATAAATGTTTTATCATTCCAATATTTTCTCTCTTCTTATTTTAGAGCTTTACTGGACAGCACCTGAATTGCTAAGAATGGCAGAATATCCATTCCATGGCACCCAGAAGGGGGATGTGTACAGCTTTGCTATTATTATGAGAGAACTGATATACAATCATGAAGACGGTCCATTCCATGACCTAAGCCAGAATGCAGAAGGTTGTTTCTTTGAGATCTGACCTTGAGCTTTATTTTTTCTTCCAGATGTGTAGGAAAAGCAACAAAGTCCTCTGTGTGTGTTTGTACATCTAACATGTCGTCCTCCTCAAAATTATGGAGTCCATTAACAGAGGAAACAATACAAACAATATATAATTATGTTGTTGTTGTTTAGTCGTTTAGTCGTGTCCGACTCTTCGTGACCCCATGGACCAGAGCACGCCAGGCACTTCTGTCCTCCACTGCCTCCCGCAGTTTGATCAAACTCATGCTGGTAGCTTCAAGAACACCATCCAACCATCTCATTCTCTGTCGTCCCCTTCTCCTTGTGCCCTCCATCTTTCCCAACATCAGGGTCTTTTCCAGGGAGTCTTCTCTTCTCATGAGGTGGCCAAAGTATTGGAGCCTCAGCTTCAGGATCTGTCCTTCCAGTGAGCACTCAGGGCTGATTTCCTTAAGAATGGAGAGGTTTGATCTTCTTGCAGTCCATGGGACTCTCAAGAGTCTCCTCCAGCACCATAATTCAAAAGCATCAATTCTTCGGCGATCAGCCTTCTTTATGGTCCAGCTCTCACTTCCATACATCACTACTGGAAAAACCATGGCCTTTACCATATGGACCTTATATAATTATAGAGCAATTATAATTATAGAGCAAGGGAAAGAAAGGAAGATGAGATCAAAACATATTAGGAAATTCTGTGCCTGTGAATGTGGTTTGTTTCTTCAAATAGTAGTAACCCTGAAATTAAAACTGCTACTAAAGAAAACATATGCATTATGCAACTCCCTTTGAAAAGCAATTCATCTAATAAATGATTCTCAAACTCTTGTTAGTAGAAAGACTGGGCCTGATTCAGTTTTTCCTTAACGAGTCACACATGTTTTCTATCAATAGCAAACTGTATTCCATACAATTTCTAGATATTAGCAATTTCCATACAGTTGCTAATATGCTAGAGCCTTCTTTTCTCTCTTTTTCTATTTTTTTTAATTCCATTTTTAAATTGTTTCTCAAGAAATATCTCAGTTATTTCACAGTAAAAGCATCAACAATATGAACAATTAATGACAGGTAGTAATACTAATATTTTCATAGAAATTGCAAAGTTTAAAATAGCGCTCGTGATCAACAAGGTGAAAGTGTTCCAAAACAGGGTGAATATCTAAAAAGTTACTGAGCTTTGCTCAGAATCCAAATTTAAATAACTATTTACTGCAAATACAGGATATGGAAATTCATCCTATATTTAGCAAGTTTCATAACTGGCTAACTCAGGGTCCTAAATAATGTCTACAAGATTAAGTTGCACAGTCTCAAAACCAATATTCCCATACTTAATGCCTAGTAGACCAAATATACTCCATATTTATTCAAATAAATGACTGTACTATACTGCAGATCTATTTCCAACTGGTTATGGCTGCAAGCAATATGCATTTAGATTACTATGACATATCTCAGTCTAGCTCATGTTCGAAAGGAACTGGCTGAAAAGAACATATATTGCCATTTCTTTAACAACTACATGGCTTGCTGGCCCATTTCTGGGTAAAATTCAAAGCCCTACAGTCCTTGGGAAGAGCATTGTTTTCTTCCACATGAAGTTGTCCACACACAAAGACTCCATGGGCCTTCTCCTCATCTCTGCTTTTGAGCAACATTGCGAAGTGACTTCCAGAGACAGGAGAAATGTCTTTTGGGCTTTCCCCCCCTTCTCTTGCGGAGAGTGGCTGTGCACACCAGGGGTTCCAAGAGTTATTTGAGGAATGGGATTCACCACCTTTATTGTGACATTTAGGAAGCTGCTTTATACTGAGGCAGACCATGGTCCATTCCTACTGACCAGCAGCAGCTGCTCTCCAGGTTATCAGACAAGGTTCTCTCCCAACCCTTGCTGGAGAGGCCAGAGATTGAACCTCAGACATTCTGCATGCAAAGCAGATTCTCTACCACTGAATTATGGTTCTTCCTCAAATGTTGAAAGCATATAAAATTAAAGGAACTGAAAGCAAAAGAAAAAGAAAAGAAAAGAAAAGAATTAATATTCTGAAAGCTGACTCATACTGTTTGTTTGGTTTTTTTGTTCCAGACATAATAAAAAGAATCCAGGACCCTAATTCTCCTGTTCCACTGCGCCCTTCTATTTCAACACAGAAATGTAATGAAAGGATTGTTGCACTTTTGAAGGCATGTTGGGATGAATATCCAGAGAGGAGGCCAACATTCCTCAACATCAAGAGAGCACTGAAAGATGCCAGTCCAGAAGGGTGATTATTTTCCTTCCCGTGAAACCAAGTATGTGTGGTTATTATTCAGGACGGAAAGCTAACCTTCATGTTGGGTTCTGTTCCTGAAGATAAAAAAATAAACCACACCTCAATTGTGTGGTTGCCAAATCTCAGTATTCTCACCTCTTTGCCTCCATTTGCTTTTTTTAAAAAAATGATATTTATTAAAGTTTCAAAGAAAAAATTACATATATTTTTTTAATTTTTTTTAAAAAAAATACAAAATACAAAATAGAAAACACTTAAAAAAACAAAAACACATCGTTCTTTCCATAACTTACATTTCATTTCCTTACTTCCCTGACTTCCTCACACCTCCCTTTTTTGTATTCCAGTTCTATTAGTTAATTCAGCAATTCCTTTCCCTCTTTGTTTTTGTCTTAATCCTTTAACTTAACATATTATAACTTTAGATTCTCATCTGTTAACAATCCGTTTGTACATACACCTTTATAACATTGCTGCTAAGACCACTTAATTTCATTCTGACATCATTCTAACATTCATTAATTTTGCAATATTTCTGTAAATAGTCTTTAAATTTCTTCCAATCTTCTTCCACCAACTCTTCTCCCTGGTCTCGGATTCTGCCAGTCATTTCCGCCAGTTTATCCAAATTGTATGCCTCCATTATCTGATAATAATGAAGCCAATCTCGCACTTTGTTTTTTAGTTTCTCAAAGCTCTGCAATTTCAGTCTATCTCCCTCTTGTTCCAGAATTTCCCAATATTTCAGCCATTTGGCCTCCATATTGAGCTTTTTCAGAGCTTTCGCTTCCATCGGTGACAGCCACCTTGGGGTTTTATTTTCCAGTAGGTCTTTATATCTTATCCAGACATTAAACAATGCTTTCCTGACAATATGATTTTTAAATGCTTTATGTGCTTTGACCTTATCATACCACAAATATGCATGCCATCCAAATACATTATTAAAACCTTCTAAGTCCAAAATGTCTGTGTTTTCAAGAAGCAGCCATTCTTTCAGCCAGCAGAAAGCTGCTGATTCATAATAAAGTTTAAGGTCTGGCAGGGCAAATCCACCTCTTTCCTTTGCATCCGTTAGTATTTTAAATTTTATTCTAGGCTTCTTGCCCTGCCAGACAAATCTAGAGATATCTCTCTGCCACCTCTTGAAGCAATCCATTTTGTCCAAAATTTGCAATGTTTGAAAGAGAAATAACATTCTAGGCAATACATTCATTTTTATCGCAGCAATACGGCCTAGCAGTGAAAGCTTCAAATTTGACCAAATTTCTAAGTCTTTTTTCACTTCAGCCCAGCATTTTTCATAATTGTCTTTAAATAGATTCCCATTTTTGCTGTCATGTTAATCCCCAGGTATTTCACTTTCTTAACCACTGTTAAACCTGTCTCATTCTGAAACCTCTCTTTCTCAATCACAGTTAAGTTTTTCTCTAAGACCTTTGTTTTTAACTTATTCAATTTAAATCCTGCAACCTGACCAAATTCTTGAATCAGTTCCAAAACCCTTTTAGTACTAGATTCTGGCTCCTGCAATGTCAATACTAAGTCATCTGCAAATGCTCTCAATTTGTACTGTTTAGCTCCGACTTGTATACCTTTAACCAATTGGTCCCTTCTAATCATATTTAAAAGTACCTCTAGGAACGATATAAAAAGCAATGGGGAAATTGGGCAACCTTGTCGTGTCCCTTTTTCTATCTTAAATTCCTCCGTCACCACGTTATTTACAATTAATTTAGCCTTTTGTTCTGAATAAATTGCACTTATACCGTTTTCAAAGCCTTGGCCTACCCCCATCCCCTGTAGGTTCTTCTTCATGAAACTCCAAGAAATATTGTCAAAGGCTTTCTCCGCGTCCACAAATATCAAAACTGCCTTGGTATTTATATTCACTTGTAGTTTTTCTAAAATATTGATTATGTTTCTCACGTTGTCAGACAAATGTCTACTTGAATTCTTTATGTATCTCTTCCATTAGGACTCTTTTTAGTCTTTTAGCCAAAATGTCTGCAAAGATTTTGTAATCCACATTGAGCAGTGATATGGGGCGGTAGTTCTTAAGCTGGGTCTTTTCAGTCTCTATTTTCGGTACAAGTGTAATATACGCTTCTTTCCACGACTCTGGTGCCCTTTTCCCACCCATTATTTCGTTACAGACTTCCTTTAAAGGTTGTACTAGCCATTCCTTCAAGGATCTGTAGTATCTAGAAGTCAGTCCATCCGGTCCTGGAGATTTACCTAGTTGCATATTCTGAATGGCACCTTCCACCTCCTGTTCAGTTATTTTATAGTTCAGCATTAATTTATTTTCTTGAGAGATTTTTTGTAATCCATTTGTTTTCAAAAATCGGTCTACATCAATTTCTTTCTGTGGCCCTTGTGTATATAGTTGTTTAAAATACCTCTGGAAACAATTTCTAATCTCAACTGGGTTCTGTATATTCCTTCCTTCCACTTCTAAATTTGTGACAGTATTTAGTTTTTGTCTTTTTTTTCATTTGCCAAGCCAACAGTTTCCCACATTTATTAGCCGACTCAAATGTCTTTTGTCTCATTTGTTTAATTTTCCATTCTATCTCCTGATTCATCATTTTCATGTATTGTACTTGATATAACTTTATTTCTCTCAAAATCTCTTGCGACTTTGGTTTTGCTCTCAATTTCTTTTCACTTTCCTTTATTTTCTCCAATATTTTATCCTTCTTCTCATTTTGGATTCTCTTCTTTAATGCATTCTGTTGTATCAAGAACCCTCTCATAACAGCTTTGCTTGCGTCCCAGATTACTCTTTTTTCAACATTGGTGTTCATATTTATCTCAAAATAGTCTCTCAAGGTTTTTTGGGCCTTCTTAATGACTTCTTCATCTCTAAATAAGGCATCATTCATCCTCCATCTGAAGGAGCCGGTTGGTGTTAGTTTCATCTCCATCTTAACAGCATTATGGTCGGAGCAGGTTTTTGGGCAGATTTCCGCTTTTCTTGTCTTTGGTGCCATTCCTCTAGTTAGCCATATTTGGTCAATTCTTGTCCATGTCAGTTTGGCTTCAGAAAAGAAGGTTCCCTCTCTGGCTAGGGGATTCTTTGTTCTCCAGTTTGCCTCCATTTGCTAAACCAGAAAACAGTGAATGGGATAGGAAGAGTTTCTAGTTGAGGCCAAATGCAGCCCACCCCCCGCCCCTCTATCTGACCCTTGGGACTCTTCCTAGGCCATGACTCTTCACTAGCTCTACTCTGCAACTCTTTCAAGTATTTTTGCCTATCTGGAATGTGCCCTTCGACTGTGATCATGCCTCTTGCTTGCATGGAAAGGTGTGTGTATAGAAATCTCTGTTTTTTGCATGGCTGGAATGTAGCCTCCTGGACCAAGGTAAGGGTCACGTCCGTTGCTCTGCCTATTTTTTTTGCCTCTTACCGTGCTCACTGCTGGCATGTGGCCCCTGAAAGGTTGCCCATGCGGGAGTGTGAAAAGATTCTCTATACATGCATCAAAACAGTTCCAGAGACAATACTGCACTATCATACAAACAATGGAAAGAAATTTGGTAGAAACGGATACGCACCAGTTCCTTAAAAAAATAATATTATTATTTTGGAACATTTGCAGAAGTCACTTCGGTATCTTGGACAACATGGTGAATAAACTGGAAAAATACGCAAATCATCTGGAGGAAGTGGTTGAGTCAAGGACAACTCAGCTGATGGCAGAGAAGAAGAAGACAGAAAAGCTTTTATCAGCTATGCTACCTGGGTAACAGAAACCCTTCACTGCTTCTAAGCCATTCTCCAGTAGAAGATGCCTTGAAACACTTTCACCTTTGGAATAAGTCCTGCCCAAAAATGAGTTGGCAGTTATGAGCATTAGGCCTTTGCTTGAACCCCCATTTTCTTATATTTCATCTAGTTTAAAAAAGAAATAACAAGTTTCTATTGAACATAGTTATGGATATAGGTTTGGAAATATTAAAATATGATTACTTAAATTGAATTGGGCCACCACACACACACACACACACACACACACACGGTGGGAAACCAAACAATATATACAAAAGAGAAATGAGAAACCGAAATAAATGGATTCCATCATCTCTGCCCTTTACCCGTATTCTTGTTCCAGTTTCATTGGAGAACAACTTGTTGCTGGGAAATCAGTGGAACCCGAGAGCTTTGATTCAGTCTCCATCTTCTTCTCAGACATTGTTGGCTTCACCAAGCTATGCTCTCTCAGCTCTCCATTGCAGGTTGTGAATCTCCTCAATGACCTGTACAGTCTGTTTGATAACATCATTAAAAACTACGATGTCTACAAGGTAGGCAGACAGCATTCCCTGGAACCGAGTGGGTTGATTTAAAGGGCATTCTGCTATTTTTGTTGATGTTAATCTCTGATTAGTTCTGGCCACATACACTTACTTGGAAAGAACTACCCAGGATTTAGAAATATGGACAAATTTGAAGCTTTCCTTGTTAGGTCGAATTGCTGTCATAAAGATGAATGTATTGCCAAGAATGCTGTTTTTGTTTCAATCGATACAAATAATAGACAAAATGGATTGTTTTAAGAAGTGGCAGAGAGATATCTCTAAGTTTGTCTGGCAGGGCAAGAGGCTCCAGGATAAAATTTAAAATAATTGATGCTAAAGAAAGAGGGGGATTTGGTTCCACAGACTTTTGTGAACTTTTATTATGAATCAGCAGCTTTGCTGGGCTGAAGGACTGGTTACTTCTGGAAAATACTGATGTTTTTGGACTTAGAAGGTTTCACAATGTGTTGGTGGTACTGGCTGGATTGTGGTATGACAAGGTTAAAGCTCACAGTAACATTTAAAAAATCATATTGTCAGGAGCATTACTTAATGTCTGATAAGATATAAAGACTTGGCTGAGAATAAACCCCAAGGTGGCTAATATCACCACGGAGGCAAAGGCCCTGAAAAAAGTCCAATATGGAGGCCGGGTGCCAAAATATTGGGAGGATCTTGGAACAAGAAGGAGATAAAATTGCAGAGTTTTGAAAACTAAAAGATAGAGGCGAGACTGGTTGCATTATTACATCAAATAAGAGAGGTCTATAATTTGGATAGAAAATTGGCTTCCAGGTGGAAAACTCAAAGTTGGAAACAGAACTGTTAGATCCCCAAAACTAAAAGATCTTTCAAGAATGTATAACTTGCTGCTAAAAAATGAATAATTAGGATGAAACGGAAAATCTGGGTTATGATTAAATGGGCACAGGATGTTGACATAACATTGGTGTTTGCTGACTGGGAACGGTTATGACCACAGGCAGGATTGGAGTTAAGGGTAATGTAATGCTGAAGAGAATATATCGAAATGGTGTACAGGTGGTACATGACCCTGAAACAAGCTGGCAGTGTAATCACTGACGGTCTGAGCACAATGTTGGAAATGTAATGAAACGGAAGGTTCATTCTTTCAACACCTTGTGGACGTGCCCAAAGATTTCATAAGGCCTTCTGGGAAAGGATATAATGAGTTGGGAAAAGGTATTTAAGTATACCTTCTTAAAGAAACCAGAGGCCTTTCTCCTGGCATTGTTGGCCACTGGTGTCAAAGAAAGAGTACAGAACTTTTATGTATGCACAGCAGCAAGCAAGGATACTTATCGCAAAGTATTGGAAGACACAAGACTTACCCACTCTGAAGAATGGCAGATGAAGGTACCCATTATATGGAATTGGCGGAAATGACTGGTAGAATCCAGGACCAGGAGAAGAGTCGGTGGAAGAAGATTGGAATAGGCTTAAAGACTATTTACAGAAATACTATAAAATTAATGAACAATTGAGGTCTGATTGAAAATAATTGTATTGGCAAAAACCCCGCTAAGAGCATGGAATATTTGATTGATAAGGTTGTAAATATCTATATATAAATAGATTTAAGTTTTGAGTTGGGAGCAAAGGAAGAGGGTATGATTTGCTGAAAGGAGTTTTAAAGGAAATACAAGTGGGGAGGTGTATGGGAAGCCAAAGAACCAAGGAAAGATAAGAAGGTTAAATGAAAGTATAAACTTAAATTTTTTCTGTTTCTTTTTCTTTTTTCTTCTTTTGTTTTCTTTTTTATGGTTACTGTTTTCCTTTTGTCACTGTTATTGTTAAGATGAAATCCTGTATTTTTAGCTGTTTTAATTTTGTAAACCAATAAATATTACATTAAAAAAATCCACCATTGTGAATGTGGCTGACATTGAAATATCACTGTGAGATACTAAACACACTGTGGGATGAGCTCACTCCAAAACTTAAATTTTAAAAATAAAACAATGAAGTTCCCCTCAGGGAAGGGCATGCCAAGTCATTCCTCTTGGTACCAATGAGGACACATCAGTAACAGACCATGTTTTGACACCTGCCATCAGTAGAGTATCTCTGAAGATAATAACGAGAAATGAATGTGTGTGTGTGTGTGTGTGTGTGTGTGTGTATCATATGTGGGTTCTGAATTGGGCATAACGTTTCTAAGGAACTCTTAAGGCTTCCTTCATTTTCCCATTTCTCACTTTTCAATTTAAAAAGTGCTAATGATTCCTTTGATTGCTTACAGGTTGAAACTATTGGAGACGCCTATATGGTTGCTAGTGGCCTCCCCATTCGCAACGGGAAGAAACATGTTGAGGAAATTGCTACCATGTCTTTGCACTTTCTCAATGCAATCATTTCCTTCAAGATTAGGCACATGCCGAAGGAGAAACTGAGCCTGCGTATTGGTATTCATACAGGTGAAAGGCAGTGGTTTCAGCTAAGCATGATTTTAAAGCTTTTGCTACATTGTTTGTTAAGTAAGGGTTCTGAGAGATGCTATGAGCCAGTGTGGTGTGGTGGTTAAGCACACTAGACTTGTAATCTGGGGAACAGGGTTCGCTTCCCCGCTCCTCTACATGCAGCTGCTGGGTGACCTTGGGCTAGTCACTCTTCTCTGAAGTCTCTCAGCCCCACTCACCTCACAGAGTGTTTGTTGTGGGGGAGGAAGGGAAAGGAGAATGTTAGCCGCTTTGAGACTCCTTCGGGTAGTGATAAAGTGGGATATCAAATCCAAACTCCTCTTCTCTTCTATGAGACCCCTTCCCTCCCTCAGAGAACTACAAGTCCCAGTTCCTTGGAAAGAGGAATTGATTGTTAAACCACTCTGGGAATTGCAGCAATGTGAGAGAATAGGAATATTCTAACAAGTCTCCTCGCCCTTAACAAACTGCAGATCGCAGGATTCTTTGGGGGAAGCCACAACCGAGATGACTTTAAATGTATAGTTCAGTAGAATGCCACTCACAACTATGTTCCAGATTCTGACTGAAGGATAGTAACTAGTAAAACAAATTGAGACTCGTAGCTGCAAGTAAGATTGCAGTGAAATTACAGGGTCAAATCCTGTGATTGTGCCAATTAAATACTATAACGAAGGGACTATTCATATTCAACTTCAGTTTGTGTGCAGCTCTGTTCAAAGGACTTTGGGGGAGGTAATGACACGTTTTAAAAGCAAATACAAACACTTTGAGACATAAATCATCTTGTCATGTGATATTGCAAACACAAGTGTATATCTTTGGTGCTGAAATATCAAGTATGGCTACAGATTGATGAGCCATAAAAATAGGGACGTGCTGAGATAGTTTCTATTATAGTCCTTTGCTCTAATACCAAGTTAAAGCAATAAAGCAACATAATTTGTATAAGTGTGTGTGATCTATTAGGCTTCCTGGAAATCCCTTTAGTCTGGCCAAATGTGTGCTACCAGGATTTGGAGATGTACCGGTAGTAATAATAAGAATGTGGCTGATGGTTCCCCATCATGTGATGATGAAATATAGACAATATGTTCTGAGATACGTATAATTAATTTGAAGGGAATCTGGCACAAGGAGTAAAATTTTCTCAGCATCATTTAAGATTTGATTCACGAGTGTATTTTTGAGGTGATTTAAGTCTGGTCACATTCTCATTTGTGTGTATCTATGTAGAAAATGGCTGCAGAAATGTCTGACGTTAGTACTTCAGAGTAACTCAGTCTACTTGACTACATAAAGGTAAAGGTAAAGGGACCCCTGACCATTAGGTCCAGTTGCAGACGACTCTGGGGTTGCGGCGCTCATCTCGCTTTACTGGCCGAGGGAGCCGGTGTACAGCTTCCGGGTCATGTGGCCAGCATGACTAAGCCGCTTCTGGCGAACCAGAGCAGTGCACGGAAACGCCGTTTACCTTCCCGCCGAAGCGGTTCCTATTTATCTACTTGCACTTTGATGTGCTTTCGAACTGCTAGGTTGGCAGGAGCAGGGACCGAGCAACGGGAGCTCACCCCGTCACGGGGATTTGAACCACCAATCAGCAAGTCCTAGGCTCTGTGGTTTAACCCACAGCACCACCCGCGTCCCCACTTGACTACATATCCCCCCCCCAAAAAAAAACATGTCTGCTCTGTGGGAAGCAGAAAAGACAATTGGTAAATGGGATCACATTGCTGTAAAATCCAAACATTAATTCATAACTCTCAAAAGCATCATTGCATATGAGATTCTGCCTTTCTTTTCTCTGTGGCTGATGCCTTTCCTGGTGTTTGTTCTTCTAGGCCCTGTTGTTGCAGGTGTGGTGGGGATCACAAGGCCACGTTACTGCTTGTTTGGAGACACAGTGAATGTGGCTTCAAGGATGGAAAGTACCAGCTTACGTACGTTGCATGTATTTGTTATGAAGGTATGAGAAAGGCTGGTGTAAACTCCAAAAGGCGAGAGAACATGTTGTGCTTCAAAAGCCAATGAATGAAAGCTTAGAGCAGGGAAAGAAGCAGAACTTTCAGCAATGTATAATCATGAAGGGATGTCTTCAGTCCAGTTGCTGGGAAGCAACAAGAGAATTACATAGCTATTATGCCCTTCTTGTGTGCTTCCCTGAGGCAGGTGGTTGCTCACTATTGGCAATAGGTTAATGGACTATACAGACCTTTGTTCAGACTGAATAGGAATTTTCTTCTCTTTTTTTTAGAGTATTACAAAGTGAAGAAAAATGAAAAGTTGGTGGGCACATTTCATGTCAAGAACTGTCATCATTCCCATACACCACACTTGCCTCTGAATTGGCAACTGAGACAGTGGTACTCAACACTGGGAGTTGGATTTAGCTTAGAATCTGCTGCCCCCGTTCTACTGCTTTTTAAGCACCATGCCCCCTATGTTCCATAGTGGGTGGTCCTTAACAGGCTCCGACAAACAACCAGCTTCCAATCGATGCTCAGCTGTAAGGCCACTTGAGTTGTTAGTTGAAATCAGCTGCCATTTCCTTGTGCCCACCTATTTCTCTTACCTCATAGCCAGGTCCTAACACTGAAAGTGTTAGTTGGTACAAATATAAGCAACTGTCCATATTTGTTTTTACTAGAGCATTTTTAGAGCTTTTCTTTCCAATATAGGCAATCAATATGCAATATGGTAAATTGCGCTCTCTCTCTCTCTCTCTCTCTCTCTCTCTCTCTAGCTCTCCAAATCCATGTCTCTATGATCACAGCAAATGTTCTCCAGATGATTGGAGGTTATGATTTGCAGGAAAGAGGGACCATAAGAATAAAGGTATAATTTTCATGGAAATAGGGGTTCATAGAGCTGGGAAGAACCCAGTGGTGATCTAGTCCAAGCTTCTGCACAAACATGAGGCCACCAGCTTCTAGCCATATGAATTTTTAAAATTCAAAGTCAGACAACAGTCCTCTACCACAAGCAAGGAGCAGATGCACTGGAGAAAGGTATACCTTGTGAAGACATCTGCCCGTAGCTTAATATCGTGTGAAGTTGTACATGTTGAGTTTTCAATGTCATGGGGGCTTGGCCTCAGAATTAGGTGATGGATTGTCAGGCACTTTGACTAGCAACAAATTTAGGTCAATCACTGAACTATTGGGGGGCAATAGTTGGACAATACTATTTATTTTTAATATGTCCGTAAGCAGCCATTCCTGTGGGTTGGGTTCTAATATACATACAGTGTTCTGGGCCCAGAAAATCCTGTTGCACCTCATGGTTCTGAGTAAGTCTTGACAGCAAGAGCCAGAGCTCCCCACCCCCTAAAAAGAGTCAGTCTAAATATGCATCTATACATATATATTAGGAAGTGGAAATCTATGTCATGGACCTGTGCCCTGAGTCTAAATACTTAGCAATCTCCCTGATGTGGATACTGGGAGAAAGGATGGAAAATTCCAAGAATCCATCTTCCCTGTTTTTTTCACACCACCTTTACCTTTTACCTTGAAGGAAATTCATTTTGTTTTTCAAAGCACCAACTATTCCTAAGGTATGTGCAATCATTTAGAGGATTGGTTTTGTTGTGGTTATGTGAGGCAACTTTGCTTTCATGTTATTTCTCTTGGCTGCCAGGGCAAAGGACAGCAAAGAACGTTTTGGCTGAAAGGAAAGGTTGGATTCCATCTGCCCCTACCAGAGTTTGGCAGTGATGTAGAAAGCCGCCCAAAGGGAAATGCTGAGGTAGACATGTAGCTATTAGACCCGTCAAGCAATAACATACATTGGACAATATTAGATAACTCATATGTGATAAGTGCAGCGTTTGCATGGGGAAGAATTAGCGCTTGGGTGTAGGCTGAGCACACCCACCCCAAGGGGCATAAATGGGTGGTAGTTGAATTCCTTATTGGTAAAGCACTCCATTGCAGAATCTCCCAGGGTACACCGCTCCCGCTACATAGCTAGCTAGGCATTTCCTCCCCTAGCCTTGTGCCTTGAATGTTGGAGCAACAACATGACCATGTCTCTTCCTGAATGCAAATCCCCTCACTTGACAGGGCACGCGCAAGCAACCTGCAACTTTCCCTGAACCTGGTGCTCTAAGCCCCTCTTTGTCCTTGGAGACAGAGGAGGAGGGGATGGAAGAGACCCTAACGACCCAAGTCTTCTAAGGACTGTCTCTTCCTCCCAATCCTTCCTGCAACTCCTCCTGCACCTAGGACAGCCCCATCGCTTCCTCTTCTCTCAGCCCCAACTCCTGCCTTGCAGGTAGCACAGAACCCCACAAGTCGCTGGTCCCTTCTCTTAGATCCTCCTCCAGCTCCCTTGCCTCCTCCACATGCCTTTTGGAATCCTGCCAGCCACTGACATCTACCATTGGGGGAAATAGAGCCATACGAAAGACTGAAATTGCTTTGGTAATTTTTAATTGATTTAACAGCTGGGAATCTTCACAATTTATCCTGTCACAATAAGTCCTCTTCTTATCCTCATCTGCCAGTGGGTACGCAAGTATTCCATTGGTTCTGGCTTTGCCAGCCTGGTGCCCCCACACCTGATGATTTGGGCAACAACTCCCATTAGTCATGTTAACATGAGTGTTTTGGCTAGGGCCAATGAGAACTGTAGGCCCAAACTTTTGGAGTTTGCTAAATCTTCTTTAGTCTAACCATCCTTTAGCTTGGCTTTTCTGGGGCCTTATGCTCTGTGAGTTTAGCCTTAACTTTCATAGTTCCTCCTGCTCCTCCCCCCTCTCCTCCTCCCTGGTTCTGGAGATGAAAAAGGTGTGTGTGGGAGGGGGAATCAAATCCCTTAAGCTAGGTTAGCCAATATTGTGTCCCATCAGCTCCAGGCAGCATGTCAAGAACAGATTGTGTGTTTGTGTGTGTGCAGGGGGTGCAGAGCAGGGAGGAGAGAGGGAAAGGCCTGTTGAGTAAGCAGAAATGCTTGTGCCAATGGGACCCTAACTGAGCGCTGAACTGGATACAACCCATATTCTCAGTTTGTGCAAGTACTTAGTTGTGTCAGTTATAGCACTGTAGTATTTTAGAAACTATTTCCAAATAGTTCCTCAGGATACCTAGCCCAAGGCCCAAATACAAATTATATCTTAATAGTGGCTAAATAGGACTTATTTATGGTCATAGTCAACCATCAACAAGATCTTAATTCAGAGTAGTGTAGCGCAATGTCAGAGCTGTTACAATGACTAATGGGCTGCCTTCTGCACTTTCAAATGGAGTGTGGGAGCTGACAAATGCATTTCAGTCCTGGGGACAAGTGTTTGTAAGAATATTGTTTCTCTACAGTGATAGCCACAGTGAGAATAACAAATGGGATTAATGAACAAACTCTCAAACAGCCCCCCTTTCAATATTATTTATTAAATTAAAATTCCCATTAATTATTTCCACTATACAGGGCTGCCTTCAGATGGCTCAGGAGTTGGATGACTCCATATCCTCCAACACTTCTCAGAAGAAAATAAGGATGTCCTAAGGAAAAGCGGGACATTCCGGTATCAAATCATAAACTGAGACAGCGGGACTGTCCCTGGAAAACAGGGAGACTTGGAGGGTCTGAAAAGGTGTAGCTAGTTGGCTATTATGTTTCCCAAAGTTATCAGACACTTTGTTTTATGAACCTGGCCTAGATGTATAGCCTAGATCAACAACTTCGGGGTAAAATTGTAAAAAAAGCTCAGCAACTTCAATCCTAAGACAACTGAGTAAAAATTAGTTAAAACAGTTGAATCAAAGAGTTTCAGCATAACAGAGTTTAACTTTCCCCTATTCATTTTCTCCATATTCCATAAAAGTGTGTGTAGTGTGTATGTTCAAGGTAGAAAAATCAAGTTCTGAAGTGAGGATTAAAACATATAATTACTTCTTCTACTATGTCCTGAAATGTGCTTTTTCTCCCATGAACAATACTATCCAATAAAGACAGGCTGTGGTCTGACTATATCTGGGGTGCCTAATCTGTGGCCTTCCAGACATTACTGGACTCCAACTCCCATCAACCCCAATCAGTATGGCCAATGGTCAGGGATGATGGGAGCTATAGCTCAACAAGATCTGGGGTGTCACAAGTTACCCACCTTTCTACTTCATCAGCCTGCTGGGAGCCTGAGGGTTCCTGCCTCTCTCCACCTGGCCCAGGGCAAGGCCTGACAGGCTTCATAAGAACTGCTGCTGCTCAGCAAGGACTGGGGTATTTTGGGGGAAGTTTCGTTGGGAGTTTTTGCTGTTATTGATATTAATTTTTTGTATATTTATTTGTATGTGGAAATTGTTCAGTTTGGTTATGTAGTTTTTGATGTGTTTTATTTATTTTTATGACTACTTTGCTATGTTTGTAATGATGTAAATCTTTTCATATTGTAAGCCACCTTGAGCATTGTATTAACTGTGGAAAGGTGGCATACAAATTATGATGATGATGATGTTAGTCTAAGGGACATCTGTTACACAGGGAGAACAGGTGCTAAGGGAGCCTCTGATGCTATGTCACAACACAGACGTCAGCTGTAATTCAAATACTTTCTTGGGTTGTGGCTCTCACAGGCTGATAACTTTTAGCCTTCAAGGAAATACAGCCATAGCTTGGCATGCAACACCCACACATACCCATTTACTAAACATGATGCATTCTGCAGCTGCCCCCAAACTGTATGCAATACAGTGGTACCTCGGGTTAAGTACTTAATTTGTTCCAGAGGTCCGTTCTTAACCTGGAACTGTTCTTAACCTGAAGCACCACTTTAGCTAATGGGGCCTCCTGCTGCCGCGCCGCCGCTGCACGATTTCTGTTCTCATCCTGAAGCAAAGTTCTTAACCCGAGGTACTATTTCTGGGTTAGCGGAGTCTGTAACCTGAAGCGTATGTAACCCGAGGTACCACCCGCATTCATCATGTGGGTGGATGTTGCGCTTATTCACCTGCAGCAATCTTTGCTAGCCATTGTGAGTTCCTTGATTCTGAAAAATAGATATCCAGTTCCAGTACATGGAATCAGCACTGCTGCTCACTTAAGCAGCAAGCAACAGCACACACAGTCTTCCCGCTAACAGATGCTGAGACCTAATTCACGTGACTTTCATTCTAGCAAATTCTCCATCATTTATGCTCGATGTAACATATTCTTGTGCTAAGCCACCATATGGAAAACTGCATGCTAGAATTGCTATGGTATCAAAGAAGTAGGAACAGCTATGCTCTAGGGAAAAGAACTGCCCATTGACCAAATAGTGCTGTATTGTTTTTGAGTTTGGTGGAGGTACAATGCATGCCTGAGCTCCCTTCTAATTCCTGGATCCAGCACAGATTCAATTCCTGGAATAGCCAGGCTAGCTTCTCAGTGAGGTAATGGCCCTCTATGTATAGGCCATTAAGGTAACAAAGGAAGTGGCTCTGTGCCTGACGACAAATGGGTGGGAGCCCCTCAAGTTGCTGGTAGTTAGAAAGAGAAAGGCCAGAGATGAGAGTTGGTGTGTGAGGTAGAAGCTTGAAGCAAGGCTGCAGAGACAGAGCCATGCCTGACTATTTCTAGAATCCAAGCCTATGGCTATGGGCGAAACAAGACCTTCTTGGCCTTGACCCTCAAAGCATTTTTGAGCCCCTCCTAGGCTTAAGTTGTATTTATGTGCAAATAAACCATATATCATAAAGACACCACAGTCTCCACTGGCCTTTCTTCTGAAGGAAACCGAATTCTGGAACCCCTGGAATTCACACAACTCAGAGCCTGGGGTGGTGTGTAACAGTATTGTACTTTTTAAAAACATCACCACCATGAGAATGAAGCCAGCAGTCTTCTGCTAAGAGTACTCCCAGAATCCCAAGAATGATTTAGCTCCTTAATGTAGATAGCCAGGAAGTGAGGACTTCCTTGTCTTTCGACTAACACTTGGAAGCAAACAGCAGACGTCCTTCTAGCGCTCTCAGGCTTCGTTTGCGATACACTTATTTGAAAAATGTGCACACAGCTGGTAAAAATCACCATTGGTATTCTCAGCTGCCACAGAAACCAAATATAAGCCAGGTGAAATTTATTTGTCGTGTAAAACAAGGCAGCAGGTAAAACAAGCATCTCTTCGTAGCAGTAAAGGACCATGGGGTGATCAGCAGCAGCTGATGTTGGGTTGAGTATTATAAAAGAACTGCGCGAATTCCGAGAAAGAGGAGTAAATGGCAAAGGATAGCTGCAAAGAAGAGAGAAATAGGAAGAATGTGAGTAGTCTCGCTCAGTGAATTTCTGTTACATTGCCCTGTTTGAGATTTTATATAGCCACAGTTTTGACACCATTTAAAAAGGCCCAACCCATGATTTATCATTCCATCTTTCCACGGTGATTAAGTTATATGCTGAGTTCAGTTTTTATACAGAGCTTTGCGGTGGATGTATGCATTGTGGTGGAACTGTTCCAGATGAGGAACATCCTGGAATCCGCCTGGGTTGGCCATCTGCTATGATCAGGAATGTTTTAGTTAGGATGCAGGCTGTGCTGTGCAGTTGTATAGCCCATTCCCCACACAATGCCGGTAAGACCACAAGTGGAGCTGGATGCCCATTAATTTTGATGGGTTTGCTGTGTGTAAAACTCAGTTGAATACCACCCTGTATGTATTAAGCCAAAAAGTTAGTGATTCTGGGTGAATTTGGAACTTTTATTGCTTCATATTTTTCTTGCTGTCACCTTTTTTCACCTCAAGGGCCGCAGTCCCATGGGGGAGGGGAGGAGCACATTTCAGGGGCTTTGCGCCGGTGATGAGTGGAGCCAAAAGCCAAATGGATGTGATTCTTAGCATTGTCTAGCAGGCTACATTCCAGTCATGCAAAAATTAGACACCTCTCTCCATCCTCCAAACAGGCAAGCAAGAAAGAGGCATTATTCACACCCTCCAACATGTTGAGACTGAAAACTGGGGTGTGCATGTTCCCTGATATGCTTCTGTGTGAGTCTTGTGACTTGTGTGAGAGCGCGGAGGCAAAAAAAACCTGAGAACTTTGGGGTCCCGTGCTTTCACGTGAGGTCCCAATCTCACATTTTTTGGGACTCTGTGATCTTGTGAGAGAGCATGGCACCCAAAATGGGATGTCCCAATTTAATTGGGGCAGCTGAGAGGTATGCATTATTCAAGGACACATTCCAGTTAGGGGAAAACACTTGCAAAGGATGTGCAGCAGGGCCGGGGGGTTGTGGCTTCGGACAGTTTTAAGGGCCAGATAAGCCTGCCTAGTGGCTGCAGAGTAGTGGCCCGTGAAATATGTGGCTTGGTGAGGGGAAAGGGCCTCTGAAGAGTCCCAGTGATAAAATAAGGGGTCGGGGGGGGCTGCATTTGGCCCCCAGGCCTAAGGTCCCCCACCACTGTTGTAATTGATTGTTTTTATATTGTTGTTATTGTTTAGTCGTTTAGTCGTGTCCGACTCTTTGTGACCCCATGGACCAGAGCACACCAGGCACTCTTATCTTCCACTGCCTCCCGCAGTTTGGTCAGACTCATGTTTGTAGCTTCGAGAACGCTGTCTAACCATCTTGTCCTCTGTCGTCCCCTTCTTCTTGTGCCCTCAATCTTTCCCAACATCAGGGTCTTTTCCAGGGAGTCTTCTCTTCTCATGAGGTGGCCAAAGTATTGGAGTCTCAGCTTCACGATCTGTCCTTCCAGTGAGCACTCAGGGCTGATTTCCTTAAGAATGGATACGTTTGATCTTCTTGCAGTCCATGGGACTCTCAAGAGTCTCCTCCAGCACCACAGTTCAAAAGCATCAATTCTTCGGCGATCAGCCTTCTTTATGGTCCAGCTCTCACTTCCATACATCACTACTGGGAAAACCATGGCTTTTACTATACGGACCTTTGTTGGCAAGGTGATGTCTCTGCTTTTTAAGATGTTGTCTAGGTTTGCCATCGCCTTTCTCCCAAGGAGCAGGCATCTTTTAATTTCGTGACTGCTGTCACTATCTGCAGTGATCATGGAGCCCAATAAAGTAAAATCTCTCACTGTCTGCATTTCTTCCCCTTCTATTTGCCAGGAGGTGATGGGCCCAGTGGCCATGATCTTCGTTTTTTTGATGTTGAGCTTCAGACCATATTTTGCGCTCTCCTCTTTCACCCTCATTAAAAGGTTCTTTAATTCCTCCTCACTTTCTGCCATCAAGGTTGTGTCATCTGCATATCTGAGGTTGTTGATATTTCTTCCGGCAATCTTAATTCCGGCTTGGGATTCATCCAGCCCAGCCTTTCGCATGATGAATTCTGCATATAAGTTAAATAAGCAGGGAGACAATATACAGCCTTGCCGTACTCCTTTCCCAATTTTGAACCAATCAGTTGTTCCATATCCAGTTCTAACTGTAGGTTCTTGTCCCACATAGAGATTTCTCAGGAGACAGATGAGGTGATCAGGCACTCCCATTTCTTTAAGAACTTGCCACAGTTTGCTGTGGTCGACAGTCAAAGGCTTTTGCATAGTCAATGAAGCAGAAGTAGATGTCTTTCTGGAACTCTCTAGCTTTCTCCATAATCCAGCGCATGTTTGCAATTTGGTCTCTGGTTCCTCTGCCCCTTCGAAATCCAGCTTGCACTTCTGGGAGTTCTCGGTCCACATACTGCTTAAGCCTGCCTTGTAGAATTTTAAGCATAACCTTGCTAGTGTGTGAAATGAGTGCAATTGTGCGGTAGTTGGAGCATTCTTTGGCACTTCCCTTCTTTGGGATTGGGATGTAGACTGATCTTCTCCAATCCTCTGGCCACTGCTGAGTTTTCCAAATTTGCTGGCATATTGAGTGTAGCACTTTAACAGCATCATCTTTTAAAATTTTAAATAGTTCAGCTGGAATACCATCACTTCCACTGGCCTTGTTATTAGCAGTGCTTTCTAAGGCCCATTTGACTTCACTCTCCAGGATGTCTGGCTCAAGGTCAGCAACCACACTACCTGGGGTATACGAGACATCCATTTCTTTCTGGTATAGTTCCTCTGTGTATTCTTGCCACCTCTTCTTGATGTCTTCTGCTTCTGTTAGGTCCTTTCCACTTTTGTCTTTTATTATGGAAATCTTTGTACGAAATGTTCCTTTCATATCTCCAATTTTCTTGAACAGATCTCTGGTTTTTCCCATTCTATTGTTTCCTCTATTTCTTTGCATTGCTCGTTTAAGAAGGCCTTCTTGTCTCTCCTTGCTATTTTTTGGAAATCTGCATTCAATTTCCTGTATCTTTCACTATCTCCCTCGCATTTTGCTTGCCTTCTCTCTCCCGCTATTTGTAAGGCCTTGTTGGAGAGCCACTTTGCTTTCTTGCATTTCCTTTTCATTGGGATGGTTTTAGTTGCTGCCTCCTGTATAATGTTACGAGCCTCCATCCATAGTTCTTCAGGCACTCTGTCCACCAAATCTAAATCCTTAAACCTGTTCCTCACTTCCACTGTGTATTCATAAGGGATTTGACTTAGATTGTATCTTACCGGCCCAGTGGTTTTTCCTACTTTCTTCAGTTTAAGCTTGAATTTTGCTATAAGAAGCTGATGATCTGAGCCACAGTCAGCTCCAGGTCTTGTTTTTGCTGACTGTATAGAGCTTCTCCATCTTTGGCTGCATAGAATATAATCAATCTGATTTCGATGCTGCCCATCTGGTGATGTCCATGTGTAGAGTCGTCTCTTGTGTTGTTGGAAAAGAGTGTTTGTGATGACCAGCTTGTTCTCTTGGCAGAACTCTATTAGCCTTTGCCCTGCTTCATTTTGAACTCCAAGGCCAAACTTGCCAGTTGTTCCTTTTATCTCTTGACTCCCTACTTTAGCATTCCAATCCCCTATAATGAGAAGAACATCCTTCTTTGGTGTCAATTCTATAAGGTGTTGTAAGTCTTCATAGAATTGGTCAATTTCAGTTTCTTCAGCACCAGTGGTTGGTTCATAAACTTGGATTACTGTGATGTTAAAAGGTCTGCCTTGGATTCGTATCGAGATCATTCTATCATTTTTGAGATTGCATCCCAGTACAGCTTTTGACACTCTTTTGTTGACTATGAGGGCCACTCCATTTCTTTTACGGGATTCTTGCCCACAGTAGTAGATATGATGGTCATCCAAACTGAATTCGCCCATTCCCATCCATTTTAGTTCACTGATGCCCAGGATGTCAATATTTATTCTTGCCATCTCATTTTTGACCACATCCAACTTACCAAGGTTCATGGTTCTTACATTCCAGGTTCCTATGCAATATTTTTCTTCCAGGCATATTTTGCTTCCAGGCATATCTGCAACTGAGCGTCCTTTCGGCTTTGGCCCAGCCGCTTCATCAGCTCTGAATCTACTTGTACTTGTCCTCCGCTCTTCCTCAGTAGCATGTTGGACGCCTTCCGACCTGAGGGGCTCATCTTCCAGCGTCATAACTTTTATATGCCTGTTGTCTTTGTCCATGGAGTTTTCTTGGCAGGGATACTGGAGTGGCTTGCCAGTTCCTGCTCCAGGTGGATCACGTTTGGTCAAAACTCTCCACTATGACCTGTCCATCTTGGGTGGCCCTGCACGGCATAGCTCATAGTTTTTATATTAGCTTTTTCTAAATTTATGATGTTTACATTTGTGGTGTTTATAAGTTACCTTGATTTATCTTTTTATAATTTTATTTCTGAGTTTCAAAAGTTTAGAAATTGATACATACTTTCCCGATTCATATTCATTTCGCATTCTACTTCCCCACCAGCCCTCCATGGTGTCCCTCATAATTTCTGAAATTGATTTACATTGATTTCCTTGATTTATCATAAACAAGGACATGGCAGCAAATTCTGTCCAGGAAAGCAATTAATCTAAAACTATTATAGTTCTGACATCCTTCAACTATAATAAAGTTTATTAAATGGCATTTTCATTAATGCTGATAAATTTCCATTGACTAACATGTTAGATAGTTTAATATTTGTAATTTTTACCTGAAAAGTTGTAATTCCTGGTTAATCCTTTATCTGTGAGAAATAAGAAAAGTTAGAATGCTCACAGGAAATGACTTATAAGTAAAAAGATAAATCAATGCAATAATGTGATGAACATTACACTGCCACTAACTACATGCTAAAGTAATGATCCATTCAGCAAGGTGGAATAGCTTGATTTTATTACTTCCTTATGTCCTTTAAAACGTTTATATCTTGCATTATCCTTTAATCTACAGTGGTACCTCAGGTTAAGTACTTAATTCGTTCCGGAGGTCTGTTTTTAACCTGAAACTGTTCTTAACCTGAAGCACCATTTTAGCTAATGGGGCCTCCTGCTGCTGCCGGAGCACAATTTCTGTTCTCATCCTGAAGCAAAGTTCTTAACCCAAGGTACTACTTCTGGGTTGGTGGAGTCTGTAACCTGAAGTGTATGTAACCTGATGTGTATGTAACCCGAGGTACCAAGTTCAAGTTCAAGTTTATTGCGGCCAAAGCCAGTGACACTAAACATCCCAAGATCAGACAACAAGAAATCAGCAACAACTTCAGAAAAGAAAAAAGGTTACACAAGGGAACTTCGCAGTGTGCCATTCAACAGAAGAGATTTACGTTTCTTAATTACTAAAGTGCAAAATTTAGCCACCTCATATGATACTGAGCTTGAGGAATCTTCCAGGAGGTATTTTCGAAGAATTTCAGGGGAGGATTCCAAATAATATTGAAGGGGTATAAATTTTGATAGAAGCGGATGATGGCGGACAGCACTCTACTAATGTGAGCCCATTGATTTTATCTTTTTATTTTCTCTTACTCCTTTTAAAGACTATTTTAATGAATATTGAGCTCAGATAATTTTAAGCACCTCACCCCATTCCATCCCACGCTCCGCTTTCCTGACTCTTCTTGGAGCTTTAAAGCCGCATTGACTATCTTATCATACTGCGAAGAGCTTACAGGAAGATTCATGGGCTGTTCCCACCACAAGTCTGGAGGCACAGACGGAGCATAACTTAGTGTTATGCCAATAACCTTTGGCACACTCCTCCTCCTTGAATAGGATACTTTCAAGGAAAATACTCCCTCGACTCTTTGAAAAATTTAGGGAAGATAAAAGAGCGAGGCAAAGGGAGAGATGACTCAGCAATTAGACAGCCCTGCTGATGCGAGGAGGGGGGTTGGCAAACGCTGCAGAGAATCGGAGGACTCAGAGGAAATGGCATGTTTGCCCCTTACCAAGCAAACCAAAATCAGCGAATTCTTCCATGGAAAAACAAAGGACACTTTTAATATTCCGACCTCGAACAGTTTCTCGCCATTAGCAGAGATAATAGATAAGGAAATTACACCGAAGGAACCACCCACTAAACAACCCATTAACTCCTTAAACAACTCCACCACGAGACCTAAAGGCCCCAAAAAGCTCCAACTATGCCCATTCAGGCGGAAGACTGCATCGGAGAACAAGCAAACTATCTCTCTGAATTACTGCTTGAACACTCTACCACGTTAGACCTAGTGGCTAAAACCGTGGACTGTATCTTTAAATATATAAGAGACATCAAAGGCTCCTTAGAGAATATTACATCCTTTGTATCCCCAAAAGTGAATGTCAGCCCTGTAGACGTTTCACCGGAGGATAGGGCTGAACCAACGCCCAGAGTACCTGCCCTATTACGTTTAACCCCGCAGACTGGCTGCAAATCTGAAAATGAACAATCTATGGAAGATTCACACACCATATCTTCCTATAATCTTTCGTTACAAGCCACTAGACTTTGTTTAATTATCCTTCCCTTCAAAGGTCAGGTTGTTAACTGGTCGTCTACACATGTCGCAAGAAGGCATTTGGCTGAGCTTCTGGGCGTAGATCCTCTTTCCATCGATCTGAAATCCGCTGTCCACATTTACAGCAAGCCACACATGCAGAGGATACTGCTCACCTTTGATTCTAAAAAGCTTCCAACTTATATGATGTCCTTACGAAGCTACCTGACTAATTATAGAATTTTTATCACAAGAGTTTTTATCAACACTAAGATTTGCCCTCTTATTCCCTACTCTCCAGTTAAAAGGAAAGCAATTAAAAATGAGGGCATTCCATCTACTACGAGCTCTACCTCTCCACCCTCAGACTTAATTAGTTGGACAGAGACCCCCATGCCCCTCCTATCAAAGGCTACTCATCTTGAGAATTCGATGGAGCAGGAATTACTTGTCTCCTTCTCCCATCTGCCAAAAGCCGAACAAACAGAGATAACGGACAGACTAGATGAGTTATTACTCTATCTCCGCAACTTTGAAGATCTAGCGCCCATAAAAGAGGCAAATATTCCACCTAACTTGGAGCGAAAAATGGGTCATGAATCTCCTCAGGTCACGGCAGAACACACACCTCTACTCTGCCCATCTGAAATCCACGCCGAAATCTCTGTGGCGCCTAATCACATTACCGGAGACTCAACCATCCAATGGTTGCATCTTCCACGACCCCGGGAAAACCCTAGATGCTATTGAAGAGACAAAATGACTCTCACCCCTACTACTATCCTGGAACGTTGCTGGATGGCAATCGAAAACAAGGGACAAAGACGTTTTAACCTACGTATCACAGTTCAAGATCATCCTGCTCCAAGAAACCTGGATGCAAAATCCTTTCGAACTACACAATTACTTTGCTTTCCATTCCCCTGCCTCAATCGGCCCAAAAGGCGGAAGACCGGCGGGAGGTTTGAGCACCTTCGTATCGACAGATCTAGGAGCCTCCCCTATCCAATTGAAAATCGATAAAAAATGGATTTTGGCCGTTAAAATATTCTCCACCCATTTTAAGATCATATGCATCAATGTTTATATTCACCCACTTATGAAACAAACTGATCTTAAAAACATCTGGAACGAACTGGAAGACTGCATTCTCCTTGTCTCAAATAAGTTTCCCTCTGCCTCCTTAATTATTGGTGGGGATTTTAATGCAAGGCTAGGCCACTCAGACGAACAGTTAATCAAGGAAAGTGGAATGGGTCCCCTAAATGCTAATGATGAATATTGGCCCCTATTCAGGCGTCACTCACTTGACCCAGTCACCAATTTTGCTGGTACATGTCTTTTTTAATGGCACTTAGATTAAACCTTGTTATTTTAAACGGCCTCTCCTCGGGGGACTGCCCTGGCCAATTTACTTACTGGTCAGGCCTAAGGCATTCTGTTATTGACTACATCCTTGTCTCCCAAGAACTTTTCGATGAATATATTGAATTTACTGTAGATATAAGAACCGAAAGTGACCATTTACCCCTAAATCTTAAAAGGACTGAATTTTGGGAACCCTCTAGATGTGGGCTTGCCCCGCAGACTCCTGATCCTAGCGCTTTACAACAAATAGGTAGATCCAGAATTAAATGGTCCCCTTATGTTAATAACCATTTTGGTATTTGGACACAATCAATGGAAGGTCAACTCCTCTGGGCTGATCTGATCTCCAACGACACTGAAGAGACCTCCCCAATTGACCATTATAACACATTAATCCGAAAACTCCAACCGTTATTGTCAAGACCCAGAAGATCTAACCAAAATGACTCCCTACCAACAAAAATGGTTTGACCACGAATGCACTCAGGCAAAACTTATACTCAGGGAATGCTTTAAGGTCTTCCAGCAAAATCCTAACCCTATCACTAAATTGGAGTTACAACTTAAAAAAAGAACTACAAAGAGTTATTAAAAACCAAAAAAGAACCGCAGACTCTCTCATCTGGCAGGCCCTCATAAAAGCGTCAATAGAAAAAGACAATTCTAATTTCTGGAAAATTATCTCCAGTCAAACCAAAGCTCCTAATGAGGGCACAATAATCCCTGCAAATTCATGGGAAGAGCACTATAAAGTGATGTTTAGGGAACATCGTCCTTCTGCGCCGCTTAACATCCCCTTAGATAATGATACACCATGGCCCCCAACATCTGAAACTGAAATCGCTTCGCTAATTCTACAAATGAAATCTGGCAAAGCCCCAGGAAGTGATTTCATTGTCGCTGAACTTTTGAAAGCGCAAATAAACTGGTGGGCCCCGGTCCTTGCAAATCTATTTTCATATATAGACAAGACAACTGAAATCCCTAAAGATTGGGGACTAGCTATAATTGTTCCCATATTTAAAAAGGGCAACCCCTCTGATCCATCTAATTATAGACCAATTAGTCTCCTGAATGTGATCTGTAAACTTTATACAAAACATCTATGCCTAAAATTATGGGAATGGTTAGATCATAACAACTTGCTAGAAATTGAACAAGCAGGGTTTACATCCGGACGTTCCACCATTGATCACTGCTTAGTGTTAGATTACTTTGTCTATAAGTATGCGAAATATTGGAAAAAGTCATTATATGCGGCCTTTGTGGACCTAAAGGCAGCATTTGATTCTGTATCTAGGAGCAGGCTCTGGGCCAAATTGGCCAATATGGGTATTAACAGAAGGTTATTACTTCTGATGATTAAGCTTCATGAGAACAATACCCTCCAGATAAGATTTGCACAGGACGGCAGACTCTCTAGAGAGAGAACCCGAGGTACCACTGTATCGGTGTCTGAAAGTGGGCCCTCCATACAGGCCCCTTATCTGTGGACATGTTCTCCTATTTTTATGTTAAAATAATAAAGTGATCTGGAATAGGGTCTAAACTCAAGGCCATTTCAGCTCAACAAAACACTGGGCAATGCAAAACTATAAATAGAAAGTGTGCCCTGCAACATGTGTAGGTTCCCTCAAAACTTGGAGACTACAAAGTCTTGAGGCACACCAGGAGTTACGGAAATCTCAGAGTTAGCCTCCACCCTTACTGTTGCTGAAAGGACCACAACTCAAAGGTAAAGCATCTGTTTTGAATGCCGAAGGTCCCATGTCCAATCTCCAGCATCTCCAAGTAGAACTCAGAGACCTGCTGTCAGTTAGTGTAGACAGTTCTGAGTTAGATGGACCAGTGCTCTGACACAGGTATAAGGAGCTACTGTATCTATGTCGTTATATGTTCCGTGCACCTCATATGGCTGCTTTGGAACACCCTTCTTTGTAACTCTACTGACTCTACTCTAATGACTCTACTGAATTTCTTCTGGACTGATTAATGAGACAAAGAAAGCTACAAATCCCCAGTCATCATTGGCCACAATTTCTCGCTTAATCCCTGGTTGGTTTCTTGCATAATCCCTGGTTGGAAATAACATACCAGAACATGCCCGGAAGTATCGTTTCCAACTAAGGATAAAACCTGCAAGGTATCGCCTGTGTTTAGTAACACCTCTCCTCCTACTTTTGCGAGTTTAATACGGTGTCGGATTTAGGGTGGTTCAGGCAGCTCCCCCATACAGGGTGCTGAGCTGAGAGGGCCCAAAATTGAGAAGATCCATCATTGAGAAGATTCATTTGGAGGCACCAGATTTTGGCGTTGTTCAGGGTGCCATTCTACCAAAGATTACCAAAGTCGACCCCTGATTAATATATATTTGTTTTTGGCTTGGCAAGGGAGTAATGCTTAGTGGAAGGGGACAAACTTCATTTGGAGCAGGACTCCTAATTGTTCTGGGTCCAACCAGTGGCGTAGCAAAGTCAGATGGTACCCGGCGCGGAAAATGTCACACCCACACCCACACTGAAATCTAGTTGGACTCCCAAGAGACTGCAATCTACTCACAGTATAAAAAGACTGGCTGTGATCTACCCATTGTCATTGCCAGGAGTTGTTCAGCTTTTTTTAGGGAAGGATTGAGCAAAGTTGTCGAGCTTTTTCTAGGGGAGGGTTGGCCAAAGTTGTTGAGAATCTTTTGGGGAGGGTTGACCAAAGTTGTTAAGCTTTCTGTGGGGTTACAGGGCAGGGTTTGGGTCCTGAGTTGAGGGAGCTTCTGTCCTTCCCTCCAACCTTCACTTGTTTGCTCCTTCCCATCCTCTCCCTGCCTGCATGCCTGCCTCCTCCAGCAGCCCGGAAGCGCAGGGCTCTCAAAACAGCAAAGCGGTGCAGCTGTCCTCCTTCTCCCGACAGCTCGCCATAGGTGGGAGTCACGGGTGGGTGACGTGTAGAATGTCACCCCCCTCAGTGATGACACCCGGGGCGAGGCGGACTGCCCCCACCTTGCTCCGCTGCTGGGTCCAACTTAAAAAGCGTTGATATTTCATCCCCATATTTGAAGAATTTCCCTAGTAATAGATGTACCGTAATCAGAAATTAGGAGGATATTGGAAACCAGCCCACACCAGTTAATCTGAAACACCTGCATCAGAAATCAAACCCAGTAAGTGACTGCATTCCTACTGAAGAGGTTGATTAATTATCCTACCTTTTCATCAAAGGGCAGCATTAATCCTCCCCTTTGCAGGTAAAGCATAAACTGTTTTGCAATGTAGCACCCAAATTATAAATCAAAATATCCTTCTGCACTTACTGTTCACAGTGAGTTCGGCCATTAACACACCACCTGTTGGCTCCATTCGTTGTCTCCGATTTGTACATAACTTAAAAGGAACAAAGAAAACGATTTGCTTGATCAATATTTATTTCTAAAATATTTCATTTATATCCTGCCTTTCATCAAATCAATCCTGGGGCATGCAATCCTAATAAAATAGTCATTGAAATCACAACCTCAAACTCAGTTAAAATATAAATATAAAATATAAATTTATAAAAATAAAATAAAAAATAAAACCCACCATTACAAAATACAGCAGCAGACTACACTCAGATATGTTAGTCCCAAAGAATAAAAGGTAGACAATGTGTATGTCCATAGAACTGAACACATACTTAACAAAGGAACATTTTTTCTTCCTAATAAACCTTATCAGTGTGTTAGCATCTTTGTGGCTCTCTAGGCATAGAGGAACGATGATCCTGGGCTTATTTATTCAGAAGTAACAGAGCAATCCTAACTCCAGTGGGGTGGAGTGGAGCAGCATGGCCAGGGCTGCATCCAAAGTCCTGCTGCCCATATCAGCAAGGCTGGAAAGTACAGAGAGTTGCAAAACCCAGCTCTGTGCTATTGCTCCATGTTATGCAGCCTGAACTGTGCCCAATGCCTTCAAATGAAGACAGCAAGGGTGGCCTGGGGTCCAAGGGATCATGGGCCAGCTTATTTTCCACTCCCAAACCTATTTGCAGCTTTTTGTAGGCTATTGCCAATGGGAGTCCCACAGATGGTACTTCCACCTGCCTACACTTCCAGTAGATGGAACTGGGAGTTCCATGCCAGCATGATGTCGGTATCATACCGTGGGCTGAGGCCAGTAGAGCTGTTTTGGGCAGGACGGAGGAAGACCTCTCAACCAGCCTCTTGTTAGTGCAGCAGATCAGGGGGTTGGAATTGCGGTCCAAGCCCCATGGTGTTCCATAGAGCTCACTTCCAGGAAAATGTACAGAGGTTTTCAGCCTAAATCACAAGTTCTTGGAGACAGAAGCAAGAGTCACCACAGGGCTAAGGGTGGGATCTCCAGACCAGCAGTCTCATTTGCCTCATTTCATTTCAGTTTTGTCAAAAAAGATCAAGGGTAACTGGTCAAAACAGGGTTTAAACAAGCAGCACTGAGGGGGACATATTATTCAAGTTCAAGGTAAATAGTTCCTAAGAACAAAGCACTGCAGGGTACTTAATGGAACATCAGAGGATTTCTCCTTGCATGGTTTATTCAAATTCACTGTAATAAAAAAAAATAGCATCCAATTATATTTTCTGGCCTGAGATAAACTGGTGATTTCTGGGCAATGTGTGGTGTCTTCATTCAGTTTCCACTGTCATGTGATTTAACACTGAAGGCAGCCCTGTTTAGGGAAGTTTTTAATGTTTGATGTTTTATCACCCATCCACATGGGTGGGGTATAAATAATAAGTTGTTATTATTATTACATGTTTCATGCTCTAAATTCTCCCAAAGATGTGCTGCAACATGATACCTCCATCCATCACTTTTCCAGCAGGTTAGCCAGCTGCCAGATGGCAGCAATAGCAATCAGACAAGATTTGGATGTTCTGCTTTTGTTTCAATTTGACCCAAAACCAAGAATCAAAGAAAACTGTTGGCAGTTACAGAAGTTTCTTTCAGCTACCCAAAATCAAAAAGGTGTGTGCTGATTATCTGCTATTTAGCTACATGTATCCATGGGTATATGGAGGAATGAAGTTGCATATGCAGATATCATAATGGCCAAGTATCAGTGGTGCCCCCGCACAACACCAGTGTTTGCCACCTCCCGCCTTTTGCCTTCCACTCTACATCATAGTTGCAGTGCCCAGTGTTACTGAACTGGTCGTGCTCCCCTAAATCCACCTCTGAGAGGAGCCCTGGGTAGGTCTGGAATCTAGAAACAATTTATCCACAAACAAACATTGTCCCGTGTGTTGCTCTGGCTCCTCCTAGTGAGAAGAACCATAGTTTTCTAATTTCCATTTATTGCAGTTGTCTTCCTCTAAGGCAGGGATATAGAACTTATGGACGTCCAGATATTGCTAGACGGTAATTCCCATAATCCCTGAGTACTGGCAGTACTGGCTGGGGCCGACGGGAGCTGGATGACCGTAGGGTTGGATTCAACGAAACTGATGTGCTAGCAGGACAATGAATCCTCTCTTTGGGGAGAACCCCAGAAGAGCATTGCACTGGGCAAACAAAAATGCTTGTGCTATTAGAATGATCATAGTAGTGCAATGTTGAATTCCTCCCAAAGGTTCAAAACCCCTGCCCTAAGGAGACCGGGGAAGCATGGTGACGTCTACTCTATATTACCTTTCCAATAACACTGTGAAGTGGGCTAGGCTGAGAGACAGTGACTGTTTGGCCCAAGGACCTTTAAGGCAGAGCAGGGGTTGGAACCACGGGATTGTGCCAAAATTTGCAGTCTACCCAATCCAGCAAAGTCTTAAGTTGTTTCTTGTAACAAAATGAGAAATGTATTCTTTTTCTTTTTCAAAAGGTTCAATCAAAATTCCTTGGGAATGCGCAGGTTTTTTTTTGTTTTTGTTTTTGCCGGCTAGACTCCATTCTTAATTGCTACAAACAAAAAACTTACCACAGGGCACGATAACTTCTCACTGTCACATACATGCGTCTCACAGTGCAGCCACACCTTGGAGAGTTTGGGAATATTCCGGAAACGAAATGCATTAAACTGGAAGGTCGCGCGGCTGTCTTTCCCATTTTCATGCACTATGATGGTGTCATCTGTGGGGCACCTGAGCCACATGATAACAGGCACTCTTAGAAGGAGAAGAACAATAAGGCACTCCTTTTCTTCTCTTATCTCTAATACTATCACTGAATTTATTGCGGTTAATGCAAGAACATAGCATGGTTTCTGTGACAAACTGAGCACCTCTGAATGTTAGATTCAGTTGTGTAAAAAGAAGCTGTGATTGGACAAAAATGAGAGAGTGAAATGTCTGTCCTAATTATTTCTGGTTGACTGAAAACAGTAGTAATGTTGCAGAGAACAGGGTAGCCAAAATAGTGTCCTTGTCCTATAAATGTTGTTGGTCTGCAACTCCCATCATCTTTGACCAGTGTCTGTGTCGGCTGGAGCTGATGGAAATGGTAGTCCAACATCTGGAGAGCATCAACTTGGCCACCACTTGGTGTAAAAAAATCACCACTACATGAAGTGAAACCTTGGATCAAAACCCCTAATGATTTGCTCAAACCACATCATATACTGATCTCACAGGCAAACACTATATCACATGTACGATTATCTATATATTACATGCCCTTCACCCTAAGGTCCAAGCGTGGGTTACAACATTAAAGCACAATATTATTATTATTTTTAAAACAACCTACAATGATAACAATAAGGTGGGTCCTAAAAACATGCATCTCAAATGTCAAAAGTCAGAGGTATGTCTTCAGCATTCTCCAGAAACTGGATAATAAAGCTGCCGGCTGTGCCTCTGTGAGGAAGAAGTTCCACAACTTAGGGGCCACCACAGACAATGCCCTCTCCCGGGCTGCCATCCCCCAACCCTTTGAGGACAGAGAAACTACCAAGAGAACTTCCGATCTCAGCACCCAAGAGTGAAGGAGGTGGTCTTTCATATATTTGGGGCCTGAGTTGTATAATATTACTAGAAAAGTACTTCATTTGACATTAAAGGTAAAGGGACCCCTGACCATTAGGTCCAGTCATGACCGACTCTGGGGTTGCGGCGCTCATCTCGCTTTATTGGCCGAGGGTTATGCCTAGCCTAAATTTTATTCTATTAACTTCAGGATGGCATTGGTTCATTGGTTTCTTAAGATATGCTTACCCACAACAGTTCCATTTCATGTGAGTAATGTTTATGTTGACCTTCTCACAAATTTACCTACCCCTTAGTTATCAGAGGCCACTGGACTGGAAAGAAATATTCTGATGAGGGGGTTGCCCAACAGTTAGTCAGAACTACTTTAAATCTGAGGAGACAAAGAGATGTGAGTACCAGACGAGTGAAAATTTCAATGAAAATTTCACATTGGTGTTGATTGACGAAAAGTTGCACCTGCTACTTAAGCCCTTTGCTTCTACGCCAGCAAATATGTCTGAACCAATTTCTGAAGTTTCAACTACGAAGGGGGCTTCCTTCTTGACTGTAAACTTGGCATTCTGAGAGGGAAAATGGAGGAATGGGTTAGTAATGCAAAGGAGGAACAGCAAAAGCTTAACAATTAGATATAATGTCAGCAAAGATACTCTGTCACCAGCAGTTTCCCCTTATGCCATTTTTGTATCTGTGTTTCGTTTGTTTTTCTTAACATTCTTATGATGTTTGCCCTAAATTGGCTCAACAACAGGATGCCTTGAAGTCGAGTGTGTAATGCTTCAATGAAAGCTCAAGAAATGTGGCTTAGAAGGAACTATTCCATGCAAATCACTGAACAGCCACATATAAAGGACAGCAACCAGCTGATCAGAATCAGAGGGGGGGGGGAACCATTTATTGGCAACATCCAACTACCAGTTTGCCATAGCCAGCCATGCAGTGCTGAATGAGGAAAGCCACACATTTCTCTGGTGAGCAAGGCACAAGATTAATTGTCCATGAAGCATCAAATCACACAATGTCTTCTCAAATTCCAATGCTAAAACTGCTGGGTGAAATGACTCAAGTACAAAATTGATTCAGGGATATATATCACATAACACACACCCAACCTGGCTGGTGCATGCTATGCAAGACATTTGTGATGTGGAAAATTGTCAGAAAGAAAGATAGCGAAATGACTTTGCAACTGAATCCACCCTCCCCCAGGCTTTCTCTCATGATGATTACATTGAATTAGGAATAGAAGCTGCTGCCTTAGACCAAGTTGGACCATTAAGCTCAGTATTGTGGACGGTTTGCAGGCAAAGTATGTGTTCTGACCCTGAGCTACGTTAGTTATTTCAGTGCTCAAAAAGGCTCAATCGGTCAGTGTCAAACCACTTGTTGGATTCCAGCCTATTCTTAATAGTATAACAGAAGAGCAGTAAGAACTCGGGCACAACAAATTTTATTCTGAAAAAAGAAGTTGATAAATAACCAAGACACACAAGCTGGTGAAATATACATAAATACATAAGAAAACAAAGTAAACCTGGCAATTCAGGCTAATGGCCCATCTAGTCCAGCATCCTATACTCACAGTGGCCAGGCACATGCCTGCAGGAAACCCACAACTACAACAGCATTCTGCTCTCCTGTTTACCACAATTCATCCCCAAGCCACAGCTAGTTAAGTAACTGTTACAGACAATTTTCCAACAGTCTTTTATTCTAGGTGTGCTGAAACAAGGAATATAAACACCAACACAGTGCAGTTTCAGTGACATTCTATTACTTTAGGGTCATGGGAAAACGTCAGTCACCTGACCCCATGGAGAGAATCTCTGCTAGAGTATCTTGAGGTCTGGCCTCTTCAGTTATTCATGGCAAAATCTGGGCCACCCTCTGTCTGAAATTTGACAGAAAGAGATTTGGGGTTGATTTCTATTCAAGCACTGAGTGTGCTCACACATACTGTACCAAAATACTGAAAGGGGGTTAGAACTTTCAGTTAAAAGCCTTATAACCTGGAACAAACATGAGAAACCAAACACAAAGCGGAATAAAGATCCCAAGAGAACAATAAGCATCTTCTCGATTCAGAGGATAGCTAGGCAAATTTCAGGGGGAATGAAAGGAACTTCTATGCGTAGCGAGACCTAAAAGACAAGATAGTCATTGCCCTTTGTTTGTGGCTTTCGGGAGGGTTTAATGGCGTCAGTTACAGCACTAGTGCAGAATGCTGTGAGTACAGTGCTTGGACCGCAGTTTGGAACTGCAAATATATAAAGATGATGTAGAAAGCAGTCTGCATAGTACATTGTTACATGATCAGTTCAGTAAACAATCAGATCCTAAGGGCATGTTTGGTGTAATGTAGGGAAGAATCTCAATGCTGGGTTCATTTGCTACAAAATTTGAATTAACATAATTCAAGTCCATAGAATAATTGAGTGGTACCAGACCAGCCTATAATACAGCAGATGTTTACATAAGTAATGAATTGTTCTGCTGCAAGACATATGCTCACCATGCCAGCCAAGGGGCCCATAAATTAAAAATCTTAAAACCTACATGGTTACAGTCAAATTGTGGCTCTGGCATCTGGTGCAAAAACTAAGTGAGTTGATACATGCATGCCTATTATCACCCAGTGACTACAGCATCAAGCGATGATTTATATAAGTGAAACTTCTTGTCACACAATGAATAGTACAGAGTCCACACCACACTACCAAAAACACAGTGCGGAGCTGCCATTCTGTGAATGGGAGAAATTCTTCCATTTGCAGAATGAGTTTGGATCTAGGTGAAGCTCCAGTGACTGGAAGTGGAGAAGAGGTGAGTTTCACCATTTCTCCCTACATCCCCCAGGCCATCTCTTACGCATTCTAAAGGGACTCCAAACTGCCAAGGCCTGAAATCATGCCATTCCACAAGCAGAACTCCATTGAATTCTTGGTTTAACCCAAATATTTTTGAATGCAAGCTGTTTATAATATTGAATAAGAAATGCTTAAGTGATGACTGCACATGCACATATCTTATTATACAGACTAATAGGAAACCCTTATGCATACTAATAGCAAAATACATTTTTTGAATGCCACATAGCTGAAACAGCATTAACCACACACCAGTAAGAAGGTATCCACAGGCTTGGAGGAAGCACAAGAAATAATAATAATGGTTTAGGGGGAAACTAAGGAATGGGAAGTCCAGTGAGGATGAGCATGCTTAAGGCCATGGAATGCTGGAGAGGGTAAAAAAAAGGGGGGATGTGGGAGGAAGGGGAATGGAATGGAAGAATGCATGACTGGATTGATGGCAAAATCTTGCTGCAATCTCACTTGTTTGAAACCTAAAAACCACTGTTACGGCTTGCTAGTTTGTGTAGCCTATGGTACCCCCAAAGAGTAACTGAATGTCTACAATCAACTTTTTCATTTACATTTGGTAAAATGGAGGCAGTTTCCTATGCATTTGCATATTTTTGGCCTCTTCACTTCACCATTGCACCATCGAAAAATTTACAGTGGAAATCAGCAGACAGACACAGAGGGTACTTACAGTATAGAAGTTGAGGGACAGCTGGCTTTCAAATGAACCGGAGCTGCCATTCTTCACATGAATAGTTGCCACTCTAAAAGAGGCAGGAAATGTCACATGACTGAATCATACACTGTTGAATGCAGAGTGAGGCATATGCTAGAAGATGAAGGCCAATTGAATCGAGGCAGAGTTACCTTTGGTCAAAGGCAGCGTGGTTCACCAGATAGTTTGCATGGTATGTGCATGTAAATGAGTAGTTTACAGGCTGACTCTTCACAATCACAGAGGTGTCATTGGAGACGATGGAGTTATAGAAATGATAGATGGGGCTTTTGAACTGCAACCATGAAAAGATCAAGAGGTAAACAGTGACACTGCATATGCCATTTTTGTTTTACACGGTCACGTCAAGAGTTCACTTCTACATTATCTCAAATTTCTGAAAGAGTAAACACACATGAGAGAACATGCAGGAAGCACACTGTGACTGATCTGGTGAAATAGACTTTTGCCAGCAAAAAGTCATGGCCTATAAATAAGTTGGTTATTAAAGTCTGTGGGTTGTTGTTGTTTTGCTCCAAACTTCATATTTTTAGATTAGATTACAGAGGGACTCTGTATGTAGTTATTAGATGGATTAGACATAAACATACACCCAAATCTCCATTCAGATCTTCCCCACATGTACAAGGGAATGTGTGAAGTAGGAGCTGATCTGCAGTGTTAGCCCTAGGTATACGCCTATTTAGTACAGGGTCTGCATAGGGATGTGTGGCATGGCACCCATGATTGCACATGTGCCGCAAGTGTGAAAATCTCCCTAGTGCACAGAGCTGTACAGATGTCATTTTAAATGCCTGTACATTAAATGGATAGGGCCAGCAGTGTGTGTTCCATCAGGGTGAAGCTATCAGGGATCAAATATAAATTTTAACAATGGATCTATATAAAACAATGTTGAAAAGGTATGAGATATTGTGAATCTATTGTTTTTCAAATTATAAATAAAAAAAGTTGTAAAACTGGTGAAAGTCTCAGGAAAGGCATGAACAGCTTCAGACATTTATTGGACACAGTCACCATCCAACTTGGGGAAGCATTTATACTTTGGCTACTTACATCAGATTGAGTTCCACAGTATGACTTATTTTTGGGTGACAAATCTGGGATTGTAAACTGGTAATACCCAGACTCATGGACCCCGTTGTAGCAAATTCCTCCAAGAGCCAGTTGATTAACTTCCCACCCATAAGGACATTCCGGGATTCTTGCGATTATGGTTTTAGGATAACAGTACACCAAAATGGCATCTAGAAGTAAAAAAAAGGAGCGAGAGGAATGCACTACTAGAGCATGGTTAAGTGATTACAAAATGCGCCTCTATCATTATTTTGCAAATGCCAGTGAAAACACAAGTTCGAAGGCTTAGCTCTGGTAAGCCTGGACTCAAATCAAGTGTTCAGCTCGGCAACTAGTTGTTTCTCCAGACGTTCAAACGACATTTAAAAAATGCACGTGGTAGGAGGCAGCAGCCTGCAACCCCAATGTACACATTAGGATGCCTGCAGGCTATGTCCATGCCACATCATGTTCAGATGGGTGAATCTGTCACTTTCGGTTTCTCTCGGTTTCTCATTTCCCGTCTTCAATTTTCCACATTTACACATCAGTTTGCAATTAAAGCAGTGCTTTTTTCTTCTTCTACAAAGATGTTTAGGGGTACTGCCATTTCCCCACTCATATTGAAATACTGCCCCTCCATGAGGCCAAACTTAGATTCACAACATGTTTAGGGGTATGCGTCCCCCAGCTTCCCCCAAGAAAAAAAGCACTGAATTAAAGAGAGAGAGAATAATCAGCTGCTAACATTTCAGTTTAATTACAGGTACCCTGAACAGGGGCTAGGGGCAGTGATTCAGATAAGTTCTTTCCTTTATCTAGACAAAGGTACTATTGCAGGTGCTATTATGTGTGTGTGACACACTCCAAAGAAGCCGGCAGAGATATTGGACTCTTTCAGCTCTTTCCCCGCAATCTCCAAATTACACTTCCAAAGCAAGAACAGGGATACTGTCTCACATTAATCCACCATTTATGAAAGCAACAGGCCCTTAATTTGTGTTCCAGTACTGAATTTCAGTGATGAGGTGTCCAGTGCTGATGGAAAAGCCAAAGGATACATGGTCCAAACAATCTAATCACAATCTCCTGAGATCTCACAGAGCACACAGCACATTCTCGTCTTGCCTCAAGCGGTGAAACAAGGCTTGCTGCCTCTGTGTTGTACCACCTGTTGCATGGCAATTTTTCACTAGGATCCTTGTGCTGGATTTCATACTGCACGACCAATATTACGCTAGTGCAACAGTCCTTGCACTGGCAGTCAGAGAACATTCAATCCAAGCCCATATATACATTGTCACAAACAGGTTGTAATGAATATCTGTGGATCTCTTGATAAATAAAACTAAGCAGTTGGAAGCGTATTTAATTGCAAGAGGTTAACATCGCTGGAATAGTATGCAGCTATTTTACCTGCTTTGTTTGGACTGCAACGTGCCACAATGCCTCGAGCCAAGATGACCCACAGGAGAAAAGCCACCATCATCATCTTTCCAAAGATATGTAAATACTAAGAAAACCAGGACTTGATTTTCCAAAATGCTGCTGGATGCTGAGAAGGATTCACATGTATCAAACTTCTTTGAATTGCCTATGAATTAGCAGAAGTGAGAAATGTAAACTCTTCTATTCAAAATGAGTTAAGTGCAATTCCCAACAGAAACTATTAAAATCTACTGGATTTTGAATTTTTCCCTTCCATGTTCTTACAGTACAACCTTATCCCAATCAACTCAATAGATACAGTAGATCGTACTGAGACCAATGAGTTTGAGGCTACTGGATTGCAACCTTCTAAGAAGAGATCTGTGTCATAAGAAATTAATTACTAATGCCTTCTTTCATTTTATTTTTTTAAACAAATGTGTTTGGTTTTTTTAAAAAAAGAGGTAAAATGGGATTTGGAGGAGAAATACTAAATCTGACAGTGAATGGGATTGGAGAGAAAGCAAACACTGGATAAAAGAAAAGATCTCATTAGAAGGCAAGAGAAAAGTCAAAGTAACAAAAATATTTTACACATTCATTGATTTGGCAGTTGTAATTTCTATTGTTAACTGGAAGATTTTGTATCCAAACATTCTTTCACATGAGTGTAATTACTGCTATTCTACCTCACAAATTATAATTATAATCTAAAACAATGTATTCTGAAGCTTAATATTTCTGTGAACCTATACGTGTTATAAAATCACCCATAATACATTACTCATAATGCTATTTATTTCAAATTAAAAAAAAAATAGGTCACTGATATTACACATATCATACTCTGGACACTGAAAGCCATTTTAGCACTACTATTTTATATTTTAACATTGTAACCCATCTAGGCATCTATCTGATGTTTTCAATCTATCTCATAATTTATTTCAAAATATATTACACAATATTTTCAAAAACACATTTTAGTATTAGTATTAGTACTAGTATTACTTTTCTGTTTCAATCTCCTAATTATGTCCAGGAAAATGTTTAGAGCATCATACGTACAGCATTGGAACAAGGTTGTAGATCAAGCTGTTCATTATCTCTGTTTAAAATGAAAGAGGGTATATTTGCTTTTCCCAAGGTGTTCTTTCAAACAGCACCAGCTGGCATTATCTTTGCTTTATATAGGCCATCTTGTAAAAGGAGCCCCTGCGTATTCAGCCTTGATTAGCCCTTGTGGGGAAACAGGGTTGGATGGATAACAGGTTAGATCACTCACTTTTCCAATACAAGCAGTCCAAGTTTTTCAGTATTCAGTATTTTACTGTCAAGTTGTGTCATATACAGGACTCTTTACCAAAAGTATGATTCATTTTTAGATGACTAAAGAGAAATCTGATTATTGCAACTGACATGGTTTTACAAAAATGTGCATATTTTTTCATGCAGTGTTTAAAGAAAATTGCAACTAGCACAGATCTAGTTTTATCAACTGAGCTATTAAAATGTGCGTTTTATATTATAAGCACCGGGTTGGTCCAGACCTATAAAGGACTTTAAAACAATCTGAAACTCTTCTGTAGTTATGTCCAACTAAGTCTTCAGAGTAAACCCACAGAAATCAAATTAAGTCAATTGGTTTAAATGGGTCTACTCTGAGTATCTTAGTTGGCTATCGCCCCTAATGTTTGTGGTAAGTCTAAGTATTTTTCTTTTTAAAGAGATGGCTAAAATCTCACCAAGGATCTTGACAGAGCAGTTTTTAAATCAAAATTCACCACTTTCTTTGAGATAATAAACTACTTTGATTTTATAATTGTCAAAGGAAATAAAATTCCCAAAGTTTCATTACAAGTAAGTAGTTTTTAAGTACACAATCCCCTCTTAGGCAAAAGGCACTAATCAGAGCAATTTCTGCTACACTGAAGAGTTGTCTGTAGATGTTTTTATTTGCATAAGAAACAAGAACTGCACAAAACTTACTTAGGTGAAACAACATTTGATATCTGCACTGATAAAAGGTGAGGGCTCGGGGGAGGTTTGTATTTCTCTGAGTAGTTGCAAATAAAAAAAAAGAGCATTCACTAAATAGCAAATTATACTGTGGATGCTAATTACCCGCCCCAAGAGCCCCCTTTAGATTAAGCAGATGGCAAAAACCTTAACTATCTGAATATCTCTAGAATGATCTACAAAAAGCGAATAAATGGCTTCTTGTGATCTTCGCTTCAAAATGCTGTTTAAGAAATAGCTTTTCAATTTCTCCTTGTTGTCTCGGCTGTTACTTAGAATGTTTGCTGTTCACCTGTTGTAAGGTGGAGACCTGTTCATGCAAAAAGTGGCACTTTGCGAGATAATATAATCAGTGTTTTACAGCAAGAAAACAGCTCTTCTTACAGAAAACACACTCGTGTTGGAACAATCTAGCAACAAAATAGCTTACAGTGTTCTTCTAATGACTTTACACTATGTTTTTCTAGTTGTTTTGAAGCTCTGTTTATATTGTGCAGAAACCAAGACAGGGTTGCAGATTGCTGAAGCAGTTAAATGGGCAGTGGGCTGCAATGTGGGTCTACCTATAATACTGTAGTCCCCATATGAACTGCAGTGTGCGCATTGTTTCAAGCAGTTTCCACTAGGTGGCCCCATCATTGCTTAGCCGTTTGTTTATTAATATGCATGGCTCTTTGCAGAGCAGAAGAGGACAGCTTATGTCACAGTGGTGTCCAAACTTTTTTCAAAGAGGGCCAGATTTGATGAAGTGAAGGGCCCTGAGGGCCGACCAAAGGAACAACCAAAGTTGTTGAGCTTTCCTTAAGACTGAAGTTGTTGAGTTTTTTAGGATTTAAGTTGTTGAGGGTTTTTTTTAGGATTTTACCCCAGGAAATAAACTGCCACAGGGACCGGATTAAACCAGCCAACGGGCCAGATTAGGCCCTTGAAACAAACTTTGGACATGCCTGGTTTATGATTACCACTTTGCTCATGTCATGAATTTTGTGCCCAATCTGCTCACCATTTCCCTGTCTGCTACCCATTCTGAATTTTATAATTTCATTCACGGAATGGCAATCAGGTGAAAAAGGTTTTCTGATGTGGGTCAACAAATGAGTCTTTCCCACTTATCCCAGATGTACACGAAGGCTGGTTCTGGTTACTCACAGGTGAGGAGGAAATGCACTTTGTACTTTGCACATGCTCAGTGTCTCTTTCATCTTATATTTATTTCTTATCATATCTCAGGGAAGAGATCTGATCTTCCAGGGTGATGCCATATTCCAATTTTGTCCTGGCAATGCAGTTATTGTTATTGTCCCCCCCCCACCAAATCTACACAAACCAAGTGGCTGGCTCTTTGTATTTTCAGTTATGCTCTGTACTGTGGTCTTGTATTCTCATTCCCATAGAACATGGCACAGCATTTCTTTACTTAAAAGCCATGGAACAGGGACAATTTGGCTGGCTTTGAGTTGCCAGAATAAAGAGAGGCTGTTATGAAGCTGCTGCCATTGCCATATCTGTGGCAGCCTTCCAGTGCTACTGGGACCATGTCCAGCAACGAAATACACCAAGAACAATGGCTTTGATACGAGGGCTGACTGCCAATCTTAGGCAATCTGACAGACTAATGAATGGCACAAAGGACCCATTTTCCCTTCTTTTCTCCTTTACTAAAAAAAGGAGGGGAAAATCTTTTACACTGGTGGAAGAAAGAGAAAAATGCAGAGAAAGTATAGCAGGAATCAAACCGCTCATAAGTGTCTGAGCATTAAGATGGAGCTAGCTGGTGGCAATGTTTGGTATACCTGACAAATACCACTTCATGATACAGATATATTCCATATCTTGAGCCTGGTGTATCCTGTTTGTTGTTGTTGTTTAGTCGTTTAGTCGTGTCCGACTCTTCGTGACCCCATGGACCAGAGCACACCAGGCACTTCTGTCTTCCACTGCCTCCCGCAGTTTGGTCAAACGCATATTGGTAGCTTCAAGAATACTGTCCAACCATCTCGTCCTCTGTCGTCCCCTTCTCCTTGTGCCCTCCATCTTTCCCAACATCAGGGTCTTTTCCAGGGAGTCTTCTCTTCTCATGAGGTGGCCAAAGTACTGGAGCCCCAGCTTCACGATCTGTCCTTCCAGTGAGCACTCAGGGCTGATTTCCTTCAGAATGGATAGGTTTGATCTTCTTGCAGTCTATGGGACTCTCAAGAGTCTCTTCCAGCACCATAATTCAAAAGCATCAATTCTTTGGCGATCAGCCTTCTTTATGGTCCAGCTCTCACTTCCATACATCACTACTGGGAAAACCAGAGCTTTAACTGTATGGAACTTTGTCGGCAAGGTGATGTCTCTGCTTTTTAAGATGCTGTCTAGGTTTGTCATCACCTTTCTCCCAAGAAGCAGGTGTCTTTTAATTTCGTGACTGCTGTCACCATCTGCAGTGATCATGGAGCCCAAGAAAGTAAAATCTCTCACTGTCTCACTGCCTCTGTTAAGTTGTGGGTGAACATATCAGACGACACAGTGATTCTTCAAACAGCTCTTCTTTATTCAGATGCCAGAACAGAACTAACTGAGGAGCTCAGTCAGCCTGCTTATATAGAGCTCCAGAACAATTGTAACTGTTGTGACTTTCTAAAACTATCCAATCACAGAACGTCACTTTCGATCCTTCATTTGCATAACTATCTACAGTATCCCCCTGCTGGCCCAGGGTGAGAACATCAGTACATAACAGCCTCCATTTCTTCCCCTTCTATTTGCCAGGAGGTGATGGGACCAGTGGCCATGATCCAATTTTTTTTGATGTCGAGCTTCAGGCCCTCATTAAAAGGTTCTTTAATTCCTCCTCACTTTCTGCCATCAAGGTCATCCTGTTTAGGGCAGAACTATTTCAAGATGGTCACTTGCCCACTAATAATAATAATAATAATAATAATATTTTTTTATTTATACCCTGCCCATCTGGCTGGGTTTCCCCAGCCACTCTGGGTGGCTTCCAACAAAAGATTAACAATACATTAAAACACCAGTCATAAAAAACTTCCCTAAACAGGGCTGCCTTCAGATGTCTTCTAAACGTCATAGTTGTTTATTTCCTTGACATCTGGTGGGAGGGCGTTCCACGGGGCAGGTGCCACTACAGAGAAGGCCCTCTGCCTGGTTCCCTGTAGCGTCACTTCTTGCAGTGAGGGAACCGCCAGAAGGCCCTTGGTGCTGGACCTCAGGGTCCGGGCAGAATGATGGGGGTGGAGACACTCCTTCTGGTATACTGGGCCGAGGCCGTTTAGGGCTTTAAGACTGGTGTTTTGTGGTCTCGGCGGCCGCACCCAGTCACCAGTCTAGCTGCCGCTAATACCCAGAAAGTCTTTGAATATACTGGGTAGCCCATGCTGGGAGTGCCATTCTGGGAACAAGTCATTTCTGATATATGGGATGATCAAGCGTATGTCAAGGGAACTGGAACAACCTTAAAAAACAAAACAAAACAAACCCTAATCCATAATAGGAAAAGAAATGTTACCCCCCCTCTGTGAGAATGGACTCTAAACAGGCAAATCGGGATTATCTCAACATAATCGAAAGAGATTTTTCAGCTTTCCCAGGTCCCCTGGCTGCTCCTGTTACAATATAACTTTTATTAGAAACTTATAAGATCAAAACATGTTAGGCTGTGCTCCTAAACACACACACTCAACAGTACTTAAATCTTAAGTAACTTAGTGTTTAGAATTGGGTGGTACAACAACCAATGTAGCTGTATATGCTTTGGACTCAGGAATAGATTAGAGGTAAGATTTATTAAGGAATCAGAACAGGACACAATACTATGTGCAAGGCAGGTCTCCTCCTCCTCCCCACCCGACAGCCCAAGATTGATTAGCCTTTCCTGGAAAAGCAGGTTGTGCCAGCAAAATGGGCACAAATCCCAAGGAAGTTACTCTTTCACAAGGGCAACCTAGCTGTCTTCATAAGGTCCTTCTGCTCAACACTGGGAGGCAGCAGCAGCTCAGGAGCTCTCTGAGGGAGAAGCAGTAAGAAGAACAAAGAGCTTAAGTTCATTAGAAGTCTGTAGCTTGTGGCTTCCCCTTTTCCATACTCTTCTTGGAGGTCAACAGTAATCTTTCAGGCAGGATTGAATCCCAGCCTGTAACCCCCCTGGACTAAGGGGTATAGCTGAGCTGTTGACGTAGGTACAGAACTGATGTAATGTAACAGCCCTCTCTTTCACTTAACTAACTCTAGAAGGTGGGAGAAGACTTGGCATGGCTTTTAGCAAAGCAAAGAAAACAATCACATTTCTAGTTTGTTCTATGTCCAGGTAATAATCTACATATATGTGTGTTTTGGTTCCCCCCCCCCTTCTTGCTTTGAGATCTGTGGGATAGTGAGCAGCCTATACCTAGAGTAAAACAAATAAAACTCCAATTGCAGGTTTTTAAATAAAATAAAATGAACTTGAGGACTGGCAGAAGAATGATGGGGTTTGTGTGAAACTGTACTGAGAACACCACCAGCAGCAAGTGAACCACATGGGGGTGTGGGGATTAGGTTGCCCTCTTCCCATCTCTATGGTGTATCTGCTGTACTTTTCCACACTGCTAGAGTGATGCCCCGGCCCTTAAGGGGTGGAAAATACAGGTTGAAGAGCACTGGGAGTCTTCAAGTAACTTCCCAAAATTCCAAATATCAAGTGGATTTGTTCATGCTTACAAAGTGGAATTCAGAATAAAGAAGAATCCAGCAGAAGTTATAATGCTTCCCCTCAGTCGTTTTAAATATCATAGTTATTCAGTGCTTTGGTAATGACATTTCCTCTGCCTCCACAAACTTCCATCTTCTGTTAGTTTTCCTATGAAATATGAACATCAACCTTCACACTCGTTTCAAGAATGGCTACAGATAAGAGAAAAAAGGTGTCTAGTTTTCCCAAGTCACAAAATTCTACTGAATATTTCTCTCTACTTTCATTGGCACACTAGAATCATGATCCTTCTCTTGCCCCAGGTTGTGTGTGTGTGTGTGTGTGTTTGTGATTTTCAGCTTGTTGATAACAGTTAGAATGGGACAGTTCCTCATTGTATGGTCACCTTCTTTCATGAAATTGCACAAAGTAGGGTTTGTTTTGTTTGCTTTGCACTTTTCCCTCCCTTTTTAGTAGCCCTTACCTTTCGAAAAGGATATATTTTCATGTTGTTGTTTCTGAGAGAGGAAGCACTTAGACTGTGAACCTATACACCAAGGCTGGGAACCCGTTTTTTCAGCTTGAAGACCACTTCTCATGAACAACTTGCCAGGGGCTTCCCATCTGTGATGAGCAGAGCCAGAGGCGGAAGTGGGTGGAGCAACAGGTGTGATTCTTACCTTTGTACAGGAGGCTACATTCCAGCCGCACAAAAGCCAGAGGTTTCCACATAAAAATATCTTTCCATCCGCCATCCATCCAAGTAAACAAAAGGCATTACTACAGTTCAATGATACATTCCAGAAATATAAAAGCACTCAAGGAGATAATGGAGCAGGGCCACTTAGTAGCAGCAACGTGCGGCCGAGGTTGGGGCAAAACCTGGGAAGAGTAGGTGGAGAGGCTTGGCAGACTGTACTTGACCTCCAGGCCTGAGGATCCTGATTCTGCTATATATGCCTACCTGGGAATAAGTCCCATTGAAAGCAACACAGCTTTCTTTTGGGTAGAAATGGAATGCACTAGTCAGAGTCTTTATTTCATGGGTTCTTCATTCTCAGACAGAACTTTAGATTTATTTAATAAATTACTGCTTATTTCAAACATGTTTTAAAAGAGATGTTACCAACCTAATTGTACCCTTTAGCTTTTTTCTAACAGACATGGCCATTTAAAATAAATTTATCGCTTTGAAATTCAAGTAAATTGACCTACACATATACCAAACGAATTTAATGATAGTTATGATTGGGAAAACCATAGATTTCATATTAAATCATAACATTTAATGATGTTATATCTCCCTTTTTGTTATGAATTTGCAAAGAAGAACTATGCTTTCCATTAGAATTCCTATATGACACAAGATATAAAATGTTTTAGGGTTTGTTTCTGTAACTTGAAATGAAACACAAGTCCTATTCTTGTAAACAAAGACTCAGAGTCATAATTTAACAGTATCTAAAATGAGAATCTGAATTTAAGGTTGAATTGGGATCCAGTCTAACACGGTGAATGTGAAACAGTCAGCATGGGGTAATGCAATTTAGTAAATTTGAAGGGACAGAAAAATGAATAGAAAGTGGAGCTAATAATTAGATATCTACATTTGAGCTGCCTGTGCTGTTAAGATCCAAACAATGCCAAGACATTTTCCTTTTTCCCTTTGCTAAATTGAAATGACTGTAGTAATGTATTCAAGAAGCTTAGCAGATTCAGAGGATTAATCAATTTGATTGTTCCCTCCAGTGTCATTTAAATCGGTGCCTGAACAAGCATTAAAAGCAATTAATTGAGTGCTAGGAAATCAGTGCCAGAAGCATTCCAAGTGCCATGGAGATAATCACATGCATTCTATTGCCTGGTTTAGAGAAGCACCATCAATGTTGTGTGCGACAGAAAAGCGAAAATATATAGAAAATAAAGCTCAACTCAATATTGTCTGTGAAAATGGGAAGGGTGTAAAAAGCAATTTTAGTTGGTTCAGGTGGTTACAAAGAATAGCAATATATATTATATGTGTATGCAGGGCTTTTTTCTGCTAGAACTCAGTTCTGGCACCTTTCAGGTGGGTATCATTGTCATTATAAGAGAACAAGGGAGGTGTTTATGGTGAGTTCCGGCAACTCTTTTTCTAGAACAATAGCACTGGGAAGAGGATAATATATTCTCAAAATAAAAATAATAAAATGAACATCTGTAACCATGTACATGTCTGGCAGACCAATCCACGAGTATAAAATGTGTTTTTGAAAAAAGGATCATAAGGATGCTGTAATGACCAATGCCCTGGGATGTGCATGCCAGCACAGGGGCTGATGCAGGGCCTGTTTGCCATGCTATATCCTCCCCCCTCCACAATTATGTTGTTCTCCAAATGGTCATCTAGGCAGCCCCTGGATTGTTGGGTCCTGGGCATCAGCCACAAGGTCCAGCTCTAGCTGTACCACTGTGGTTACAAACCTGAGTGTTTGTTTCCCAACATGACTGTTGCTTTTGCCTGCTTCCTTATTTATGTGAGCCTCTCATTTTCTACAGCACGGTGGCAGCTGTGAGAAGAGCTGTTCAGGAAGACAAAGTTGGAAAGGCAGCCAACAGCAGATGCCCTCACTCAGATTTCCTAAGCGAACAGAAGTTTCGCAAGTGGCAATTCTGTGGCATGGCATGGCAGACTGGCAAGGTGGTTAGTTCCCTTCCCTCGATGCAGTGGTCCCCATTCCCAGAATGGTGGCCTCTGTGTTGCCATTTTAACTTTTTTTTTAATTAAAAAGATACATGAAGTGCATCAACACATTTCATATATCATCTATGCATGAGACTGCAGGATTTGCTGATCATTACCAATCCAGATGAATGGCTGGTAGTGGCAGGACTTGTAGCCACTACTACTACTACTACTACTACTACTAATTTATTACTTGTACCACACCCATCTGACTGGGTTGCCCCAGCTACTCTGGGCAGCTCCAATGCTGCCATTTGTGCCAGCCAGCACAGAAAGTCGGACAGGGAATAATGTCCCTTTACTGAGCTAGCTCCCATGCTAGCACAGCAAAGAGACCCTAATCAGGGTCTTTGCAATCACATCCTATCCGAGCCCAGCCCAGCCCTACCCTGAAGTGCCCTGTTTTGAGAGTTCCTGATAGCTGCTGGGGATGATGCCACTGGTTGATTCTGCCCATCTCCCATTTGGGTGGCTGTTTTTGGGTTCTCCCCATGATTACAGCTGGGCAGGGATAGGCAGAAGGCCATACAGTATCTAGCCCATCCAAAACCCCTCCAACATCTAGTATCTAGAATGGAAAGCTTCATGAGCTTGACAGTAACCATAACAACCTCAAGTCCTGGCTCAGTTTGGATTTAGCATTATCATGGCATTCTATCTCCTCTTGATGGACTTGTTTCCAACTTGGGTGTGGTGGCATGGATCACTGTACGATTTTGCCATTGAATGGTCTGAGGTTCTGATGATTCACTATTCAATAGTGAGAGCCAGTGTGGCGTAGTGGTTAACACCAGTGGCTCGTAATCTGCTGAACTGGGTTCGCTTCCCCGCTCCTCTACATGCAGCTGCTGGGTGACCTTGGGCTAGTCACTCTTCTCTGAAGTCTCTCAGCCCCACTCACCTCACAGAGTGTTTGTTGTGGGGGAGGAAGGGAAAGGAGAATGTTAGCCGCTTTGAGATTCCTTAGGGTAGTGATAAAGTGGGATATCAAATCCAAACTCTTCTTCTTCAATTGGGGTGGGGTGTCCTTCAATAATGAGACCCACCATTTGCCCAATTTACCTGGAAAAGTAGTGTAGAAATATATTTTTAAAAAATTAAAACAAAGCTTTTGTCTTAGATAAAGCTTCAGTTTCTTTAGGGCTGTGTGTACTCTGATTCCAAATCCATGACTGTGTCTTGGTCACAATCCAGAGCTGGGAAATTGCAGTCTTTGTATCATTGACTGGAGCCAGGAAGTAATTAGAAGGTGTGTTTGATTACTTCCCTGTTGCTTGGAATGAGCTCTCCACAATTCCAACTATCTATGTAGGCTATGCCATGAAGTTTCGTCTGTCAACAAAATTGAGTTTGGGTATGTGGAAATGCAAAATGCCTTGCATACTTCTGAGTTTGACTTGGAGTTAACGATGCGTGGATCCCTTCTGGGCTTGTCTTGAAAAACATTTGGGTTTTTTCAAGTGTTTCTGTCAGTCAGAAAACATCATTTTTTTAAAAAAGGAAGATCAGCATATTGGGAAAGCTCAAATGGGTGGTCAGTCCCCATCTCCTGCCAATCCTGCTATATTCCAAGCAACCACCTCCCAGCAGTAACTATGGAGAAGTCTGCAATCGTGGACTTTGTAAATGTGCTTTAGTAGTAATGAATTAACAGGCAGACAATGCTGTGATTGCAAGTTTGAATAGCTGATAAATCCAAAAACCCAGTAATATTGAATCCCTTTTGTACTAATGCAAAATAAGAAACAAATAAAAGCATTTAGAACATAACCTGAATGAGCTCTCTATTCCCATCATTATTGAGCTGAGATAATGTTTGGACTTCTTCCACCTCTAAACCATGACAAAATGAATATGGGCTTCATAAATGTTCTATTTGTTTTCAAGTAGAAATGAAATAATTTATCTAAGAGGGTACAACAGATAGCTGAACTATTACTGTCATGAAGCCTTATCAGGCAATAGACTAGCTCTCTAAATCTGCAAATGTCCCTAATATAATATATACAAAATGCAATAATATTGCTATTGGAGCTTTCTACTGCCAAATAGACCAGCTTGTTTGTATTCTTGGGAGGGCAAACTTGGTCAAAGGAAACAAAAGATCCTTTGTGGATTTGACTCCTTCCTTCACTTGCCTTCTCTGTAGCATTTTTGGTTTCTGAACAGTGCCTTAGCTTAAAAGTTTCTTTTAACTTTCATTTTTAAACAAACAAACAAACAAACAAACAAGCGTACAGTATTCTTCTGTAAATGTGTCTTTGTTTTTTCTTGTGAAAGTAGTTAGGTGGAAATTGCTAGAAACAGAGTAGGTGGCAGATATTAGGTGCAATCATTTGTTTGCATGACACAGATCAGTTGCAATTTTATGCTTACATTAGCTCTTATATATAACCTGGCACAACACAAACACATGGCCACCACATGACCACAAAAAAGATTGCAATTTTTCTACAAAACTCAAAATACATGTATACCAACTGAACACTGAAAACATATTCAATTTAAAAGACAGGTGAAGGGGGAAATGACATTTTTTAAGATAACTTCTACCAAGGCTAATGTCAAAAATCTAAATCACTTCAATAAAAACAGAATACAGCTTTAAGTGGCATCAAAAGACTATGTTGTCTGATTCTTCTTTTTTAAAGAAATCATGCAGTCCTAGAAGCCAATGCCTTTAGGCACATTCTAAAACTATTCTCATTTCCTCAACTCCATAGCAACATTGCACGTGCGCGTGCACACATACACACACTCTGAATACAAAATGGAGGCCTTTTTACATACACGGAGGGATTTCTTGTCCAAAGCTTTTAATGGATTTCATCTTTTGTAAGTACACCATTGCTGGCAACCATTCACTTCAAAGGAAATTTATTCTCCCATGAATAAAGCTGCCAAAAAGGAAAACAATAACAACAAGAACACCATCGCCTCAGAGAGGAAAACATTAAAAATTAATTCACAGACTAGAACATTGCTGAATGTAGCGTATTATACAGAAAAGAACATTTTTATATCCTTAACTGGCATTGTTATCAAAATCTAATATCTAATCTAATCCCCCCAAATGAAAAGCTACTGCCAGTTAAAATATAGTTGGTGGGTGTGTTCACATGCACACACACAGGCACATCAGGGAAATAAAAGCATCATTTTTAACTTACATTCATGATTCTTAACGATGGCAGGATAACTGATCATGTCCCCGCATTTAATTATTGTCACTTATATAGTGCCACCAACTTGCTTTACAGAGCAGAAAAGAGATCCTTGCTCCAAGTAGCTTACAATTTAATTTGAAATAGGGGACAGAAGAGCAGGCAGTGGTAAACAGGGAGAATATATTGTTTCAGTTACAGAAAGAGTGGCTGCTTTAATACTGCCAAGGAGGATAAAAGAGGGTGCGGATTTGCCCAAAATGTTTGTGTGCAAATTTATATGCAGAGATGCAAATTTACAAGTAAATGTCAATAGACTGTGGCCAAGTGATCTATGTACTGTACTTTGCTATTGTCCAGGTGTTCACTGTTGATGGGCAACTTCAAGGTCACTGCTTGCCCTTCCTATGGTCCTTTATCTTTAAACCTGACTTCAGTCAAATCTAGGTCATCTTCTAATAGAATGCGATCCTTTGACATCTCTTCAAATGGATGACTGTCCTTGCTTTTGTACAAATGTGGATTTGTCCTAAGCATGTATTACTGGATGATTTGGGTGCAGCATTAACCCAGCATTTATGTAAACATGAAACCACAGCATGGTTTACTTGTTTACTTGTGCATACAGTTCTATAAAAATTAAACAGCTCCCCCCCCCCCCAGGTCTGGGATACCCAGAGTTGGGTCACCAGTACAGGTGCCATTGGGCAAAGTTTCATTTAGAAACTGATGAAAAACATAATTGAAATAGTATAGGCATTTGGCAGCCATTAAACTGCAATTATTCTGCCAGTAAAATGTAATTGTAAATATTATCATTATCTTCATATTGCATTTTAATAACTTTTAATGTTTAAGCTGATTTCTTAAAACAAGGCAGATCTGAGGGGGGAAATATCCTGAGCATGCTTACTTAAATATTAAATACTCAAATATTTAAGTACTGGTCCTATGATTTTTAGGCACACATATTATTTTTAGGATCACTTTGCTCCTGAGATTTTTTCCAAGGGCACATGATAAGAGTGTGAAAAAATGAAGAAAAAGATAATGCAGCTAACTCAATGTGCAATTTGTGCTTGGGTAACTCCCCAGTAGAATTTGTTATAAGAAACAACGCTATCTCCACAAACACATATTGCATCCTCTGCAGTAACATTCCTCTGACACTCACAGTAAAGGCTATCTTGTATATGATCATTTCCCTCTGGATACCATTGCTTTTATGTATGAAAAAATGTATATGATGTCTCATGAGATGATGAGCCATCTTGGGGATACTCCACACGGTGCCCTCCAGAAGTTGTTGGACTACAATTCCCATCAGTCCCACCCATCATGCCCTATGGTCAGGGACGACAATGGGAGCTGTTGTCCAACAACATTGGTTAGCCGTGGTCTGCATGTTGTTTTCCTGCATGGATATGCTAGACATGTAGAAAAGTGTGCCTTCAGTAAAGTAGGCTGACACTTAACACAATGACAAATCAGTGTCATTGTGTCATTCTATAGCTCCTTTTAGAAGAAATAAGAGATGCTGGCAGATTTGATCACAAAAGACACATGAAGTGGTTGTAATGCATGGGAATTATAGTGGTGGTGGCTAGTAGCTGGAAACAATGAAGGGCAGTGGGGGCCTGGCAGGTGTTGGTGACCCAGACTGTTGTCAGTAGGCCATTGGAGCAGCCGCTGTTTCCACACAGTTGCTTGGCATTTCTTTCTCTCAGCAGCAAAGTGATAGCTGTCCACAAGAACAGGTTGCTGGATCAGGCCAATTGCTCTCCTAGTCCAGCATCCCATTCTCACAGTGGCCAGCCAGATGTCTATGTGAAACTTGCAAGTAGGACTTGAGGGCAAGAGGACTCTCCCCTTCTGTGGCTTCCAGAAATTGGTATTCAGAAGCATTGCTGCCTCTGACTGTGGAGGCAGACAGGAGAGAACTTTGGTAACCCTTTCGGAATATGGCACCCTGTGCACCCTCAAATGGATATTCTCAGTTATGGATCATCTGAATTTTGTGTCTCTTTGGCTTGGCACCCTGTGTGGGGGAACCACTCACACCACCCTAAATCTGGTGCTGAGGCGGAGCATAGTTCCTGGCTCCTATTGCTCACACCCTCTCTCTGCCTGCTTGCTTTTCCTCCAGCTTTGGCTGATTCTGCAGGAAGCATTGGGGCCAACAGGCCTATCCAGAGTGAGGAAGCAAGCAAGCAAGCAGGGCATGCTGCTTCTTGAAGGGTTAGTCACTGCTTCTGCCTCTTCCTCTTCCTGAATCCCTACCACCTAGAGGGAGAGTGTAGATGACTGAAAAGTTGAGCAGCTGCTCTTTGCAGCCCCATAAGCACTGCCGAGAGAGGGAGAGTGACTAGGCAGCAGCTGTTGTTTGTATTTATCTGTAAGCATCACTATGGACCCCATCTTCCTTATCACAGTGCCCAGAAAGGGTGCTAAAACAAGGAGGCAACAGTATTCCTGAATACCAATGTCTGCAAACCAGAAGGTGGGGAAGAGTGCTTTTGTGCCCGGGTCCTGTTTGCGGGCTTCCTACAGGCATCTGGTTGGGCACTGTGAGAACAGGATGCAGTCTAGCATGGGGCCATGGCGTGACCCAGCAGGCTCGCCTTAGGTTGTCATGCAAAACAGGCTCTGTGCTACACCCCATCCGTGATGCAGGGCTCAGAGGAGTGAGCCTGCAGGGGAAGTTGCCTACTTCAAAGCTGGGGGGGGGGAGAGACCTGCCCCCATTTCACTTTCTTGCACGGCAGGCGATGGGAGGAGGGATTGTTATTTCTCCATTGCAGGGGGTTGGGCTAGATCAGCGTTTCCCAAAGGGGGGGGGGGAGCATATGGCTGCCTGCGGTGCCCCCAGGTGAAAATCGTGTAAATGGGAGGGGGGATAACATGAGGCTAGGGGACCACAGAGGAAAGTAAGAAGCGAAGGGGGGAAAATCAACATTTTTTAAATTAAAAAAATCCTGATGGGCAGGCTACCTGCTTGACCAATCACAAGCGAGTATGAGGGATGCCCACCAGCAGGCAGGATTTTTGTTAAGGGGTAGGTCTTTGTTAGGAGGGCAGAACCTCAGATTTGTATTGATTTTTACTTATTTGGGGGGCAGCTGCCCCCCTGCCTACATGCATGGGGAGCACAGGAAGGAAACAAGGTCGGAAGGTTGGGAAACACTGGACTAGATTAACCTTGGGATCCTTCCAACTCTACGATCCCCTCTTTCCTGCTTGATCTCCTCACCCCCGCCGCCCCCTTCTAAAAATAGCAGGCCACGATTCCCCCCAAGCTTCCACGATCAGCCAGGCGCCTCTGCCGCCTCCCCGCGAGCCCGGCCCGGGAGAGGCGGGTCGGCGTGTCCCCGGCGCCATGGCAACGGGCGCTCCGGAAATCGCGTCAGCATCCCGCCCTCCCCTGCCGGGGCCGCTTTAGCGAGGCAGCCAGTCCAGCCGGGCAGTCCGCCAGAGCAAGTGCCGGCGAGCCCGCGCCCGCGGCCCGATTAGGCAGCCCTGGGTGCCGCCGCCGCCGCTGGCAAGGACGGGTCCCCCCCGCAGACGGCGCGGCTGCCCAAGGTGCCCCGGCGGGCGGCGCTGAGCCTGGAAGCAGCGGGTTGAAGGCAACGTGTTGAAGGGGCGCTGCTCGGTAAGGCGAGCCTGGCGCTGCGGGAGGAGAAGGAAGAGGGGTGGCGCGCGCGGGAGGCTTGGACCAACGCAGTGCTGCCTCTGCCGGGGATGCTGGCCGGGGGGTGTGGGGGGCGAGGTCGCGGTTTTGGCGGCTTGTGGCTCGGGGCAGGAGAAGGGCAACGGGGCAGCATCGCCTCCTGCCACTCTCTGTGCTGCGCGCCCCAAGGCGGTGACAGCACAGCAAGGAACGTAACGAATTGCATTGCTTATGAACTTGGAAGAAAAGGAGCCCTGCGTCCAAGGAAGGGACAGTGCCTTGAAATAAGGGACAGGTGGCAAGGGCCAGCAGCAGCAGCATGCATGCATGGACCCATGTGCTGCGCCCAGAGATTCAGCACCGGGAGGAGGGGGTTGGAATATGGAGCTGCGCCCAGAGATTCAGCACCGGGAGGAGGGGGTTGGAATATGGAGATGGACCTCTTTCTGGCCAGCCTAAGAGCTGTGGGAGGAAGGAAGCAAGAGTACTAGAAACGAGCATGGTAGTGCCATTGTAAAATGTGCTCTCTGTAAGTCATAGCTGAGCTCCTTAGAATGTTCAAAAGTTATGAGTAATGGGCTTCTAGCAAAAATATGTATGTTGCTTTTGTTACTAGCAACGTGTGTGGGGTGGTGTGGTGGGGAGAGTGGTTCTTGCAAAATCCTAGCGGCTTGAGGCCCATTTGCGCCAATGCATCTCTGCGTTTTTATGTTGGTGCCTTTTGTCCCAAACATAAAAGTGGACGGAAACAGAAAGTGGATGAAAGGCGTTCTTTCGCTGTGAGAACCAGCTTAGTGCATTTGGACTTGAGGTCAGAGTAGATGTTGGAAGGAAAGCCAATTTCCTTTTTAATATGGGCTGCTTCTCCTTCTCCCCTTTTCTTTTGACCCTGCAGTTGTCCGTCACTGGTGTACTTAACTAACCCTGTGTGAAAGTCCTTTCAACCATCTTGCCAACTTGGCTTAGATGGGTGCCGTTCCCCTGGTGATTACATAGCTTGAGTGAAATCCCTTGGCAGTAGCCTTCTGCTACTCAGAGATATTCAACACCTGATACTACCGTCTGGCAGTTGTGCTTTATTTATAGCAGAGCTTTTGACCCTGCTGTGTATCCTTACACGATGCTGCTTCAAATTAGGCTAAAGTACCTGGTTTTAACTGTCCATAATTTATAAGCTACCTAAAGAGCAGGGTCGGAAAGAGGAACCTTTTGTTTCTCTAGAGATCATCTGAATTTCCTCTTTCTAAATTAATGTGCACTCAGTCCCTATCCTTGTTTACTTGGGAATAAATCCTAATGGGTTCAGTGTGACTTAGTTCCAGGTGAGCCTGGAAATGGCCTTACATCTCTTTTTCATTGGCCATGGAGCCTCATGTTCCTAATGATGATGATAATTGCTGTTGGTGAGTTCCAGTATACCTTTTCCCATACTAATTAACAGGGTGCGGTAGCTGTGAAAAAGGCAAGTTCGATGCTAGGGATCATTAGGAAAGGAATTGAAAATAAAGAGTTTGAAATTATACACCCTTGGATCATGGGAATCAACATGTTGACTAGTTTGCATTTTGCAGAATAATATATTGCATTGTGAATGTTTAAGAATATAAATGCAGCGTCAGTGTTGGTATACTAAAATGGCATGCTTCTTGAGTACTGAAGTCTTGAGATTTCCTCTTCGTATCCTAGTTTCTATGGCAATTGTTATTTCGCTTTATATCAACATTTATATACCACTTGTTTGTAATGAAACGTCAAAGCAGTTTGAAAAAAGAATGAAACAACAAAATGATATGTAACTCCCTTGTTAAAAACAGGTTTTTAAAACATTAAAAATATTTATAATCAGCATTAAGCTGAAATCTAACACATGACAGTTTGTACATGTCTGGATAAAAAGTAATGGACCCCTGACAGTTAAGTCCAGTCGCAGACGACTCTGGGGTTGCGGCGCTCATCTTGCTTTACAGCCGAGGGATACGGCGTTTGTCTGCAGACAGTTTTTCCGGGTCATGTGGCCAGCATGACTAAGCCGCTTCTGGCGTAACCAGAGCAGCACACAGAAATGCCGTTTACCTTCCCACTGGAGCGGTACCTGACTTTGACGTGCTTTCGAACTGCTAGGTTAGCAGGAGCTGGAACCAAACAACGGGAGCTCACCCCCCTCGCGGGGATTTGAACTGCCGACCTTCCAATCGGCAAGCCCTAGGCTCAGTGGTTTAGACCACAGCGCTACCCGTGTCCCACATATCTGGATAGACTTGCCTAAAGAATAATGTTTTTAGCAAGTGACAAAAAGTGAAGGTACTCACCTGATGCCCATAGGCAGGGGGTTCCAAAGTGTGGGATATGGCAGCGGGGATGCAGGTTAGAGAAGGGTGTGGGTTTTCAGCTCTGCTCACTCATGTTCCCTTGTAGTAATTTGCACTCCCCTCTTCATATGTGAATGGAGCAGATGTGAAGACCAAATGTGACTTCCAAAATGAGATGGGGCTACTGAAAGGGAACAAGTTTATATTTTGACCGCAAAGCCTCATGGTGAACATGTTTACTAGGAAGTGAATATGAGAGTGTGTACATGGGATTGTAGCTTCAGGGAACAAAGAGAAGAAGCAAGTGGTCTTTGGAAAGAGGAACATACTATGTCACTTATAAAGATTTCTCAGGCATGCCGCATAGTTTTCTTTAACACTGACTCTTTTCTTTTCTAGCTCATGATATTGAATATAAGTTCTGTGTCATGGATGACGCTGCTTTGTCACTTGGAGCAATAGATGTTTCCTATTCTTCTTCCTTGGCAGAATGCACTGTGACTAGATGTAAACACTCCAGTGAAGAATGGGTATGTAAGATATAGCTTTCTGTTTTTTCATACGCACCTTGTTGCTTAAGTGTAGAATTATTCTCCCTGTGTTAAGAAAATCAACTTACACTTCTGCTTATTTTGAAAATTAGGAATGCACCTCAGTACATTTATGAGGAAGGGTAGTAAGTTTTTCTGCTGGTGATAATCTCTGCTGTGGTGATAATCTTTGCTTGAAACATGAAAGATTCTCTATTTGTAACTGTTAAATATGAAACAGGGAAAAAATCAAGAGTTTAAAATAATGCATAAAGAGATGGGTTTGCACCATGACTAATGACTTCGTGGTCTAAATAAGATGTACTGTAATAGATATGGGGGATTTCTGGGCGATCTAATGCAGATTTTAAAAAATGTGAAGATGCACACTCTGGACTTGAAATAGGCATGAGGAGTTGTTGTTGTTTAGTCGTTTAGTCGTGTCCAACTCTTCGTGACCCCATGGACCAGAGCACGCCAGGCACTCCTGTCTTCCACTGCCTCCCGCAGTTTGGTCAAACGCATATTGGTAGCTTCGAGAACACTGTCCAACCATCTTGTCCTCTGTCGTTCCCTTCTCCTTGTGCCCTCCATCTTTGCCAACATCAGGGTCTTTTCCAGGGAGTCTTCTCTTCTTATGAGGTGGCCAAAGTATTGGAGCCTCAGCTTCACGATCTGTCCTTCCAGTGAGCACTCAGGGCTGATTTCCTTAAGAATGGAGAGGTTTGATCTTCTTGCAGTCCATGGGGCTCTCAAGAGTCTCCTCCAGCACCATAATTCAAAAGCATCAATTCTTCGGCGATCAGCATGAGGAGTAGTGAATAGATATGTCTGGGTGGAGCATAAAGATACTTATGAAATGAAGGAGATGATGAGAATTGTAGGGTAGGAAAAATACCTATTATCTAATATTGATGGGTGAGGAGAAGCTTGAGCCTGAAACTCAGAGATTTGGAGAGATGGTCAGAGCAATAAAAGAGAAGGCTAGAAAGATGAGCTAAAAGTTTAGTGTTGCAAACTGTCCCTGGTGAAATCATAGTAAGAAAAGATAAGAAATGACTAGGGTTCTTAGAGGGTCTTCACTTTGTTTATTTTAATAAATCTGGGTGAATATTAGTCAAATGCTACCAATAAAGGTGTGGAATGATTACTTTTTTCTGGTTAAGCTTTACCTTTTATTTGGCTTTCTGACTTTTCTGTCTGCTCTAACCTCTTCAATTAAGATCTAGTCATTTTTGTGTCCCTCTATTACTTGTAATTCTTGCTGTATTTAGAGGCCAGCCCTGGGCACGTGTACTCAGAAATAAGCCCATGGGATTGTCATGGGACTCCCAAGCAAGTGTACATAGGATTGCAGCGCTTGTTTGTTTTTATGCATTTCCCCATCACACTATATGTTTAAAAAAACTTACCATATGTGGTAACTTCTCCCCTGCAAATCCTACATGTGATCTTAACAAAAAAACACCCAAACATACTTTCTATTTTGTCATCATGCAATGTTGTGCAAATGGAGCTTATTTAATGTGCAGGAGGGTTGTAACATGTTAGGACATTTGGCATTTTACAAGTGTATCTATACATCTTGCACAGTGGTTGGAATTTTGGGATTTTATAGGCACGGAAGTTTTGGCCTTGGATCACATCTTGTTATTAAAAGATTAACCTTTAGTCATGTAATTGGGTAATAAACTTTGGCTAGGTCAAGACTTAGAGTCTGATCTGTTTCAGCAAGAGGATTATGCTTGCACAGGAATTTCTGTTGAAGTCAGTGTGTCTTTTAAAGGGTTCGGCGCTCTCTGTTTCATATATTGGAAATAGTGTATGGACTTTAATGTGCTATCTTCACTTACTGTATTTTACTGTTTTCTAGGGAGAGTGCAATTCTAGGCCTACTGTCTTCCGATCAGCCACTCTGAAATGGAAAGAGACCCTACTTGGCCGGAATCGGCCCTTTGTGGGGCGCTGTTGCTATGTATGCACTCCTCAAAGCCGGGTAAATTAGATTATATTGGTAACTAATTGAAACACACTTTCCATGTAATAACATTCACAGTAGCTGGCATCTAATTGTTTCAATTCAGATTCTACTTTGTCACAGTTGGTTTGTGTTCCGTGTCCTTGTTTTAAAGAAAGGCACCATAATATATAAACTCTGCGGTCCTTATGAAGCCATGACTGGAAATGGAAGACATGTTTCTCTCTTAACTTTCAGGACAAGCTCTTTAATGCCAGTATCCCTTCTTTGGGCCTTCGAAATGTCATCTATATTAATGAAACACACACAAGGTAAGCCTTCTTCTTTTTGTATACTTAATGCTACTGTTCACAAAGCAATTGCCCAGTTTGCATGTCACATTAAGCCATAGCATAAAACAAACTATGTTGGTTCATATCACTGTTCATTCATATTAAGCCCAGGATGGAGAACCTCCCACTCATGGGCCAAATCACACCCATCAAGGGGCCTGAAATGGCCGGTGAGGCTGTTCTCTCCAGTTCCCCAGCCATGCTCACGTGCTGCTTACCTGACATATTGCAATTGTACTTTGAATTGTTCCTTGGCAAGCACAGACTGCATTTTGTGCCTTTTAAATTGGCACTGAAGTTGAGCTGATCCCTGCAGAAAGTGGGTCTTATTAGATGGCTCTAAATTTAAATTCCTGGAAGGCTGCAAGCCCTGCTTTCAGTAGGAATCCCTGTTTCAATCCAGATTTTTAAATGAAAAAATGTGCTTCCTATTCTGCATTTGAAGTTGAATTGCCTAATGTCATGTACCATCTGGTGACTGATAGGTGGGCAGTTCCGCCCACCTCTCAAAAGTGGATATGGTATGCAACTTGGATTCTGTTCCTCACACCTAAAGTACAGCATAGGTTGTTTTAAACAGTAGTTAAATGTGATGTGTGAGCCAAGCCAATATGTATTGTATTATTGTTGGGGATAAGCAAGAAGAATGAAAATCAAGATGTGTTAACGTTGTTCTTTCACTGAATTTACTTCCAGAATAGGCTACGTAATGGCTTGCAGCTCATACATACATACTTGAGAGTGACTTAGAGCAGAGCTTTCTGAACTGTGTGTCACGACACATTAGTGTGTCGACTGCAGTGTGTAGGTGTGTCGCACAAACGCTCCCCGCATGCTTCCCAGGGCTGGAAAGGAGTTAGTTTAACCTCCAGTTTGCTAATAAAGCTGAATTACCATGTCATAAAATGATGCATGTCTAAAAAGTGTGTCACCAACATGAAAAGTTTAGAAAGCTCTGGCTTACAGTAATGAGAAACTATGAGTTCACGTGCTGTACTCATTGTGGAATCACAAATGTACAGGTTGAGCTTGCACTACTGACATAAATAGATGTTGCTGTCAACTAAAAAGCAGGATACACAAAATGTAACTGGGTTTTTTGTCAGCCAAATTTTCTACTAGCCAGTTGTGAAGTTCACTCCTACGATGGTACTGCAACAATATTGGGTACAGTTTTTGTAACAGATACTGGTTTCATCAGACTTGATGAAATTGTGTATTAGTAAATCCAGATAGTAAATCTTATTTATTATGTGACTTTTGACTTTCATCTACACATTTTAAATACTTTCATCTCTGAATATATGGTGATTATAAACAAAGAAACAAACTTAAAATGCTGCACAACTTTTTTATTTTTTTGGTACAAAACCTGGAGTGTTGGAAAGAATAGATTTTGATCGGTAAGAGGTATATCTCATTCTCTGACCAAGAAAACATGTAACAGAAGTGAGGAAAGAATTACAAGTTTTAGCAAGCACCAGGTTGGCAAAGGATGGCCTATAGCATTTTTCTTTCAAGCTAAATTACTGGAACTTGATCCCCCAAAGGGCATAGTAAAGCCACTCGTAAGTTTCTTTCTAATCAAATCTTATTGTAAAACCAGATATCTATTGGATTGTAAGAATATAGACATACTTTTGAATGAATAAATTGCTGGATACCTAATTTAAAGTAGCTTTGAAAGTTCCAGACTTTTATTAAACAACAGCAGCAGCAAAATGCAGTGTTAGCACAACTTAGATTTTTCTTTTGTTCTCTTTAGTAGACAGTCATATTAAAAAAGGATTTATGTATTTGGGACTCTATTCACAGAGAGAGTCTGTTAAATAGTACATTTAAAAATAGTACATGCAAAATCAATACATTAATGGGCTGTAAAACATTTGTTGGTTGCAAATGCAATGGATTTGATCCTCAGAATTCCATCACATTTTAAGGTTTGCAAGCATCTACTTACCAATATTTTCTGGTACTAGGCAGCCATCAATATGATTTTCACGTTGTAATGGCTTTGAAGGCCATTTAGATTTGAAGACTGTGTCTTCATTTCATTCTTAAAGGAACCTTAACCATGCATTAAAGCAAGGGTGGCAGACATGTGACTCTCCAAATGTTAGTGGGCTCCAACTTTCGACACAGCCAAGGGTCAGGAATGATAGGAGTGACATGTCAGGGGCCACAAGTGCCCCATTCCTGGATTAAAGGATAGAGGATTGGCTCTAGTGGTACCTATGGATGAGTGGAAAGGCACTTCTGGTCATGCAGTGCAGCTTCCCTACATTCCACCCTCTATCTTCATCATTGCCCACAATTCTGTAAGATTTCCTTATGCTCAAGCAGTTACTGGGATATGCTGCCGTCAGCAAGAGAAGTGGGTAAAATCCATTGCAGGAGCAGAACTTTGCTTGCATATCTCTGAATTAATTACATAATCTGAAACAACTCCTAGACCTTTAAATGAAAAAGTCTTCTAAGTGGAAAGTTCAAACCCCATAATACCTGTTCATATTCATTTAAAATACACATGTACATGATTTTTTATTGAAGTGCAATGATGTCCAAGGTGAGAATTTGTATTTGCTTGGATTGGTTAATATAATGTGTGGCTTTGGGGTCAATATCTGAGGAGTATCTTTGGGGTAACAAGTATCTGAGAATAATTTAACAGCCTAATAAACAAAAGCTTGGAAGGAAGATTGCTTTAATATTTTCTTTTTCATACTGTGTAATACATACACACTTGACCAAACTAGCCTTTAAACAAAAAAAGTGTTTGCTTTCACTCTTAGCCTCACCAATTTCTGATTGACTCCTACCTATTTAATCAATTAACCAATTAAAGTTAGTTCTGATAGGGACATGATTGACAATATTGAATGCAATATTTCTCATGGTTGTGTTTTGCTAAGTTACTGTGTATTGTTGCAGGCACAGAGGTTGGCTTGCCCGGCGACTCTGTTATGTTCTTTTCGTGCAAGAACGGGATGTTCATAAGGGTATGTTTGCAAATAATGTGACAGAAAATGTGCTGAAAAGCAACAGGTAAGAAATTAAAATACCATTGTTTTTTGTAAAGTTCCATTGTCAATACAATTTATTGGGTTTCTTTGGAAAAGAACTGTCCTTTTTGAGAAATCCCATTTTTAAATCAATGAAGCCGAGTTTGCTACTATTTATGCCCAGTGCCTGATATTTTAGATACTTGTTTCCACAATTTTGGAATCTGCAGGCAACCATTATGAAGGCATCTGTGTATAATGTGTCAAATTGTGTGACATATAAAGTTAATTTGAGTTGTACACCAGCTTTTCTATTCCAGCCTTCCCCAACCTCTTGCCGTCCAGAAGTTCTAGACTACAACTCCTATCGGCTCCAGTCAACATGGTCAGTGGTCAAGGATAATAGGAGTTATAGTTCATCAACATCTACAGGTATCAGGTTGAGGAAGGCTGTTTTTCAGTGACTAGTTACTGCTCCCCAGATGCTGAAGACTTCTAAAATCTTTATAGGCGTTATACTGGCTTTACACTGAGATATTTTGCCTTGTGCATTTGAGGTATGTGTATATGTGTGTGCTTTTCTACTAGGAAAGTGTCACTGTACTGGAATCTTAATTTAAAAAGTACTCATGAGTAAATATAATTGCACTACAAGTTCCCCTACATTCTGTAGCTATACGTTCTGTCTGTCTGTCTATGCATCTCAAAAACAGGTGAAATATCGAGCTTATTTTAAGAATCATCTTACTTTATTTGTAACACCTAGAGTGCAGAATGCTATTGAACAGGAAGCTTCAGAAATGTCTGCTGTGAGTGGCTCTGGTCAGCCAGACCCCAGAAACGTCAACAAGGTCAAGAAGCAAGCTAGAAAAATTCTGCAGGAAATGGTAGCAAATGTCTCGCCTGCTTTGATCAGGTAATGAAACTAGATCATGGTTGCTGATGTCAGGGGGTGCTGAAATACAACCTGTGTTCACATGGAGATAACTGTTTCTAGTTGCCTCAGATTTCTGCTTCTCTTATCTGTTGTGTAAGCTGAACTCAAAGGCCTGGTATTTGCCCTTGAAGAATATATAGTGTGTGTGTCTTGCTTCATAGTCTAATACAGACTTTTCCATGAAACAAAATAACATTTTGTCATAAATGAATTTCATGTTATCATCGCAAAGTTACTCTCTGCATTTTCAAACTGGATGTAAACTTCTTGCTACGTTTACTAAGGCTGCAACAACTGTTGTCTGTTTTTTTTTTAAGAAACAACCAGTTTGTTTCATATAGAATTTTTGCAACTGTTGCACATTTTTCATTACTGCTGATTTAGTTGCTTCTGTTCTGTGTTTCTACAGTAGTGTCAGTTTTAAAGGCAGCATGTTTCTGTGTGTATGCTTCTCTTATATTGTTTCATGCTGCTTGAAACTAAAAATGTATATAAAACATGAATACTATTATATGGTGGCTCAACTTTTATTGCCCCTTTTAGGTTAACGGGATGGGTGTTGCTGAAATTATTTAACAGCTTTTTTTGGAATATCCAGATTCACAAAGGCCAGTTGGAGATGGTGAAAGCAGCAACAGAGGTAATAAAATCCCTGAGGCAAAAAAAAAATCCCTTCAGAGGAGAAATATGACATTGTTCCATTTCTAATATTGTTTGGGCCTTACAGGACCCTTTTAACAATTTGGCAAAATAAATCAATCTTAGCACACTGGAATTCAATCTGAAAAGAGTCAATATGGGCCAAATTCACCTAGATCTAATTACTGGAGTTAACTGTGCTTATTTTGGAATGAAATCCATTTGTCAAGAGTTGTGAAATACATATGTGCATTTATTATTTACTAAAACCAACCACTCTGTAGCCATAGATAATATCCTTAAAAGTCCTTTTCTCAACTATGGTATGTTACGTAGTGTTTGCATACAACTGTATTCAGTGAAAATAAAAGGTTGCACCTAATCAGAATTATTTGGGGGATACTTTTTATAATACAAGTGCCTCCTGCTCCTCACCTCTACTCACCCCATGCTGGCAATTCAGATGTTTTGCATAAAGAGTAGAAAGTGTACCTACCAGGCCTGCATTACTTGTCAAAAACACATTTTGACTTTTAAAAAATACAGTTTTAAAACCAGATTGTTTGGGTATTTATATAATTGCTTCTTTTCTTCTTCTTACAGCTGAATTTGCCGCTTATATTTCTACCTGTTCACAAATCTCATATTGACTACCTGCTTCTCACGTTCATTCTTTTCTGTCATAACATCAAAGCACCGTACATTGCTGCAGGGAATAATCTGAATATCCCCATTTTCAGGTAATGTTCTATTCATGTATACTTTCACTTTGTTCATTTCGGCCATGTGGATTACTGTATCAAAATCCTAGCTAAATGAACCTTCATATGCTGGCAAATAAATTTGGTGCTTACCTTGCAGTGCCCCAGTAACTGTCTTGCTTGTTTTAACACTTGGCCTGCAATTGGTGGAATAATTTTATATTGGCAAAGGAATCCAATTAATATGCCAGTAGTGGTCATATTCTTGCATTCTAATGTCATTATTAGCATATAAAAAAAAATGCACTCAAACCAGTGAAGGCTTTGGCCCCAATCCTTAGTTGCTCATAACGCTTGGTGGTGCCTGGTACATTTTCCCAAGGTCATCAAAATAAGCATTCAGTTAATTTAGTGAGCTTCAAAGGTGTGTAATTCTTGACCGTTAATGGAGCAGAATGTTTTCAGCCATAGAAAGTGAGGCAAATGTAACTTCCTTGATAAAAGGTGTATCAGCAGATAGGCACACGTCATGTTTAGATATGCTGTAGTCTGCTTCATGTTCATATAACACAAGATAATGTATGTGGCACCTTCTATTTATGATTGCAAGTCCTGGTGGTGATATTATGTCTAATATTATGCATGCTTATTTGGAAATAAGTTTCAGTGAGTTTAGGGACCCAATTAAGTGGAAATAGGATTTTAATCTCTGAAATGGTAGACGATTTAGTCAGAACAATCTTCTATACTGTAGTTTCATTAAATTCTATAGTAGCCTTTTATTCAGCGTTATATGCTGTTATTAGGTATAAATAATAGAGAGCCACAATTTTAAGTCACAAAATGTTAGGCCACAAATTTTTGGCTAGATGGGAGGGCCTTTATACAAATAGTTGTGTGACTTGATCTTTTTCTTCCCCATTTTTCATTGATCTGACCAGAATAATTGGTTAGAGTTGCGAACACTGTAAGAATTTTATGTGAAAATTGTGAGCCGCTTTGCTAATTTTCTGTTATCCCAATGTATACCATACTGACATTTTTGTTTGTTACTTCCTTAAATTTTCACCTGTTTATATTCTAAGGCATAGGAGGGACTTCAGGCTTGTTTTATTTCTATATATGTAATATTGCAATCTTTACCAGGCCAAATAAATCTTGTCTGGTTGAACCAGTAAAGATCTCTAGTACAAGGCAATTTTAATAACAAAATTGTGGTGTCAAAACTTTTCTTAATTTAGCCTTTAAGAACAAGTGACTTAGGAAATAATTAGTAAATTGTGTTCTGAAAGTAAAGTTGTTTAAAAACAGCTGGAGCCAAAATTATACCGCTTTGAAAAACGTATATATTGGTAGTCACCATAAAAGGATTTCTACGAAGCCTGTTGTCCCTAATTTCTGTGTACTGGAGAGCTTGTGCTCATATATGGACTACCAACATTTGTCTGCGGTACCACAGAACTCAGGGACGTGGGTGGCACTGTGGGTTAAACCACAGAGCCTAGGACTTGCCGATCAGAAGGTCGGCAGTTTGAATCCCCGCCACGAGGTGAGCTCCCGTTGCTCGGTCCCTGCTCCTGCCAATCTAGCAGTTTGAAAGCACATTAGAGTGCAAGTAGATAAATAGGTACCGCTCTGGCAGGAAGGTAAACGGCGTTTCTGCGCGCTGCTCTGGTTCTCCAGAAGTGGCTTAGTCATGCTGGCCACATGATCCGGAAGCTGTACGCCAGCTCCCTCGGCCAATAAAGCGAGATGAGTGCCGCAACCCCAGAGTCGGTCACGACTGGACCTAATGGTCAGGGGTCCCTTTACCTTTACCTTTTTACTACAGAATTTAATGTGTAGCTTTCTCATGCAGACAGATCAATCATTGAGTTGTATGGTTATATCACACTGTGGACACAACAGCCTATGCTAATGTTAACATTCTTAGCCTTTTAATAAAAAAGGGTATTTCTTTACCCATAGCACTTTGATCCACAAGCTTGGAGGGTTTTTTATACGGAGAAAATTGGATGAGAGGCCCGATGGCCGTAAAGATATTTTGTACAGAACCTTGCTGTATGTGGTATGTATCTTTTTCTTAATTCAAGGCTTATCTCTGCAAAGTATTTGAAGAGCCAGGCCACCATCTCAGGCTTGATTGTGGGGTGTGCAGGTTTGTGGCAAGGTTCAACAGTTAAATAGCAAAAAAGAAGAAGAGGTAGCATTTTAAACGTCTTAATAATTAGGAATTAGCTGCATCTAAACGTGTGTGGTGTAAGATACAGTTGAACAGGGATGGGGAGTCTCTGGCCTTCCATATGTTATTGGAGTCCAACACCCATCAAGGATGGATGGAAGTTGTGGTCCAGAGGCATCTGTAAGACTGCAGGTTCCAATATAATCTGGAGGGTGTTCTTTATATTGGCAGTAGGTGGTGGGATATGCCCCTTTGAAGAAAAAGAATGCGGAATTACTCTGTATATTGTTTATTAATTGCCTTCCACATATATGTCTTAAGGCAATGTACAAAATATAATAAAACCAGTTAAAAATAGAGCAGAAAATAACAGCAAATAACCTTTTTAAAAACAATACAGTGCTACCTCAGGTTAAAGACGCTTCAGGTTACAGACTCCGCTAACCCAGAAATAGTACCTCGGGTTAAGAACTTTGCTTCAGGATGAGAACAGAAATCACGCAGCAGCAGTGGGAGGCCCCATTAGCTAAAGTGGTACCTCAGGTTAAGAACGGACCTCCAGAATGAATTAAGTTCCTAACCCGAGGTACCACTGTATAATACAAAGCAAACATGTTTTACACAAGTTTGTGATGCTGTTAGTGTTGTTGTGTACTGTATGGAGCATCTGCAGAAATGCCTGTACCTCAGATACCGAAGCAGTCTCGCACATTTGAATACCCTTAATTGGTAGTCCTTTTAGCGGATGTCAAGGACACCTATAAACTTGCAGCACTCATTGTCCTTCTATGTTACTGTGTAATCCCAATAAAACTAATGGGATCACTGCGCATGGACTAGAATTATATTGTGCAATGCTGGGCTTGGTGCCACCTACTTTGCTAGAAATCCTGTGTAGGTTCTCCAGTGTTTCAAGTCTCAGAAACTGGTTTAAAAGGGGTGTGTGTGTGTGTGTGTGTGTGTGTTATACACTTTCTTCTGTTTCCTGGAAAAAACTGACTTTCAAAGAAAATGAGGATTGAAAACCTGCCAGTGAGTTTGGATGCTCCTGTGAAAAAGCACTCACACCCCTTCCTTTAAGAAAGGAAGTGATTTCTGAATATTTGGGAGATTCTTTAGGTATGCAGCAATATAATAGTTTGCAATTACGTACAGAACAACAATATAGTTGTTTTACAAATACTTATTGGATTGGAGGATTAGTGGAATTCTGGTGGATACTGAGCCACAGTACAGTGAGGGTGTCAGCAGGAAGAAATAATTAAAAAATGCAGCAAGGGAGGATATTATTACAGATATAAAAGAGGAATGCAAATAACTTGTGTCTGATTTTTTGGTTGTTGTTCATTCTTCATTTAGCATATCCAAGAGTTGCTTCGCCAGCAGCAGTTCTTAGAGATATTCCTGGAGGGCACCCGGTCCCGGAGTGGAAAGACATCCTGTGGAAGGGCAGGCCTTTTATCAGTAGTGGTGGACGCTCTGTATTCAAATGCTACTCCAGACATCCTAATCATACCCGTGGGAATATCCTATGATAGAATCATTGAAGGCCACTACAACAGTGAACAGCTGGTAAAAGTGTTTGGAATGCTATTGTCCGCTCAGCAGATATTTAGATCACTGTCAGTTGTAACCATCTTGGTGATAAAAATGTGTCCCCTTTGGTCAGAAAGCAGGACCTTGGAAACATAAATTGCATGCTGATCTTCGCAAATACTTATTTGTAGCAAGTCGAGATACAAGGGAAAATGACATCTGAATAATGATTTTCATAAACAGCATTTGAAATATCCAAATAGATGTCTGGCTTAGAGGAAATGGCCCAAGTGACCACAATGCTTTTTACGATGCTTGAGCTGTTGCCCAGATTTATTTCTGAGCGTACTTAGGTGGCTTGGATTTATGAACTTGTTTAACATTAAGTAGCTTTTAGATGCAATTGTTGAACTGCCTTGCTCTCCCGATGTTTCACAGGGGAAGCCCAAGAAGAATGAAAGCCTTTGGAGCGTGGCCAGAGGAGTCTTCCGAATGCTGCGGAAGAATTACGGCTGTGTTAGGGTAGATTTCGCTCAACCGTTTTCTCTGAAAGTAAGTTCATATAATATGAACATAATTTCTTATTGCAGAGTTACAACTATGGTGATAAAATATTCTTAAGACTATATGTCACTAGGCAAGAAAGAAAAATTGGACTTCATGTGAACTTCCGTTCTGTCTTAGTCAGCCTGGCCCAGTGGTCTGTTCAGCTGTGGATCCTAGTCCATTCAGCGATACCTGTCCCGTTTTCTTGCATGCCTTGTTGGTTCCTTCTTCCAGAGCTACCTGTGGATGTATTTTCCTACATCACCCCTTTCTTACTCATACTGTTTCATTGCACTTTGGTATCTGACCATAAAGTTGCTTCAATGGAGTAGTTTTACCGACCAACAGATTGAAGCTATCTCTCAATGTGGGGAAGAGAAATGATTGCTTGCCTCCTGATTTCAGAAGAGCTTAAGTCTTCTTACCTATGAGCACAGGAGAACTCATTTCTCTCCATCACTAGGACAGAATGGAAACTCGTGACCAGTCCAATTTTATACTTGAAATTTTGTCAGGATATATAAAGGTAAAGGGACCCCTGACCATTAGGTCCAGTCATGGCTGACTCTGGGGTTGTGGCGTTCATCTCGCTTTATTGGCCGAGGGAGCCGGCGTACAGCTTCCGGGTCATGTGGCCAGCATGACTAAGCCGCTTCTGGCGAACCAGAGCAGCACATGGAAACGCCTTTTACCTTCCTGCCGGAGTGGTACCTATTTATCTACTTGCACTTTGACGTGCTTTCGAACTGCTAGGTTGGCAGGAGGTCAGGATATATAGCAGGAAGTTAAAAAAGAGGTTTGTAATTTCATGGAAAAAAATAATGCATGCATAGGATCTAAAACTGTTGAATTGGTTGGATTGGCTGTGTTTGTCACACCCTACCACAGATTCCATCATACGTGTTACTGTTAGAAGTTTTTAATAGCAATAAAGCTGCTGAAGAATGCAGAGATAAATCTTTGATTCTACAGTTAAAATATAATTCACTTACAGCTGAAGGATAACAGCACTTAAGATGCACCAACTCTAATAGTACAGAAGAAGATGTCAAAAAAGGTGCTAATATTACCAGTTCTGCATATCTAGTGTTGTAGTCTTTAGCTAGTTTCCAAAAAAGATTCCACAGAAGCCGTTGGTCTTACTTCTCCACTTCCAGCCATAAACCAATTTTGTGTACGTTGTTGAATTGTACAAATATATTGGTGGATTTGATTTCCAGGGGGCTAATAATAAACAAATTAGAATTCTTAAGTAAAAGGAAATCAATGGGATGCCAGTCAGGCCATCATGTACTTTCGTTGCCTGAGAAATGTTGGCTCACCAAGGAATGTGGTATGTGCTAAGAAAAAAGCCGCTTCGTGTCACTTTTTCAGCTGATGGAAATATGCAGGGCACTTCTAATTAAGTTTTATTGCAGCGGTGTTCCTGACAGGTAGCTTTGTATGCATAATTTAGCAAGCCAGTAGAACATAATCCCCTTCTGTGTTCAGAAATTCGAAATAAGTGCATATTGCTTTAATTCCAGTACCTCCTATCATTTACACAGGGATAGCTTCAGGATTTATTTCCTTAATGAGTTCATAAATAAGTCAATTTCACTGAGATAGCAAGGTCTCATATCCTATAATATTAATTACCAGTGGCATATATTTATTCTTCTCTATTCTTTATTCATATAAAGGTGTTCTCATAACTTCTTCACTTTAGAAAGCCTTAATTCTATTACAACTCCTACATGCCTAAAATTGGCTTTATCAGCACACCCAGCAAGCTATACATATGTTTCAACCTGTGTGTAGTTGGATATAATGGGTGTTATCCAATGAAGTCCTTCCACTAGCAAGGGTTTCTTCTTATGCAACAGAACTTCCCTTCCCTCTCCTCTGCCTGCACATCCTTGTGCTCTCCCCAGATCTGTTCTGGAGGACTGGCTGAAACCCCAGAACAGATTCAGAGGGACGCAGGGGGAGGAGAGGGAGGGGAAGTTCTGTTGCAAAGCCCAAAAGTCCTTGCACTAGCAAAACTTATGAAGATACTGCCCAGTATCATATTATATTTGAAAATACTTAGTTGTACAGGTGATAGGCTTTGTAACTATTGCTTCACATCCATGCCCACTTTTCTTAGATTTACTTGTCTTTTTGCAGTTTGCTTGCCTTTCAGTGTAACCTGTAAAATTTTATACGGTAGCCTCTTATAGCAGTCCCAGGCCCAAAATCTTCAGACTCTTCCTTTGATCACTTCCAGATATGTTCTACTCCCAATTCTGTATCTCTGTTTTCATCCTGGGTGGGTTTAATATATTTTGCAGAAGGGTTATGGCTAGCGTGTCAGTCAATTGACTGACTTGTTAAATATTGTCAATTAACCAGTTAGTTTACTGCCTGTTATTTGACTGTGGTCAGATTCTCCATGAAGCCAAAGATGCCACAGTCTGGGTGGCTTCACTACTTTTAATTGTAGCGTCATTTGCTAGCAGGGACAGGACTGAGGGCTGTGTTCCCCCTTGTATTGCAGTGATTGGGGACAAAGATTTCCCAGCTAGCCACCAGCTGTAACTACAGGCTTCTCTGATCAGAAATGGGAACTTTAGCAGTCATTAGTGGCAAACCTCTTTGCCTTGGACTGCTCACAACTCAGTCTCGCTTGCTGCAGGAACCAGGAAATGCCCCTTTGCCCCGTCAGCTCTGCAAAGATCCTGTGGCAGATTGGACTCAGATCTGGAAACTGTTTAACTTCTGAAACTGCTTAACGTTTTTAAAAGTTAATCATCATTGTGAAATTAAACTAGGATGTATATCAAAGCTGTTGATGTTTAAAGTGTGCAAACTTGTAATAAAGGTTAATGCTTTAGAAATATTTGACTGTGTTTTCACCAATACCTCAAATGCCCAAGACTTAGATGAAGCTATGGAGCCTTATCTGGAGTAAGATTATATTGTCTTGAATGTGTATCTTCATGGTGCAGTGCATGCAGTGTTGTGAAAACAAATCTAAATAAGCTATTTAGTAAAGGCGGCAATAATAGAGGCATTTTGGTTGTTAGAAACTGTGTTTACATACATAGTGACAGAACCACTAATAGAGAACAGAACTGTAGTTCTGTTACCACAGATGTGGATCACCCTAGCATTTCTCTTCCATCTTTTCAAAGAAGTGTGGTTTTGATGTGTGCAGTGACTTAATACAAACGTAATGATCATTTGGAGCATCTTCACTACTATCGTTCCAGTGGGTGTCCTTTTATTACCATGTTGTTGTTCTTCATCATATCACCATGTTGTTTCTCATCAACCTTTTAATCAGCACAATAGTGCCTCGGGGCTACTCATACTGTTTAGAATATCCATGCAATATTACTTAAAGACCACTAATTTTAAATATATTTTTTTAAAAATAGGTTGCCTTTCTTATGGCTGTCATTTTAGCACCTTCCTCCTCCTCCTCCTCCTGCTCCTTCTTTTAGCCACCTACAGATTTACTCCCAAACACTTCCTATCATATTTAAACTTTACTTTAAGGAGTCTTTATTTTTTTAAAAAAATCTCATAATTGTACTTAAATGTTTAGTGCTAATGAGATTGATTTTTTTTAAAGATTTCTTTCCCCTCCAAAAAATTGTGTACTCGCGTGAACTGTCCCGTCAGTTACTTGTGCTTATTAATGTAGATAGAACATAGGGAAGCATGTACACCCAAAAATTGTTACATCCCTCAAAATGCGTAAATGTCAATTTCAATTCTGCTTACTGCTTACAGCTGAATAGCATTGATTAGTTAATGCTAAGGACATCACAGAGGACCAAAGTTTATTGCAGAAATGTTGCAGCTTCAGCATCTGTTTCCTTGAAATCTTAAATACGTTTTCTTTATCCTACTGTTCAAAGCTACTTTCAGTGGTGAGTAAGATGGCTGTTGGAGTGCTACATTTTCCTGGGAGAAATACATGAATAACCTTGTGTATTTGCAGGAATATTTGGATGGCCAAAGCCAGAAGCCTATGCCTGTGCCTGTCCCTCTTTCTCTGGAGCAAACTCTCTTACCAGCTGTACTCCCTTCAAGGTAGGACTGAGCTGCGGAGTTTGAGCAGCACTGAACAAGTTTATATCAGCCCATGATTCTGAGTCTTTGAAATGTTCTCTTGTAGGCTTTGTTGAGCTGCAGCAGGTTGAATTTAAACAAATGTTATCACAAGATCATAGTGGCCTGGTTCACGTGTCATGCTAAGCCTGGCTTAGCAAATGCTAAGGCTTACTGCAAACAAACCACAAGTTGTCCCACAGGCAATCAAACAATGGCTTGTTTCATTAAAGAAGTTTCTTCCCAGCCTACCACTTTCTTGAGTGCCTCTGTGGAGAACTAGTACTGTCATCAGTGCATCCCTTTGCCATTGCCTGCCTGCACAAACAGAGCAGGAGATCTCAGAGCTTTTTGGTAAATCTCAGCAGCTGCTGAGCCATACCAGCTTCCCTTTCTTTCCCCTACTTAAAGGAACGCCAAGTGTTGATGTTGTAAAGCTCCTTAATCATTTCTGCGCACGGTTCTGCTGAGAGAGGTTTCTTCTCCTCCTATACTCAACACTGAAGCTGGTGTAGTAATTTCCCTCCCTTAAGAGTCAATGGAAGGAATGTTTTTAAAGGGAAAAAGGCATAGAAAGCCTCCCATCATCGCCTGTGTTCAATTGGGCTTTTCCCCAGATAAGTGGGGATAGGATTGCAGGCTTGGGTTTTAGCCAGCAAAGTTGGCCCATTAGTGACTGGACTTCAGCTTGTGCAACTTGAGTTCCTGTCCCGCATGCTGCCCAAAATCTGTACCGGGATTCCTCCAGTCCCCCGGAGCAGTTCGGGAAGCGTGAGAGGAAAGGGAGAAGTACCGTTGCACAAGAGGAAGCCTTTGCACTAATGAGATGATTTTGTTGGAAGCAATTCCAAGTCATTAATCTTCAGTAATTCATGCCTGTTAGGTACTGGATTATAATAGGCAAAGTTGATGGACTGAAAGCTTCTTTCTTGGTTTTTTGCAGCACCTGTTGCAAAAATACACTCGTGTATTAAAAGACGACAAGCTTGTGCAGACTTGCTGATATGAGAGAAAAGATGTGTATAAATAAATTTTGGTGCGTAGCTGTCATCCCACCCTTAATGTTGCATCATGATGCCTTTGAGTTGTGATACAATCTTGGAGCTGCTGTAAGAGTCTAGAATGTCTCTAGGCTAACATGCAACGGCTTGAAGATGCGAGTAGTTGTAGAAAGATTCACCTGTATGTGTGTGAGAGAACTGGGAGAGCACTAGTGTCAGACAGTAGTGGACATATCCTGTGGTTTGTTTTTACATATTGATGCTTCTTGGAGCCTAAAGCAGCTTTCAGGTAGTTTTACAGGTGCCTCCCTTCTAAGCATCTTACAAACATGATCTTAAGCGGTCAAATAGTATGAGGAATTGTAGCCTACACTCAAATACACAAGACATCATTACTGAAATATTTTTGTGCTTTGAGCCTACGAGATGTAATAATTTATCTTAGAACTGTAAGCCTAAATCATCTTTGTATGTTTACTTTCTTTAGACCTAATTATGTGGTAGAAGAAGGTACAGGAGCTGCACTTCCTGATTCCAGGGATTTATCCTGTGAACCATTGAGAAGACAGTTAATCGCTAACTTGGCAGAGCACGTAATGTTCAGTAAGTAGCTGTTAAAGTTCAGATATGACTCTCTGCTTCCATTATGCTTTTATATATGGCAGGGCATTCCTCTTTCAGAACCCTGTGCCCTTGTTATCATAAATTTTTTTTTTTACATTTTATCTTTTTCTTCGTTTTGAAGGGTCTTATTTTGAATGGGCCTCTTAGTAAGGTTTTTATTTCATCTGCTAGTCCTGAGGCAAGTAGTGACTTCCTTTTGCTATGGTGGTTTACTTTTGTCTTTTGCAATACTTTAATATAGGAAGCAACCCAGATGTTGTGGGAACACCACACCTGAATTACTTGTGAATGGGTAATGTGTAAATAGAGTAACCCTGAAGATAATTATCTACTTCAGATACCTTAAAAAAAGAAAAGAAATTGAGTGCACGCATGCATTGCAACCCTTTACAGGGGTACTCAGATCCATTCAGTTAAGTGGGGCTCACTGCCAGGTAAGTGGGCATAGGATTGTAGCCTAGGTAACCAGAGTTGTTAAAAAAACAAACACCTTAGTTCTGCCTGATGTCTATCAGTGCTGGAAAAAGAAAATTATACAAATGTCCACAGTGAAGTTTATACCACTGTGGAAAGGAGCTGTCAATAGAGCCAATTGTATATATCAGGGTTGGGGAGCCTGTGACATAGCCCTTTGCCTAATTTCACTTGGTAAGAAGGGAAAAAATGGAGTGTGGGGTGGGGTTGAAAAAAGAACTGGAGGAAGAGGAATTGAGAAAAGCCCTCTGCAAGTGATTGGTTAAGGCCTGGCAAGAGCAATAGGTCCCTTTTCTGGCACCCCACCAGAAGGGTGGGGGGCATAGAGTATGAGGGGGGGGAGTGGTCCCAGCTCTTCTGGCCCTGCCCACCTCCAGCAGATTAGCTTTGAGGGAATGCAGCCCAAAGAAAATGCTGCCTGCTCCTAGCTTTGAAACATTTAAGTCACAGTTGAAGTTCAGTTGGCTTTCTTTCTGACCAGTCTCGTGCACTGTGCTGTTGAATATGTGAAGCCGTTCGGTATAAAATCACAAAAGATTGCTGTTTGTGGTTCATTGACGGCTATCGTTTTTGTTCCAAGTTGCCTTCTACGCACTTCAGTTGCATGACAAAAGTGCCTGCATAGCTTTATTTTGTTTTGTTTGCTTCTAGCTGCTAACAAGTCATGTGCTGTGATGTCAACACACATTGTTGCCTGTTTGCTGCTCTACCGACACAGGCAGGTAAGGCTGCTGTGCTTCTGCGTCTCTGAACATCTCTCTTGACGACAGCTTTTAAATGTCAGGGATGCTTAGCATATCCTGTATCCTTGTAATCCATGTTGTATCCTGCTCACCTCTAGGGTTGGAGGTGTCAAAACATTCGCCCGAGTCCCATGCAAACTGGGCAGCTAATTAGGCTGTGGATCCCATTCTGTTGTTGTTGTTGTTTGAATGTTCTGAATTGGTCATAGTCATCTCATGAAGATCAAACTTGTTAGTAGTTACTGGAGGCCAGCATTATGTCAGCAGCACTATGTGCACAGTTTCCTTTCTAGATCCTCGTGCATTTAGTGCAAAGGTCTGCAGGGGTTTCTAAACCTGAAGTTTCTAAATCTTCCACAGAATTTGTTTAGAACTCCCCCTGTAGATCTTTTCAAGAAACATGCAATGACAGAGGGGCTTTCAAGTGCATCCTGCCACAGTCCACAACTTTAGCCCTCAGAGCTTAAGTATCCTGTAAAAAGGTAAAGGTAAAGGTCCCCTGCCAGTTAAGTTCAGTTGCGAACGACTCTGGGGTTGCAGCGCTCATCTTGCTTTACTGGGAGCCGGCGTTTGTCCGCAGACAGTTTTTTCCAGGTCATGTGGCCAGCATGACTAAGCCGCTTCTGGCGAAACCGGAGCAGCACACAGAAATGCTGTTTACCTTCCTGCCGGAATGGTACCTATTAATCTACTTGCACTTTGATGTGCTTTCGAACTGCTAGGTGGGCAGGAGCAGGGACCGAGCAATGGGAGCTCACCCCGTTGTGGGGATTTGAACTGCCGACCTTCCAATCGGCAAGCCCTAGGCTCAGTGGTTTAGACCACAGCGCCACCCTACTGTTAAATTTTGTACTACTCTAATTTCTTTCACTTCTTATCCTGTCTTGCACAGTATAACATCTAATCTGCTCGTCCTACCTTTCCCTTAGACATTATGAGGGAGAATGCAATGCATATTCAGGGGTGACCCAGTGGAAAGGAGCAATTCTCGTAGGAGAAAATGCTATTTGAATAGTTTAAGATTACGCAAAAGGTCAGCTTGTTGGCATTTGTAACAGTGGCTCAGATATTTAAGGCTAACAAGTCATTGTTACTTTTGTGGAGGCTGTTACAAAAATGATGAGTTGCTCATAACCGGGGTGGAACACACCATATTGGTTCAGGGCAGTGGTTCTTAAGCATTTCAGAAGGTGTATTCATTGGTGCTGTGGAATCTATCTGTAACTTCTTCATTAAGCATTGTTGCTGCAGTGTTTCTTGGAAATTACTTTAAGCCAGGTGTGAAGAACCTTTGGCCTTCCAGATGTTGCTGCGCTACAGCTCCAATCATCACTAGGCCAAATGTTCCCCACTCCTGCTCTATGCAGCCTCAAATGTTTCTTTAACATGGTGACACAGACTGGGTGTGACAGACTGGGTGTGACTGTAAGACTCAGTTTCTTGTAGTAAAGATGTGACCAAAAATTAAAATAAAAAATGCTGACATGAAGTATATGCTAGAATTGAGTCCAGTTCATACATAATGTTGAGCTGAGAACTATTTTGACCTTTTATTTATATTTATGATATGGATATGATAGTAGAATAGACTAGCCTAGTCTAAATTAGCTGAAAAGGGTTTGGAAACATCCCAAAGTGCCTAGACTAGGGCTCACTGATACCTTGTCACTCATAAAGGCTGTCACTGGTGCCTCTGGGCAGATTTGCCAGACTCTAGCCCTCCCTGAAAGAAAGTTGTAGAGTGGGTGTCTCCTTACAGATTTCTGTAAAATGAGAGTGTGGTGTTGCCACTTTGTGTATATTTTTCCTGGCACTGAGGAATGCTCCCTGCTGCTATTACACAGCAAAAGTGTGTATGCACAGTGTGTATGCACAAAATCAGTATTGTGTGATCTCCACAGTCAGGAGCAGGAGAACACAGCTGATTTCCGATAGTAAGCATAAGGTTCTCTGGGAAGATTGTGTTTCTAACTATGTGTTACACCTGCTCTTCTATTCGAAGCATTTTGTGTGGTGCCACAACCTCCCACTAGCAACTATTTTGTGACTGGATCCCCCAGCACACTCTCAAAATTTGAAATGTGCTCCCAAGTCCATAAAGGCTGGGGACACTCAGTCCTGGAAGGTTGGAGCCAATTAGTAATTCAAATACACGGATTTTGAAAACTGGAGGTATAGATAATGGAGTTTTCCATAATCTTAAAAGGTATTTTATAAAAAAGATGTACTGTCTTGGATCTTTTGGTTGATTTTCTGCAGGGAATTGATCTTTCCAAGCTGGTGGAAGATTTTTTTTCCATGAAGGAAGAGGTTCTGGCTCGGGACTATGACTTGGGATTTTCCGGGAATTCCGAAGATGTTGTCATGCATGCCATCCATTTGTTGGGGAACTGTATAACTATCACAAACACCAGCCGAAACAATGAGTTCTTCATCACACCCAGCACATCCATTCCTACTGTCTTTGAACTCAACTTCTACAGCAACGGGGTACTGCATGTCTTCTTCAAAGAGGCCATTGTTGGTATGTTCCAAAGCCGAACTAAGAAATTATGAGTTCTGCACTTGATAGAGCAATGCCAACATTTCATATACTGTAGTGATTGCTGCTGCAAGGATTATTGATGTATTTATCATTTGAAAGGCAGTGTAGTGTCTTCTCAAGGCAGTGAATAATTTTAAAGGTGTGAATAGCACATTTTCTTCCTAGTTTCCTTCCCTCTTCTGCACATTGTCCTAATTTCAAAATCTATTGTATTTTGATCTTACTTTGCAAGAATTGTGTGATTTTTTTATTGAAAAATTACCATTTTTCTAATTGTTTGAAGCCGATTTTGACTTGTTGATTTGTTTTTAAAGGTAACTGTTTATGTGTTTTTTTTCTTTTCACTTTAGCTTGTAGTCTCCATGCTATACAGAATAAAAGGCATAGAAATGGCATCAACGGAATCCCACCAAACATGATCAGTCAGGAACAACTGGTCCGAAAAGCTGCCAGCTTGTGTTACTTGCTTTCCAATGAAGGCACTATTGCACTGGTAGGTTTGGGGTGTAGGAGTGTGTGTGTGTGTGTGTGTGTGTCTGTCAGAAACCAATTGCTTTGCTGCTACTGCCACATATCGTTTATACTGTGTTAAGGTGTTTAACGGCAATTAGAGGTATTTCTGAATTCTTAAAACTTTGAAAACCTGAAAGGGAAAATGAAAGCAGGAAAATTCTAAGGCTCCTGGTAGTAAACAAAGATAGTTTGACAGGTGTTGCACAAGGAAGCAAGCAGAATTATGAAAACAGCTGCATATGGTGGAATATATACTTTGCTTTTTTTCTAGAAAGCTGGGGGCCGGTACTCGCCATGAAGTGCCACACTTTTTAACAAGAGGTGCTGGTACTGTGTGCCCTAGAGTACCCCCTACCCTCTGAAAAAAAGCCCTGAGTATATATGTGAAATGTTAAGCTGAATGCGTAGGATGGAAGAAACTGGGAAGTGCAGTATGGAAAAAAAACAGGAGATTGCATTAACAGTGAGCTCGTGTATTTGATGAACGATATACTTGTTTGGGGGTAAAAAGTGGCAGGGAATGAGGACTTGAGAATAAAGACTGTGTTTGGGTTAGAGTGGATATCATAGCAGCATATTATTGTTGTCGTGGCTTTGATTCCATGAAATAGGAAAATGCCAGAGAAAATATAAAAGCAAGACAGTCCTTGTAAAAATATCCACAACTCCCGCGCCCTCCGGCCCCCTCACCTCTTAATTATTTGGGGTACTTGGAGAGCTTGGGGTAAAAGAGGAAGAAAGAACTATTCTAGAAATAGAAGGGTCACCCAGGGGCAAGTCCTGCTTTCCACAGGCAAGCAAGTGACGATTTGGAACAGGGCAGTTAATGCCAGGGGCAGGGAGGGGGAAGATAGGATGGATGAGCTTCTGTGAATGATTAACCTGACTTGTTCTCCTTAGCCCTGCCAGCTGTTATGCCAAGTGTGTCATGAAGCAATTGAACAGTTCATACAGTATGGCATTCTTTTGGTAGCGGAGGTAAGTTGCTGATGGTTCGCATTATTCCAATATTTAATATCCTGCCTCTTGTCTCTGAGGACTGATAACACAGAAGGAGGCAGCCTAGTGTTCCTGCACACCTACTTTTAGCATCCTAAGCAGCTTGCTGGACCAAGGCCACAGTTAAACAGATCCTAATTTCACATCTTCCTGAGTATTTATTGATTTTTCAACTTGGAATGCAAAAAGGGGGGAAGTTTAGCACACCCATGTATGCACAGAGTGCTTTTTAACTTAAATTTATTTTTAGTTCAGGTCCCAGGCAGCCATTAATAGAACCTAATGGGGAAGTCAAGTGAATTTTCAAATCCTTCAGTGGGGTGGGCGAATCTTCAGTTTCAGATCTTAATCAGGATTTGAGGGGGGCGGGAAATAAGCTTTTTAACCAATATAATTCAGTGCAAACGTGTAACACCATCATCATCACCATCATTTATTACAATTTATATCCTACCTCCCTTCATCTCAATTTAGAACTCTTTTGGGGAAGTAGTTCTATAAAAGTACTAGTAATGGTTCTCACTATTTTTAAAAAGCAAAAGTCAGGATCAATCCTAATATTAGAATATGTTCTTCTCAACCTTGACATATGTCAGCAGTGAAATTAGGCTGCAGTTCTTGCTCCCTGAAAGCCTCATTGTATGTAATGGGACCTCTTTCTGAGCAGATATGTACAGGATCACATTGTTAGTGGGTCGTCATCCCCCCTCCCCCTGGAGAAAATTGTTAAATGTGTCTTGTTACCTTTCGGTTTGGGTCAGAATCCTATCAAATCATTAGCCTGATTCACTTCATTTACGTTTCACACTGATTCTTTTCCTCTTATTGTGTGGCATTGCCTTATTATAGAATGTTCTTGTTTTTTCATTATGGTAGCTTTGTTAATTTTCATTGCAAATGTTTTCATCAATGTCTTTTAATCTAACATTTGGCCCTCTAGAAGGCACTGTTCCCTTTGGTATTGGTTCATAGTTTTTCCCTTTCTGTTTTACTAACTGCGTTTGGATGTCTGTATCTGTGTGTGGGAAATCTTGAGAAAAATGGGGGAAGTGTTATAATATATTTTGTTCTGTTATTTGTTATGATTAGTGGGGAAAATTATATTCTCTTTTGTTGTGATTAGTGAACTTGTTATACTACGAGATATTTACTTTTGGGCTTTTAAAAGTGATATAAGATCATTGAGGTCTGCTACGTATACTGTTTCTAACACCAGATAATGTACCTTAATGTGCTACAGAATATCTTAAAACTTACCAAAGATAGCATATCGGGAAGTGGCTGACTAGATTTTGAAGAGGTGATTGCATTTTGCTCCATTAAAACAGAGGCTGATTTTAATCATAATAATCCAGTGTTGTATGACTGGAACAGACTTCCAATTGCACAACAGAATTATACCTTCCCGGTGGCTTGACTTCTCAAATATGAGGGCAACTTGTTCATTTTATAAATGTGTTCAATTGTCTTTTCTTTAATAAATCAGACAAATGAGGGGGGGAAAAGGGATTATACTTTCCTTTGCCTCATGTACACCCCTAAAATCTGCTCCAGAGATTACCTCCAATCCTCTGCAGTGAATTCTGAGAGTGTGCAAGAGAGGGGAAGATTAAATTCCATGGTGCAAGCTGAACTCTGTTCCACTGGCATACAGAAAGTACAGTCGTGCCTTGGTTTTCGAGTGTCTCGGAAGCTAAACGTTTCGGTTTTTGAATGCCGAAAACGCAGAAGTAATTGTTTCAGTTTTCAAACGCTTTTCGAATGTCGAACAGTCTTCTGGAACAGATTACGTTCGACAACTGAGGTACCACTGTATTGAATACAACTCATGCTTGCATGTGTTTCTGTTATGTGGGAATGGCCATTTCATTGTGATAGACTTTTATTTATTTTGCCAATGTAAACAATAGAAAATGAATGCAGAGATCAACTTACTGGTAGATTCATTTAGGTGTTGTTTTTTGTGTATGTGCTACAAGTCTGAACATACATTCATGAAAATGACAATTTATGTCAGGTCTTTGGGCTCATGCATTCTATATATTTGTGGTACTGTTCCTCTTTACTAAATGATTAATATTCTGCAAAAAAGGTCCATCAAAGGCAGATAAATTTAGATAAATTTAGCAAACTAGAAAAACCAAATAAGCAGTTTAGCTAAAACCAGTAGAAGCAACAAGAGGAGAGATATCTCTTCTACACTCTGAGGGCTCCTAAATGCCCTTTGAAGCAGCACACCCGTTGCTTGTTGCAGGGAAACGAGAATGCTTCCTCCCCGAGGCAGTATTATGAACGTCATTGCTCGTAGTATTTTAGTGCTTACTCAGTGGTTAAATTCTCCAGAGTTCCTTTGGGTCTGATACAGAAGTCTCTGGGAGCTGTAATATTCAAAGTTGTGTGGACTTGCTTTTGTGAAAACTATTGTTAAGGGAATTACTTTGAAGACTGTTGCTTTGGGCATCTTTTTTGGAAATTGAGATCGCTTTATAGGGGAAATAAAGGCTTGCCTTCCCTTTGCTCCTTTGCCACTCTATGGGCTCTAAAAATCCACACAGTAGCTGCTCCAGGGCCACCAAAGTGAAAAAATGGTTAAAATGCAGTAGTTTTGGTGGGTGCCTGATGCTTACTGCTTTGCATTCGTCTATTAAGCAGGATGAGCAGGAGGATATTAGTCCTAGCCTTGCAGAGCAGCACTGGGAAAAGAAACTCCCAGAGCCATTATCTTGGAGGAGTGACGGGGAGGATGAAGACAGTGACTTTGGCGAAGAACAACGAGATTGCTACTTGAAGGTACTGCATAGGCCGTAAGGGAACATACTGTTCTGAAGTGCTTCATATTCATAGCTGCGCTGCACAGAATGAATGAGGGAGTTTGAAACTCAGGCTTTGAAAAGGACCTAGCGGATTTATGATGCCATCTGTTTCTGTGGTCTACAGTCCATCATTGGGTTGTTCTGCAGCCGTGTTGAGCTTTTTGGCCTGCTGGGATTTTTCCTACTTCTGCAAGTCCTTTGGGTTCCTCTAGCCATCCCTCTGTCTTGTTTCTCAGTGCTTTGTTGTTGTTACATAGCCATCATAATTGAGCACCTCAGTTCACTAAGATGTATATAGAGAATGTGCACCCCTTGCTATATTGGTTATGGAATGGGAAATAGATCCATTACAGCTTTGCTGCAATATTGCATAATGCTTCAGTTCTAATGTTGTCAGAACTGGGCAGAGCAGTCCAAACCTATGACATGACCTGCTGTGGAGGGGGTTTGGATGAACTGAAGGTGCCCGTCCTCCCAGCTCTATTGGCAAGGAAGCCCCACCTACAAGAAATGCCCCAGTGCAGACAGAAGCCACCACTGGAAAACCCGAAACAGAGCAGGGCTGGCAAAGACCTGCTGGCTCTTGAGCAGGCTCTGCTGTTATTGCAGCCGTTGCTTCTCTTGCCGCCTCCTGCCTGGGCTGGTGCAAGAGACGGGACTGGATGTTGGTAGCTTGAGTGACATTTATTTTTCCTTTCCTTTCTTACCTTGCAGGTGAGCCAGTCTCAGGAGCACCAGCAGTATATCACCTTCCTTCAGAAGCTACTAGGACCACTACTGGAGGCGTACAGTTCTGCTGCCATCTTCATACATAACTTCAGCGGTCCTGTCAGGGAATCGGAATATCTTCAAAAATTACACAGATACTTAATAACACGAACAGAAAAGAACGTTGCAGTATATGGTATGTCAAACGGCTGCTTTCTGTGGAGCAGCCTTCCCTGTCTTTCAATATATTATTATCAAAGTTTCCTGTATTCAGCCTGATATGTGTTTATCTGCCTGCCTTTCCATGTTTACAGCTGAGAGTGCCACCTATTGCCTTGCAAAAAACGCAGTGAAAGTCTTTAAGGACATGGGGGTAAGTGTTACGTTAGCTTCAGGCGCCTTACAGCGCAACTAAACTTACGTATTCCTGTTAATGAGACTTCCTTCAATCTGTGTATCGAGGGTTGTAATCTTAGTCCTTAAAAATGGATAATGTGATGTGATATCGTAATTTAACCTTTATGTAGGCTAAAAGGTTGAGCACTAAGGCTCAAGAGATTAGCCCATTATATCCAAATTGTATTATCCCAATGTTCCTGTGGTATAAGCAAGGTGCATGTTGTTAGACATAACTGAACATGAACAGTAGTACTAAATTCATTGCTTGAGGAAAGTCTGTGCCCTATGCAAAAGGGTATGTGCAAAAAGAAAACCCCTGTAATACTTTATTTTTTCATTAAATATTTTATTTTTAAATATCTACAACCAAGTCCTACAACAATCAAACTACACATCTCTACACATGTGCCCATCCCCATTGTACACCTTTCAAACATTGAATTTCTTCTTCCTTTACCACATCAATCATGCTTTTGAAGTGCTACCCTTTTACTCATTTAGAAAAATGCTGCTATGGACCTATTTGAAAATGAAAGTTTGACCTTCACAGCCTCTTCCTGCATTTCCCACTTGTTGCTAGTACCCAAATACCACAACATCCTCCAGTGATATTCTATCTAGATGCCTGGTGATAGCCACTGTCTCTGCCTCAGGAAGAGTACTCTTGCCTGCTACACACCTTGCTACATTAATATAGAAACTGAGCAGCTACTTTCTAATATCATCAGCACAAGAGTAAAGTATCTCATTTGAGGATACAATTATTGCAGTCCTGCATAAATCCATCCCCTGCAATCCTCTCTCCAACTCACAAAAAGTATGTGTGGGTCATGGTGGGGAGATGGCAAGAATGTGTTATGTTCTAGATTGGTGTCCACACGTGTCCCAGGTCAGTGTGACATGCATTGTTAAAGGCATGTGGCAGCCTGTTATCCACCTACGAAGGGGTTCTGAGAAGGATGTGAATCAGTCCTGAAAATCTTAATGACTGGGCCACTCTGGACTTAAGAAAACACGCAGACATGTTCTGAGTTCCTTTGGACTCTGTTGGTTTTCAACGTGGTTGAGTAGACTAGTGTGTTGTTCTGGAGTCTCTAATATTTAGAACGCTCCAACAAAAAGCAGTTTTGGTGCCACATTTTGTTCCAGACAAATCACACAAATCACAGTCATAGGCCTTGTCCTTTTTTCTCTCCCCCATATGGACACTCAGCATATTCCTTCTTTCAATGATATTAAACTATCTACCCATTCTATAAATACAAGTTTGTAGTATTGGTATTTATGGCAGAGGTGCAGCCAGCATTACTGGTGGTCAGTGTTGATGGGATCTGCAGTCAGTTAACAGTTGGAAGGTCATAGGTTTTCCACCCTGCCATAAATATCCAATACTCCACAACTTTTGATGTTGAATTACTCATGTCTAAGAGCATGACTAACAGAGCTTGCATACAGTACTAGTTTTAAAGATGTGTTGAAGATGGGCTAGATTCAGATGAAGCTCATTCACACATTTTCGTTGTGGGTGCTTTTTCATTTGCAAGAATCAGTTGCAAGGGCTGTTACAAATGGTGAGGTATGTTTATAGCCTTGCAGATCAGGAAAGTTGTTGCAGCTGATATCTGTCAGCTGCTACACTGTTACTGCAGCAGTGGATTACTTTTCTGAATGGGAAAAGCAGCCCAAGATAACATGGCTGTAGGAGGAACAATTTTGCTGAACAGCTTTGGTGTGAACTTTGCAAATATGTGGCGCTGCTGGAAGGTGTTAGTGATGAAACACACTTTTACATTTCCCTTTTAGGTATTTAAGGAGACAAAGCAGAAGAGAGATTCTATTTTGGAGCTGAGCAGCACTTTTCTACCTCATTGTAATCGGCAAAAACTACTAGAATTCATTCTGGGATTTGTTGTACTGTAGAACATTTCGGGTTGACTTTGTCTGCCAGCAAGAAGTTGGTAGGCTTGGAGAATGTGACACAAAGCTTCGGGGCTTTTGCTGCTTCCATAATGTGTATAGTGCCATTTGTGGGTAAGGCTTTATCTGACCCAAACCACTGGAAGACAAGTGCCTTCATACATACGCATGTCTAGAACTACAAAATTTGGTAACCAAGTCAAACACAACATCTTGGATGCAAGAGAAGAGCCATTAATGGGAAAAACACGCAAACACACACACAGACACACACACACACACACACACACACACACACACTAGTTTTTACATGTATCCAGTGTTACATTTGTTTCAAGACTAATGACTGTGACAAATGCACAAACATATATACCAGCAATCTGTCATTTTAATACATCAGTTCTGAATGTCATTTAAACTCCATGTACTGTGGGAACTTTGCAAAAGCCTTGTCAACAAGACCTACCCATTGGTCTCATTATTTCAAACTGTGAGAATTTTAGGAGAATTGAATATAGGTTGTCTTTTTTCTGTTGGTGGGGGGGGAGGTGTTTGATGTGTGTTGTTGATTACTATGGCAACACGCTAAATAAAATAAGACTAACTGCCAGTATCTTATTAAGGATCAGTTGACTAACTACCAATGACACAGTGGCAGAATGAACAAGTATTATTAAGATATATTAATAGAGAAGTTACACGTTAGAATATTAAATATCTGAATCACTAGCATTTTGCACCCAAATTGCAAAAAACACTTGACTTTTACTTTGAACCAGAAGGTTTGCATCATTTCGCTACTTGCTAGCATATTGATCTCTAAAATGATTATAGTCTAAGCTCTCTAAATTTCAAAAATAGCACTAAAGTTGTTTCATAAGTTAACTAGCTCATTCCAATCTTGACTAATTTTGAGTGGGAGAATGAGTCTAGAACATAAAAATCTTGCAAGCATAGGCTATTCAAGTAGATGCATAACATGGGCATGGAGGTCTAAGTTATGTTAGATTAATATTGCAATCCTCTTGGGTAATAGTATAGAAGGCAATGACGTTTCACAGAGTGGATTATCACCAAATTCACTCCTTTGATAAGCAATAAGCATGGCATTTTTATTAAGAGAAATTGGGTATCTCCCCCATTTCTCCTTGTATTATTAACAACACAACAATCCTTTCCTTTTCTCCTTTTCAGTTTAAAGTTGGGAGCTTGATCATGAAAATACCTTTTAGCTGTCAGCTTTAAAAAATTTTTTTTAAAGCATGCCGAAGTGATAACAGCACTGCACATTAACTCCAGCACAGAACTTCTGTGCCGTTTTAGACTGCGTGTTTACTCCACGTTTGTTAAAAGTAAAGTTTTCTATAACTCTATGGTTTAAAACAATTAATGGATCACAATATTTTTGTCAGTATTCCCATGCAATTTCCTGTGAGAGGAACTGCTATGCATGTTTCCCAACAATAAATAGGTGCTTTGAATTTTTTTAAAGATGAATTTCTGAACCAAAGTTGCATCATATCAGTGACAGCAGCGGGCAGCAAGTGTGAATAAAGTAGTTTGTTCTTTTACCATTTCCAGTAGAATAGCAGCTGAAATGAAATCCATTTGTTCTAATAAAGCCAACTAGCTACTTAGAGCAATTACATCTCATCCTTGCTAATGTGCACTATTTGTTTAAAACTGAATGTATTCTCCGAGTAGCAATTTTTAAAGATTGTTGATGGCTTCCATTTTAAGGTCAGATAAGTAGGTGCTTGTAAATAAATAACTTTCCCTTGTTTTACCATGCTTCAGTGAACATTTTGGTGTATGCTAGAATGAAGATTGTGTATTTAAATAAATACAACCAAGCAATATATTGCAGATGGTGCTTGGCTAATTTTAACGAGAATGTTCTGCCTAATTTTAAAGCAATGAGGGGCTGGGAATTAGTTTGAACACTAGAAAGTAAAATAGCTTGTTGTCACTAATGATAATAACTTACTACATTATGAAAATGTTTCTGGGGTACAGCAGTGTGCATTGGAGTTGTGTTGGTATGTGCAGTACATTGTAATTGCTGGGTGTGAGAGGGTGTTTTTCAGCGTAGGCTTCATCAGCAGAGAGACTTTGCATGTGCGGAAATGTCAAGCTGTGAATATTATGCTGGGAGGGGGACGTGGCTATGCACCTACTTGCATGTGGGCTGGTTTTGCTTTTCCGCAAAGGTAAAGCACAAAGCTCTTTTACAATAATGCTACTAAATAAAATTCTGCCTTTCTGGGGTTTAATCCTACAATCTTTCTTGCTGATAGGTATAAGGCGAGGTTTTTACTTACGTTTTTAAAAGTAAGATAATCTGATTCTGGATCTATAATAAAGCTAGTTACATTTTATCGCAAGTACAATTGCAACTTGTACTTAGGGGAGTGTAGCTGTACAAGTTAATATAAAGACCAACATTCCAACTGACATCACTGGACTCTTGCTTGTTGGCTAATATGTAGAATTTGTTCTCCCTAGGGAAAGGGTAACATTACCTTTTATAATCCCGTATGAATGATTTCGTAAGGATATACAGCTTTCCTGCCACAGTAACTATTGCATTCTAATGCTTTACATTCTGAAGTGCAACACTTTCATTTTTTTTAATCTATTGCCTTGCCTGTACAGATTTTTTTTTAAAAAAAGTATTTGCATGACATTTTCAGCCATAGAAGGCTTGAGGAGAAGAGTAAAATACTGTAGCTGCTCTATAATTTTGCTTTGTGAAGCCAGGCACTGTCTTGAAGAATGTTAACACATTTCTTTTTCTGTTTAACATTTCCTTCTGTACCTCTTGTAAGAAGCACAGAGCTGCAAAGTAATTTTATTCTAATAAACAGTTTGAAATTGTGTTGTTGTGATATCACTTAAGAGATTACAATGAGCACTCCTTCTTCAATCTCTGAAGGTTCTCTCTAAAGCATAGGTTTGCATAGTCTCACACCAGTTGTGTCTATTAGGGGAAAAAATCAGTCTCCGTTCAGTGGCTTGTAGACCACTCATTGCTACTCTGCTGTAAAGAAGAATTGACTTAATCTGTACTCATCTAAACACACTATTTTCTTTACTTCAACAGAGGACAGTTGTATTTTTCCAACAATGAAAGCTTGATCTGATTTGTCTTATGTAGGAACTAAAATCCTACATACTTGAGGGTAGGTTAAGGTTGCAGCTCATAACAGGGCTTTTGTAAGAGACCCGATGATTCACAATGAGGTGCTGGTTTCAGCTCACCACATGAGAAGAACTTCTTAAAAGGGGGAAATTTGTCACCTGTGCACAGGGTTTGCAAATGCTGCACAACAGCTGATAATTGATGTCTGCAAACCCCTTTTGGCCTTGCCATGCCTTTACCTGTCCCACCCTGATGTCAGGAGGAGGGAAGGTGGGTGTGGCTTGGCCAGAACGGCCTTGTGGGTCAAATGGGGACACTTGGTGGGCGTAATTAGGCCCATGGGCTAGAGAGAAAATGGTCGTGAATGACTCATGATTTTCTTGTTCTTTATCAACTGGTTTTGCTTTGGAAGTATTTGGCTACGCCTGCACCCATCCACTATCCATCACAATAGTTCTGGAATGAAAGCTTGGATACAGAATGAAGATTTTATTATTGCCAATGGCTTATGTAACCCCTCGCCCTTTTAATTGACAGTGAGTGCACATTCTCTTCTATGTCAACATCTTTCACTTTCTAAATCTGCTTGCCTGCAAGATGTCAGATAAAGCAACTTCTAATCTTTCAGTCTTCGTGTAATTCAGTTTTGTTCTCAGTGATATTTTATTAAACGGGTTTGAGATCAGTCAGAAGAAGGTGCCGTTCTTGGGTACCGTTGTTGGTATGATGCTTTTTCTGGGAAGCGTGATGAATGGTATGGTACTGAGCTTTCTATCAAAGACTGCAGTGATGTGAATATAGTGACCATCATGTAGCAAGCTGTTGGAATTTGCATAGATAAGGAAATTTAAAGCACTTACGAAAAGCATTATTATCAGGCGGAATTTAAAAACATTCCTGTTTACGAAGCAATTCAGGGCTGGAAGACACCCTCCCTGGCAACCCTGAAATCACTGATTGAGAGACTGTTTTTAGCTTTAAAATAAATAAATAATACTTGTATCACTGCCTACTGAAATGTGCTAGAGCCATTTCTTCACCTGTGTTGTAGAGTCATGGTTCTCAAAGTGTGAGATGGGTCTTCCTAAGGAAACTATAGTCACTGCAGCAGGGAACAATAAATGTTGGTGCTGATTCTTGGTGCGCTAATAGCATCTGGGCTCTTCTTAGAGCAAACAAGACAGGTGAGATGAAAGACACAGAAGCTTTTCCAGGCAGAGCAATCCTGTGGGGTTTGGGAGGAGGTGGAGAGTCCATGGCAGAGAAATCAATGCTCTGCTGGGCTCGCAGTAGCCTGAGCAGAGAAGGCTGTCTTTACCCTTTCCCTCTCTTTTTGTACTTTCATCTTCTCTTCCTCTGCTTTTTATTGAAGGCTTTAGATGCTGTGTCTCCACAGCTTCTATGTGCTGATGGTGCCCTTTCCCACCCAAGAATATCTGGTTTTATCCCAGGCATCCCCAAACTCGACCCTCCAGCTGTTTTGGGGACTACAATTCCCATCATCCCTGACCATTGGTCCTGTTAGCTAGGGATGATGGGAGTTGTAGTCCCAAAACATCTGGAGGGCCAAGTTTGGGGATGCCTGTTTTATCCCCTACCACTGGGGTGGGAATGATGGTGGAGAAGCTTTTCACTACAACAGGGAAACCTCTAGCCTCCAGCAGCAGAAGCAGCAGAGAGGAATTTGCAACATCCACCAGCTCAGCCCACCTTTTCAAGTCTAGTACATTGAAAAATAAAGTTACACATAAGCACGTAAAAGAATACGCCCAGCAACTGACATCAGTAAATGCTTTTAAAGGTGTATCTATGTAGAAGGCAGGGTAGTTTTGCTGAAACAGGCCAGTGGTATTTGCTGCCTTGCTGTATGAATGAGGCCACCAAATGAACACGGAATGTTGTGGAACATATGGAAGGGCAATGGCTGAGATTTTTCAAAGCCATTTGGAAAGGATTTAATTCTGCGCTTCTCATTAAGCTTAATGGCAACTGTGTCTGTTTAAAGGATCTGCACAATTATCTTTTCCCTAAGGGACCTTTGATAGAAGGGATAGAAGGAAACAAGACAAGGGAGTGGGTAGCAGGCAGTGGGGAAGAGGAGAAACAACGTTGTAGACATGTGCAAGTTGTTAGACGAGATCTGATATTGGAGGGAGTAGGCCAGTTGTGGGTCTATAAAATAAGCAATGAGGGGGGAAGTGGGTGGGTTGGAGAGCTACCCTTGGTGCAAGACTGAGCATGTGAAACCGAAAAGGCAATCTTAAGCTTACCTACTGAGAAGCAAACCACATTCCATTCAGTGGAGTTGACTTCCAGGAAAATTGGTATAGCAGGGTTGGGGAATCTGTGGCTCCCTAGATGATGTTGGGGTATAGTTTCCATCACAATTGCCCACTAGCCATGCCTGCTGACGCTGATGAGAGTTGGAATTTGACAACATCTGAAGAGCAACTGATTCCACATTAACACATGTTAATTTAGTTGGCTATTTAATTGTGTTCCATTGCATTATTATTATTATTTGGGTTATATGTGGCACAAGACTTTGGTATTTTAAGCAGAAAGTAGCAGTTGAATAAATCCTGAACTGACCTTTCAAATACATAGAATATTTGAGAACTGATTTGTTTCAAAACTATAAAGATCTTGTTCCATAACCTTTTTTTGACTGCCTTTGGTTTTTACTTATCCGTGGCATTTGTGAGTGGGTGGGATGTTTTATTTTAGTTTTTAAAAATAGAATTGTCTTTTTTGATTTTTTAAAAAAGTTGGTTTTAATATCGTTTTGTTTGTTTGTTTGTTTGTTTAACATGCTTTGAATTGCTTTGTGGCAAAAAAGAGCGACTAATAAATTTAATACGTAATAATAATAAAGAGCTGTAAAATATAAACAGTCCCTTGTTTTCTAATTTGGGAAAGGCAGGAGTGATTTGCATGGGTGGCAGCGGGGGGGGGGGGCAAGCAGAGCTGTTGTTTGTTTGCTTTTACGATTTATATGCCACCCTTCATCAAAAGACCACAGGGGAGTTTACAGCATAGAACATAATAAACAATATATGCCCATACATAATGCAATGCCCATACAATACAAAAAGGAACACATAATGAACATATTTTAAGCAGCAACGTCAAATTGTACACACCATCACCCCAGCAATAAACTCCACAACCCCTCATAATGTAAGAGTCTCACAACGTAAGTTATAACCTACTTATCCTGAGTGCAAGAATAAAACATAATACATATTTAATAACAGCAACTTCCTGAAAAATATGGGAGGGGAGAATGAAAATAAGAATATCTAAAGTGCAGAAACAGTGTAAAAGAACATATCCTTATCTCTGAACAAAACTGCCTTTTAATTCCCTCTCCATCCCCACAGAGAATGACAGTTCAATCCTTGCTTTTGATACAGAACCATCCCAGGGGCAATTTGAGGGGCGAAGGCATGAGAAAAAGCAAAATAAGGGGCATGTTCACGTGAGCAGCTTAAACCGCAGTGAGGCCATCTCCCTCCGCTGTATTTCAAGCTGGTGTTCACATCAGAGAGGGGATAGAGATGACTTCACCTGAGGCACATGACCTTTTGGGTTTCCCCATCCCTGAATTGTCTCACCTTCCAGAACTCCTATTCATGGAGGTGTTAACTTCACACCCAGTTTTCTAATGGGAAGAATGTGCCTGACTACAGATAAATATGGATTGCAGCTAACCTCTTGGGAACAGGGTTTCAAAAACTAGCAGTGTGTCCACAATGGATGCGGAGTAACCAGCAATGTGAAGATACCCTAAGTAACCCCTCCCCGACTGCTGACTCTCTCATGCAAAGGATTCAAATGTCTTTAAAAATGCTATCAATTTGAAAGTGTCAATTTCAGCACAAATTAAATGGTGCTCACTTTTGAAAACATTTCAGGTGACCTTTTGAAAATAAAGTACCAGAGTGCTTATGTGGTCTGAATTTAAATTGTTTAGTCGTTTGACAAGTAGGTAGGTAAAGGTAAAGGACCCCTGGATGGTTAAGTCCTATCAAAGGCGACTATGGGGTTGCGGCGCTTATTTTGCTTTCAGGCCAAGGAAGCTGGCGTTTGTCCACAGACAGTTTTCTGGGTCATGTGGCCAGCATGACTAAACCACTTCTGGTGCAACAGAACACCTTGACGGAAACCAGAACGCACCGAAATGCTGTTTACCTTCCGCCGCAGCGGTACCTATTTATCTACTCTCACTGGTGTGCTTTCGAACTGCTAGGTTGGCAGGAGCTGGGACAGCAACGGGAGCCCACCCTGTTGCATGGATTCAAACCGCTAACCTTCTGATCGGCAAGCCCAAGAAGCTCAGTGGTTTAGACCACAGCGCCACCCGCAAGTAGAATGGGAGGGGAGGGATACCCTCAGGTAGCCTGAGCAGCTTGACCACCTCTCCCCAGAAAAATGCAATAGAAAGGCACAGTTCAGGGCTTTATAAAAGTGAGCATGAAAGCTTCATGGTTTTCCTACCTCATATGAAATATTACGTTGTGACAGCAGCACAGATCTATGTGCCGATTTAAACATCAAGGCTGCAAGGTTGTAATTTAAAAATCGCTTCTGTGTGGTCTGTGCTCCATGGAGGCAAAGTAACTTTTGAACTGGATTTTGATGCGGGGTGGTTGAATTGTTTGATAAGTATCCAAAGCAGCTTTGGACCTTCTTCAAGGCCGTTGTTGTCATGACAACATTTCTATCCTACCCTTTGGGGCTAAGTGGAGAACTTGATCCAGGTTTCCCCAGTCCTAGTGTGATACTGCCCTATCCAAAGCATATTTGATGGGGCTTCCCCCAAAGAATTCTGGGAGCTGTAGTTTGTAAAGGGTGCTGGGAACCAGAGCTCTGTGCGGGGTAAACTACAGTTCCAAGGATTCTTTGGGAGAAGCAGTGTATGTTAAAGGTCTGGTGTAGATGTCACCATTGCTGGTCATTTACTGCACAGATCCAGTTAAGTGAGAAGCTAACACAAAAGACATCACCCTACCCACACAGAGTTCTAACCAGGTTAAGTGGATGTGATCATTAGTGGATGTGATAAAGCCTCAGTTGGTCCTGTGTAGGTGGAGCTGAAGCGGTGAATTAGGCACAAGGTGGCCATGATAGACACATGGAGAGAACAAGTCCCCCTGCCCCCAGGGGTGGGAGAAGGACATCCTTTAAGTGATGGTAGCAATGTGAGGTTGACTATCCTCATTGCCAAGGCAGAGATTCAACCAGGGGACAGGGAAAGTGATTTGTGATCTTTTCATATATTGGCTCAGGTAGTTCATCTGCTATAGTAACTGAATTAAACGCAAACTGGCCATTAATATTTCAGAGCAAAAGATAAATGCTAGCGGAGGAGTTAAGAGTAATTTGTCCATCACTTTTAGTGATTTAAAGATTAGTCGCAGCAATGCACTGCAAGATCCCCTGCTCTTTTATTAACACCTCCTTGCTTTGCTTTATTAAGAAATCTGATTGAAATTCCGCCGTTGATTTCATCATTAAGTTCCAACCTCGAAGGGTGAGAGCTACTGAAAATTCCTGCTAAGCCAGAAAATGACTCACTCTGATACATTCGAATTGTCTAATGGTTCCCAAGAGGTCATTTCCGGCTCTCTCTTTTTTAATGGCAAAAGGATACAGAAACGTTTTATGTATTTTATGCAAAAGGCAACAGACTTTAACTGGACAACTGGGCAAGCCCTGCTGTGTTTTACTGTTTTGTTCTTGTCTACAGCATTGCACAAAGCATATAAAAAGAAAAATGTATTGTTCAGGTTGTCAAACATGTAACCGTACCATGCCAATGCTCACCGGATCGGATCACATTGCTAGGTTAAGTACATCAAAGATTGTGTTCAGGGAAATGATCCATTAGGAGGCAGCAGCAAATGCTTTGCTCGGTTGAATTCTCCTGCAGGTCTGCTCCCAACGTTAGTACGTTGATATGGAGTCTCTCCATGTTGGAGGCTGCAAGCAATGCCTAAGCCATCAAGCTTCTCTCCTGTTCCATCTCCTATTCTACTTTGGGTTTACTTTGAGTAAAAGTTAGTCAAATGCAACCCTTTGTAAGTAATGTAGAATTTATCAAGAAGATGGTCCAGCAAACAGCCCAAAGGCCACATGCAACACTGGTCCTGAAAGACCTACATTGTCTCTCAGTACGTTTCCGAGCAAAATTCAAAGGGTTGGTGCTGACCTTTAAAGCCCTAAACAGCCTCGGCCCAGTATACCTGAAGGAGCGTCTCTACCCCCATTATTCTGCCCAGACACTGAGGTCCAGCTCTGAGGGCCTTCTAGCGGTTCCCTCACTGTGAGAACTAAGGTTACGGGGAACCAGGCAGAGGGCGTTCTTGGTAGTGGCACTCACCCTGTGGAATGCCCTCCAGTCAGATGTCAAGGAAATAAACAACTATCTGACTTTTAGAAGACATCTGAAGGCAGCCCTGTTTAGGGAAGTTTTTAATGTTTGATGTGTTATCATGTTTCTAATATTCTGTTGGGAGCTGCTCAGAGTGGCTGGGGAAACCCAGCCAGATGGATGGGGTATAAATAATAAATTATTATTATCTTATTTTTTGACCCTCAATGCCTTTTTTGGGTGGCCCTCAGCAACATTTGCCCCCCCCATCCTTTCAGAGCCAGGTAGGTGGAGTCCTGGGCTTTGGAAAGGAGGCGTGAGAGTTAGCCTGGTTAGCGCTTTCTCAGCTTTTGGAAGGAGGTGGGAGGGCTCTAGGACCCTGCCAGAACCTCATGGCTCCTTGCCAAAGCCCAGTGACACATTTAGCTGGCAGCTTGGGGGCTGTGCGGGGCCAGGAGGTTACCATGGGAAAGCCTTGGGTACAAGGGGAGGTGCAAAAAAAGGGGGGGAAGGAGGAGGGATGAGCATGGGGTGAAGGTGACAAGGGGAAAGGGCAAAGCAGGGCTACAGAACAGGAGAGACAAGTGGCTTCAGAAATAGGATTGTGAAGGTGAAAAGTGGGAAGATTAAGGATTCTATGATTCTGTGATTTGATTTATTATATTTCCATGCTGTTTTTCATTCAAATAAATCCCAAAGCGGCTTGCAAACAGGAAGCAACAATAACATGGCAGAACATCAAAAACACAGCATAAATCATATGGAACAATTTAAAAATCATCAGTGAACCAAGTACAGTCTATAGAAACTGTTAACAAAGCAGCTACTGAAAAATAAGCTAAGCAACACCATTCAGATGG